CAGTGGGCCGGCGCAGCTGGAAGTGTATGCGGATGCCAGTTGGGCACCCCAAGCGTCGTTAGGACGAAGATCTGTGTCGGGCATAGCCATCTTTTATAGAGGATGCCTGATCAAGGGAATCTCTCGAGTTCAAGGGTGTGTATCGCTGAGTTCTTGTGAAGCCGAGTTGAGAGCCATCTTGACTGCGGTACAGGAGAGTGAGGGACTTGCGACTTTGATCGGTCAGTTGGCCGAGTCAGATGTCACGATCCGATTGCACACTGACAGTTCCTCAGCGAGAGCGGTTTTGCTAAACCGTGGGTTGAGTAGGCGAGTTCGCCACTTAGACATCGCTGTCTGCTATCTTCAGGAGCGGATACAGGAAGCTCAGACCTTGAAGGTCATTTGGTGCCCGACAGCGGGAATGATCGCTGACGTTCTTACAAAGTGCTTGAGTCAAGTGACATTCTGTCAGCACCAGCAAGCTATGGGTATATACCCTGGTGAAGATGTGCAGCAGGTGTGGAGGATCTGTGGAATCCGACCAAGGGTTGGAGTTCAGGCATGCCAGTTTGCCGAGGCAACTGGATGCAGTGTGGAGCAAGTTGGATCGTTGAAAAGTGTGAAAAAGTGTGGCGAAGTTTTTGAAAATTTCCAACTTAGAAGTCCCGAAACCCTTCGTGAAGACTCTTCCCCTGAGGTTCAAGAAATCGATTTATGGTCCAACCGCAAAAGCTTTGGTTCAAGCACCACGGAAGCTAGCCCTAGCCTGGAGCCTGTACCTTTGGTGAAGGACAGGAAAATGGCAGCTGAAGACAGCAGGAAGGGTGAGCAGGGTGCTGAGATGAAAAGCCCCTTTTGGTGTAAGGTTTGCAAATGGTTGTTCAGATCCGAGCATGCTGCCGGGTTGAGCTGGGATGAAAGTGGCAAGCCCAAGTGCGAAAAGTGCAAACAGACTGTGACAGTCTCTGGCACGGATGCAAGCCATGCATTCCATCTCCGAGAGGCAGAGAAGGAGCGCCGAGCTGCTGGAAAAAGGGGTGATAAAGGTGAAAGCCGAGGCTCAGGCCAAGCTGCACCGAAACCCAAGGCCATGCCGAAGGTGATTGAACGGATGGTCGACGTGTTTCCGGAGCTGGCGGATCCAGAGCCGCCGAAGTGGTTCGGTGATGTGTCATGGAGTATCTGCCGGCGCGGAACTCCAGTGGATGAGCTAGAGCTCAAGGACGTGGTAGGCACGCTATCCGACAAGGATATGTTGCGCTATCAGAGCTCATACGAGAAGCTAGTGAAGCCCATCCAGGAGGTGTGTGAGCTACAGGAGAAACCCACGAAGATCTTCGGAATCTTGGATGTCCGTGGACAGATTGGTGGCAAGGCCATCATCTGGGAGATGGCAGTGAATGAAGGAGGACTGTACATGGAAGTGCCGCCGGGAACGTGTGGCCTGGCGATGTTGAGCTTCGTGAGGTACTTGAAGAGAAAAGGGATAGTCCCTGTTTTGCTTCTGGGTGAGCACCAGGACCTCGGAGTCTTGCGGATGGTGGATCTGTTGTGCATGCTACCCATTTTGGGAGCAGAGAGGGTCATGGAGGATGAAGCTGAGAGCTCGTATTATCCCCCATGGGTGTTGCGCTGGAAGAGAAGTGCAAAGGAAGGATCCTTGGTGTTTAAGGAACTGGTGGAGCGAGTGCGAGTGATTTCGATGTTGTCGTGTGATACACTTCGGATTCACGAGCCGGAGCTGAGGGAGAGACCAGTCCCCAAGTGGTCGTTTGTGGCCTACAGCCACTACAGATCCGTGATGGAGTCTGTTGCAGGATTCTTGGAGGACCTGGAGAAAAAGAAAGAGGAGATCACCGACACGCAGAGGGCGGCAAGCTGGAAGAAGGTGGTTGCGAGTGAGACTCGAAGCGGTGTTGTGTGGATCTGCAAGTGTAAGTGGCACTTGCCGACCGACTATGTGGTGAGGTTCAACTTGACGTTGCCTGCCGACATGTGGCAGCAAGCCTTTGGGATCATGGGTGAGAATGTTGGGAAACTCGAGAAGGAGGAAAAGGACCTGAAGCGGATCCTCAAGGCTGCAGCGGAACAGCAAGACCGAGAGTTCGAGGAAGCTGAGCGAAAGCGCAAGCGCATCGCCGACCTGTCAGCTGCCGAGGAAGAAGCTGCTAAGAGAGCAAAGCTGGAAGGCGAAGCGGTTCGCTCGCCTGTGTCAGTTGTACCATCTGAGTTGGATGCAGCAGCTATCGCGCAGATTGCTGAGCGTGTGAAGGCAAGCTTTAGTGTTGCCGATTTGGAGCTGATGTTGGAAGAGAAGAAGAGAAAGGTTGGAGACCAGCCAACTGAGAGGCCTGCGGAGACGCCAGCTGAGCCTAGCCGATCTTCGCAGGATGTGATGATGGAAACGAGGACGGCTGAGTTGGCGGAGATGAAGGAAGCCGCCAAGGAGCGCCGCGCCAAGTTGATGGAGTCAACTGGAGCTGGCGAGAAGAAGGGCGAAGAGGATGAAGAATGAACTGAGATGCTAAGTGATCTCAGTGGTTGGGTGGGTGAGTGAAACCCGCAGCCATTTTTTTGGAAGCCATGGCCGCGTTGCCGCCATGGAGCGCCCGCGATTTTTCTGGTTAGTGTGAGCCCTTGTTTCAGTGCATGAGAAGTTTGCAAAGAGGAGGCAAAATGATGATGAAACTCAACGAGGGACTCTATAGCCCCTTCTGCAAGGCGTCTGATTGCCACCTCTGAAGACGTTTTTGGCTGATGGTACGCTGGAAGAAGCGAAACTATGAAGCCAATCTTTTCCTGAAGGATCAGCTAGCCGATGCTAGTTGGTGAGTTTGGTGACCTGGAAGATGCGAGACTGAGGAGGAGTACCACGACAAGGTCGAGTGCTGAGTGGGAAACATCTGAAGCTTGCATTAATTCGTTTTCACGTGTTTGTCACCACGAACTCTTGGATTCGTTCCAAGACAACCCTGCCCCAGTGCAGGTGGATGCAAGTTTAATTCGTTTTTCACGTGTTTGGACAACGAACTCTTGGGTTACCAGTGATGTGGACCCAGGACAACCTGCCTGATGGTGGGATCTTGCATGAGTTTTAAGTTTGATGTCAGAGATCGACTGGTGTGTTGTTTGTTTCGTTTGGTGGCGAGTACGCACCAAGGGAATGTGGCCAGGGCATCCCCTTAGTGTTGAAGTGCCGAGCTGGGCTTGGACTTCAGATCTTTGACATGAACCCTCAGCAAAATGCGGGGGGTGGAAGATTGTGGCTGATCAGTGATGTTTTTGTCATGTTTTGGATCAGCTTGTATAGGTTTGTTTTGCTTCGGAGTGATTGGGAATCCGTGTGATCCCATCCTCGATGGTTTATGCCTCGTTGATTTCCAAGGAAATCATACGAGTGTGTTTTTGCCCAATACGCTATTTAAAGTGAGTGTGCAGTGTGTAGGAACTTCGTTCTGAAGCTGAGTTTAAGCTCACAAGAGAGAATTCGTTTAGTTTGTGCACTTCGTGACTTTTGGCTCAAGTGGCTCTGACTGTGAAAAAGAGAGAGTTGTCCGCACTTGTGTGAGAGGTCAGGGTTCGTGCTTTCAAGGGAAAAGGTACCAGAGGGACCTTCGGTTTTTCACGGTAGTTGCCACCTCACACGCTCTTTCAGATATTGCACAGAACGCTTCGGCTTTTTTGCACAACCCTTCCGCTTTTTTTAAGCTGGGCAAGTTTGTGGAAGCATATAAATCATCTCCAAAACAAAATAAAACAAGACTGGGTTCTTGGCTCGGCTTGGCTCCGCGCCACGTCACTGCACAAAGAATGCATCGAGTTCGTGCAGGCCGCAGCCGCTTCCCCTGCCTCACCTGAACAAAAAGACCCTTCAGAACTGGTGGAATCTTCGCAGTTTTGTCGTATGCTCGTGGTCTTCTGCTGTTCAATGATTTTGGCAGTAGATTGGAGCTTTGGTTGCATGGGTGGAGGTGGGAGCAAGTCGCCACCTGTCTTATAAATTTCCATTGAACAGCGAAATGTCAACTTTATGATCTGCCTGTTCCTAGAAAAGCGTCTTTTTCTGACGACACTTGTCAAGCCGATCAAAGAACAATGCTGCATATGTCTCATCACTTAAGTGCAGTTTTAGGACCCAAAAAAACACAAGAAACGTAGGACGCATCACGGTGACCTCTGCAGCAATTCCTTTGGTCTTGGTAAGGCTTCTGGGGCTGGATCCCTTTCTTACTGTGGCAGGTTGCTTGGTGGGTTCGCGCGTCAGACACCAGATCAACCGTGCCCTCAGACAGCCATAGATTCTGTTCGAACACACCGAAGCTGCTGGGCTTGCCCACGCAGCTTCTGCTTTGTTTCTTCCAAGCTGCTCCGACACCTCTGGCCCCATGGATGGATCGTGTTTGGAAAAAGGGAAAAAGAAAAGAAGAAAGACAAGTACAAAGGCAAAGGCAAGAACCACAAAGGCGGAATCATGGAAAGAAAGGAAAAGGATAGAACAACAACTACGACCAGAACTATTCTTGGCGGAACAATGGGAAAGGAGGCAAGGATTCTGGGGCAAAGACAGGGCAAAGGAGGGCAAAGAGTCCAAAGGAAAAGGCAAAGAAGAGCAGCGTTCCGTGAAGAGAATTTTTAATCTTGCCGATGAGTGTGAGACTGTGTGTGAGAGTGAAGAGCATGTTAGAGGATGAAGAGTCTTGGCGGTGTCGTGTGGAGTGGTGTGCGCTAGATGAAGATGACGAATGCCCCTGTGAAGAGCTCCCCGGACTTTTGAAGTGCGATCTTACTTGCTCGTCGTCTTAGAACTTCGTCCGCGTGTTGGAACATGGAGACCTTGAAGAAGAAGGAGGCCAAAGCTACTCGTTGTGCTGGATTCTGGAGCAGATGTATCGGTGATGCCAGAGTCGTGGACGTCAGAGGGTCAAGTCCAAATGCTGGATGCACAGGGAGTTGAGATGCACAGCTTGAGCACGGCTTATCACCTTGGACATGGGCCCTGCATGTATTCAAGAACGGTTTCACGCTTCAACGGTTGGGAGTCCTCTGCTGAGGAGGTTGAGCTGCTTCACCGTAGGCTTACTCATCCCACGAGCTAGAACTCCTACACAATGTTGAACGTCAGGTCGCTCCGGACTGATGTACAGCAAACATCCCAGTGCTGCTCTGTATCGCCCAACATGTGCCTTGTCCAAGTAGTCCGACTCGTCTTTCATTGTCAAGTCAAAGTCGCTGGTGCCTTACGATGGCGGGGATTGGTGATGCCCAAGATACTAACCACCTTCTCAATATACTTGGCCTTCCAGAGTCCTTTTTGAGGAATTTCAGCTGGTCGCCAATGTTCTTCACAACGGGGCTCACTTCTAGGCGGTACTTTTGTTGCAAGACACTCACAGCACTGTTGACACGATCTTCACATCCACCGAGAAGTCCATCATCTACATGAATCGTGGCACCAAGTTTCTCACCACCATATACCACGGGGCACGCCACGTTGCTCTTGAGATCGCAGCGGGCCAAGTCCTCGCTGACTGTTGACCAGGCAAACACTTCCGTACTTTGTAGATCGTCCCATTGAGCTCTACGAACAGTCTTCTTTCTGATCTACCGTAAGGAAAGCATCTTTCACATCAAATGATCGCAGGACGTAGCCCGGGGTGCTCACACAAACATATGCGGAAGCACGCGCAGCATCGAAGGACATGTACTCGGTGCATGTGTGTCCTGTCGGAACGGTGACCATGCTTTGAGTTCCTTACAGACCAAGCGTGCACGACGTTGCCACTTGTTCGACCGAAAACGCCAGTCGTATACATGACGTGTTTTGAGGAGCTTCTCTTTGGGAACATGCACAGCCTCATCCATCGCTTCCAACACGGACATCTCTAGTAGTCGATGCAACTCATCGCTCCTGGACACAGCTTCCACTTCCTCTAGCTGTTCAGGGCCAAGAACAGGAGGTCCTTCATTTTCATCTTGGCCTTCCCACAACTTTTCGGGGTCATTCTCAGGGCTGTAGTCCATCCAGTCATCTTTCTCGAAATACCGAGCATCAAACTCTACCATGTTCCACCAATCGTCTAGATCTTCATCTCCCACATAATACTCGGCATCTCCTACTTTGACTACTCGAACACGCTTTGATGGACTCTCACTTCCTGCATAGAACGGTGGGGCCTGCAACCTCTTTTCACCCTTAGGTTCTGGAACAGACTCTGTCGGTGCATCTTTCCCTCCTGTCTCCATTGCCGATCCTAAGGCACGTGCTTCCCCTGGAGCTCCCTCCTCCCTTTCTGTTCGTTCACGCTTTCGATCTTCATGGGATTCCGGTCTTCTCTCACTGTCGGTGGTCATCTTATCTGAACTTGCACTTGCCGAAGACTCAGGGTCAGAGGCAGCTTCATCCACGGGTCCTTCTGTCACCACAGGCGGTGGTGGCGATGGTGATGGAGCCGGGGCGACCGGCACCATAGGTTCCAGCATCGTAGCTGGCTGTGGAGCTCGTTCTTTTCAACCTGGGATCACTTTGAGACCCATCCTGCGAGACCATATCTTCAGGGCTTTCCTTTGAACTCTCTCAGCAAGATCCGATCCCATTGATTCAGGTAGGCGCCGAATTGTCGAACTCAGATAAATTCCCAGGGCGGTCCCGCAGATATTGAGGTCATTTTGCATCGTCTTCCCCAAGAAAATTCCTTTAACAAACTTCTCCTTGCCCTTTCGTCTCAGTTTCGTGCGATACCTCAAGGGCAAGGGGGTCACCCCTGTACTCCTTTGGGTGAGATCCAAGACCTTGGGATCTTGAGGTTGGTGGATATGTTGTTTGCACTGCCAATCCTCTGTGGAGAACGATGCGTGAAGGGCGAGATGGAATGCACTGCGCATCCACCGTGGATCAACCGGTGGAAGGACCATGCGAGGAGTGGCATGTTGGTCTTCAAGGAGATGTTGGAAAAGGTGCATGCGATAACTTTGCTGTCGTGCATCGCGATGAGGATCCACGATCCGACCTTGGCCAAGGAGAACCGACCAGTGCCGCGTTGGGCATTTCATGTCTATGGCAACTACAAGGCAGTGTTGGGGTCGGTAGTGAGAATCGTTGATGATGAAGAGAAAAACAAGGCCAATGGTTGGAATAAAGTCACCGAGCACGAGACTAGGAGTTTGGTCAAGTGGGAATGCGACTACAAATGGCATCTCCCAACGGATTACGTGGAGAGATTCAATTTGATGATGCCATCGAATATGTGGCAGCAGGTGTGGCAGATCCTGTGCGAAGGAATCAGCGACTTTGAGGCTGAGGAGAAAGCCCATGAGAGAGATGGTGAAGAAAGCTGTGGTTCAGCAGGATCGAGAGTTCGAAGAAGCTGAAAGAAAGCGGACAGGGATTGCTGAGCTTGAGGCAGCGGAAGCCGAAGCGGAGGCGAGGAAGAAGGCCCGAATTGAGCGGGAGGATTCGAGGAGATCGCCCGTGTCGGTGGCCTCGCCAGTCATGGATGCTACCATGATCGCGCAAATCGCAGAGCAAGCGCGTGCGAATTTGAGCATCGCGGATCTGGAAAGGATGTTGAATGAGAGGAAAGCATCCGAGCAAAGCCGATCTTCGCAAGATGTGGTGATGAAAGAGAGAACGGCTGAGCTTGAGGAGATGAAGGATGCGGCGAAGGAGCGCCGATCGAAGGCGGTTGAAGCAGCTGCCGAGAAGAAAGATGAAGTTGAAGGAGAAGATTTGGATTGAGGTACTTGAAGACCTCATTGGGTGTGAAATGCCCGCAACCGTTTGGGGAACGCCATGGTATCCGTGCAGCCATGGCCCGCCCGCGTTTTTCCAACGGTTTTCGATGAGCTTGAGTCAGCGAATTTGATTTCGCTTGGTTGAAGTGGTGGTACAGTGATGAGGAATCGTGAAAGGACATGCCAGTCCTACTTCGCAAGGATTCTTCTGATTGCTACCTGTTTGCTTGTCTTTTTGGACGTGCCGATACAGTGGCTACGTTACGCGTTGCAAACGAATTTTCGGCGAATGGTATGCTGGAAGCATGACTGTGGAAAGGCCATGTTTTCGTCTGGGCTCTGCCAGCAGATGCACGCTGACGAGCTTTGTTTCCTGGAAAGTTTGCGAGATTGAAGGCTATGACCACGTCGAGGTTGAGTACTGAGAGTGGGTGAGCCTGAGACTTGCATTAATTTGTTTTAATCCGAGCTTCTGATTAATTGGTGGGGGCCCCCCACTCCCCCCACAATAAGGAATGCAGGGTTCCGCAATAGTTGGACCATGGCCCTGTATTGATTCTCTATTAAAAACAATAGGCTGCAGATCCCTGAGGTGCAAGCAAAACAAGAAGCCTGCCGACAAATTTTTGAACCCCCCCCAAAAAAAATCCTTTAAATGTGGGGGGTTTGTCCCATACGAAATCCACCCTAATGGAAAGTAGTCTTCCGGCGGGCTTCCGGCCAAAAAAAATTTCTTTAAATGTGGGGGTATTAATTAAACTGATGCTCGGATTAACGTGTTTGTCACCACGAACTCTTGGAGACCTTCCAAGACAACCCTGTCTAGTGCAGGAGAAAGCAAGTTGAATTCGTTTGTCACGAGTTTGGACAACGAGCTCTTGGGTACCAATTGGACCCAGGACAACCTGCCTTATGGTGGGATCTTGCATGAGTTTAAGTTTTATGTCAAAGATCGGCTGGTGTGTCGGTTGTTTCGCTTTGGTGGCGAGTACGCACCAAGGGAATGTGGCCAGGGCATCCCCTTAGTGTTGAAGTGCCGAGCTGTGCTTGGACTTTGGCTCTTTGGCATGAACCCTCAGCAAAATGCGGGGGGTGGAAGATCGTGGCTGATCATTGATGGTTTTGTCATGTTTTGGATCAGCTTGTTAGAGTTGTTTTGCTTCGGAGTGATTGGGAATCTTTATGATCCCATCCTCGATGGTTTTTGCCTCGATGATTTCCCTAGGAAATCATACGAGTATGTTTTTGCCCAATACGCTACTTTGAGTGAGTGTGCAGTGTGTAGGAACTTTGTTCTGAAGCTGAGTTTAAGCTCACATGTGAATTCGTTTAGTTTGCGCATTTCGTGACTTTTGGCTCAAGGCCTGCGAGTGAAAAAGACGTGTCCGCACTTGGTTGAGATAGGTTTGGGTTGGGCGTTTTCGGCTTGCCGACTAGACTCTCTTTCCCTTGGGTGCGGGAAGCCCGGGAGGGGCCGGGCGGGTTTTCTGGTGCTCATGATGTCGCTGCGGGGAGCCTTGTTGTAGGTTGCCCCCCCCTTTAATGGACGGCTGGGATGATGCAAGTTCTCCAGCTCAGACGCCTTCAGGCAGCTTTGAATACTCCATTGTACTTTGCTTATGTATGCATGAGATGCTCTTGTCTTTGTGGAAAATTTTCCTCAGCATGTACATGGAAGTTTTGTGAGCATGATAAGCTTGTGCATGACTTTGGGCCCGTGCAGTCTCAAACCTTTCTTTGAGCCAGGGGAAGGAAAATTTTCTTGTTGATGGACGCGAGCGCTTGGTCCTCTGAAGATTCGAGTGCATCAAGCCTGAGCTGGGACTGGGAAGCTGTGCCTCAGTTGCCTGCCCTGGTGCCGGTCGTGCTCCGACCTCGTGCTTTCCATCTTGGTCTGCTGCTCAGGCGCTTGCAGAGCCCGCCGTCCATCTTCACGTACGTCTTGACTGCTACACTGCAGGGTGTGCTGGTCAGTTTGGCAGAGGGCTCAAGGGTGCTGATCTTTCTTCGAGAGCAGGGATTGGTATTCCTTTTCTGCTTGTGATCGTGGAGCCCAGAATCGCCTTCGTGAGCTCCTTCCTCTGTCTTCGTGATGGAAGAGACACAATCTTCATCCTCCCCTGCAGGTTCAGCTCCTTCTTGGGACGTGGTTCAGCCTTCGGAGCCTTCAATTTCAGGGGGTGTTTGGGATCCGAAGCCTTTTGGTGAGTTTGCCCGTGAGGAGGAGTTGTTTGATTATGAGCCATCTTTGGTAGATGAAGCTGATTGGTACAACGCAGTTCGGGAGGACGGACCTTCGTCACCAGTTCATGAGGTGGGTGTGGAGGAGAGCCCCCCTTTTCGAGACAGTTTTGAGTGTGCTTTTCCGGAGAAGCCCTTATCCTTTGAACATCTGGGAGAGCCTTCTGTGTGCGCTGCTGAAGTAGCAGAACCGGCCAGCTCTTCGAAGATGCGGGCTCGGCTCAGTGACGAGGCCTTTGTTAAACTGGCTGCAGAGATGTCTTTCAAGAAATTGAGGGCGGAGGGTCCCAAACAGGCGTGGCAGGACCACCCTGTGTTTGGAGGCGACCCGTTCACGGCATCTTTGACCAGCTGGCTTGCCATGACCCCCAGCGTGGGGATTCGAGAGACAGTTAACCCTCCGGATCCTGATGTCGAGCTTGGCAGTGATGATTTTCAAGAGATTCCTTGGACTGTGCAACGAAGGCTGCAGAGAATCCGCATCGTGCGTAGTGACGAAGATGAGAGGAACCATGCCCTAAAGAAGCTCAAGGTCATGGTGCTCCTGGACCCTATGGCTACGAACCTAGGGAGACACTTGATGCTGAAAACGGGTGAGCTAGAAGACGAAGATCTGGTGGCAGCTAGTTTTTGCGATGCCGTCGCACAGAAGGCGGCGGGCACCCTCACCAAGAGAGCAGGGTCGTTGCACCGTCTGGTGGTCCAGCTCTTTAAGCAAGGCGTTGGATCTCCATGGAGGATGGAAGAGTCCGATTTGTATTCGGCGCTGTCGGCCATGCGGGACAGTGGCTGCGGTGCGTCAGCTCCTTCACATGTTTTGGAGGCTCTGCACTTCATGCATGCCGTGGTACATTTCCGGTGCATGGATCTCAAGGTTGTCATTTCTGCGAGGTGCAAGGGTCTGGCTCATTCGTCCTTCTTGGGAAAGCAGCCCCTGGTTCAGAGGGATTCACTGAAGTGCAAACAGGCCATGACTCTGGAGCACATCATGGTGAGAGCTGGAGAGGTGGAGCGCTGCGTTTTGGGTCATGTTCTTTTCTGCCTGCATGCGGTGTGCCGATGGAAGGACTCACAGCGATTGAAGGCTGTGCATCTTCTGGGAGACGGAGAAAGCCAGCTGATTTTCGCCGAAGCACTGGGAAGTAAAACTTCGCACAGCAAGGAGGCCAAAACCCGATTCACGCCGTATGCAGCTCTTGCGCAAGGCTTGACAGAGTGTGGATGGGGAAAACTTTGGCTAGATGCGAGGGCGCGTTGCGGCCTCACATTTGGTGAGGGCGCTGATGGTTTTGCTCTGCCTACATGGTCATTGAGGCTGGACACCTGGGGTTCGACCGAAATGGGCTCCGCGGAAGCGACAGCTTGGATTCAGGACTGGCTGGCAGACACTGGGGTAGAGAACCAGCGCATCGGCACGCATTCCTTGAAGACCACTTTGTTGACGTGGGCAGGGCGATCGACTATCATAAAGCTGACCGATGATGAACGCTTGCTTCTGGGCCACCACGTCCTCCCGAAGGTGAAGAGCATGGTGACCTACAGTCGGGAAGCGTACACGAGTTTGGCTGGAAAGGTTCTCGCGCTCTACCGAACCATTCGAAGCGGGGCTTTCGACCCAGATCTGGATCCAGCATCACGTGTCATGCAGGTGGCGGATGCTTTGGAGAAGGGAGTGCAGTCGGCCAGTACTGAGGGAGGACGGCGGCAAGTTTCGGGTTTGGAGCCACCGGTGGAGCTGGAGGCTGACTCTGATGGTTCCGCCTCGGAGCCAGAGGAACCTGAACCTTTCGACGTCCCAGGTCCGAAGCTGGTGAGGGCTCCTTTTGTGAACGTCGACCTGGCCAAGTGTAGAATCCATATGACTTCGGGCATAGCGCACTGCTTGAGGGAGGATGGCGTCTTCTTGTGCGGGAGGCTTTGCACCGAGAGATACTCTTCATATGAGGGCGTGGGAGCTGAGGATCCCGACGTCTGCTTGCAGTGTTCGCGCGCCAGGGGCGAGTAGAGAGAGACATCACTGCTGTGAAAGTCAAAAGAGGAGTTTACAACCTCAGGGGCCTGGGAGCGGCCCTGTGAGCGAGGTGTTCTTCTGGGTGCTGATGTGCGTGAGGATCGCGACCCTGAGTGCCTGGGAGATGGCACTCGATGGAGGGGGCGCGTTGCTGCAAAGACATGGCAGTTGAGCATCCAGTGGACTTTCATGTCAATGGCAGATGAGAGGCTCCAGCGAGGAAGAGCTTTCTAAGGATACACGTGCACGCATGCTGTCAGTTCATCTGTGACTTCATGCCGAGATTTCAATTTTGGCGAGTTCTTTTCAGATTGTATGGTAGTTCGAAGGGATCATTCGATCAGCCTTTGAGTGCCTACGCCGCACGGTGTGAATCATGGCTTCAGCGAACCTGGATTCAGAGGCGGCTTTCTTGGATAGAGCTAAGAAGATTGGCCTCACCGAAGAGACCATCCAGGGCCTGGTGGACAATGGTTACACCACGTTCGGGCGCTTGGCTTTCGCTGTGTCGGCGACGCCTACCACCTTGACTGATGAGGCTGTGGACGCGTGGATCAACGGTCTTGGCATCAGTCCCACCGGCTACCAGAAGGCGAGCCTGCGCCGCCTTCTCTTCGATGGCGTCAGCATGGCCATTGAGGAGGTCAAGTCACGGATCGAGCCCGGGGTGGAAGGACATCCGAAGAAGTTAGCAGCTGCCGAGCGCATGGACAGGCAGGCTCGCCAGGAGAGGACTCTGGGCGGCTTGGTCTTCACTCCTGAGACCCGGCCGGCGAACTCATGCGTGGACCTTTGTGTTGAGATGCTGGAATCAGGCGTTTTGCAATATCATCCTCCTAGCAAGTGGATCAGCCGAGCTCAGGAAGCCCAGTGCCTCAAGCGCGACAGTAGCGTCAATCTTGCAGCTGATCATAGCTTGAAGGTGACTATGAAGCCACATGAGCTCGCGTGCGACGTGGCTTCAGAGATGCGCCTTCGGCAAGCTTGGAGCAGAAGGTCGCTGGCTTTCGACATGGCTAATCTCGCTTCTTTTCGTGTGCTGGAGGAGCATGTTCAGTTCCTGTTCTCAGTTTTGCAGCGAGTTCAGCCAAAGGGATTTGCAGGAGTTCAGTTGTCACAGATCATTGAGGCCGACAAGCAGCTGTTCATTCTTGCAAGTAATAACTTGATGGGCAGGTTGACAGCACCTGCGGGCACAGATCCAGTTCTTGATGCCGAGATCACCCGCCTTTCACGTAGTCCCGAGATCATGCAATACTTGGCCCCCTTGCCGAATCCTCCGCCACACCAGTTCCTGCATGGGGGCAAGCCAGGGGACAAGGGAGGAAAGGGCGCTGGCAAGGAGAAAAAGGGGAAAGGCGCTGGCAAAACGCTTGATCTTCCCGAGGGGTGTGTAACAAAGGACGATGCCAACCGTCCGCTGTGCTTTGCGTACAACACGCATGGGTGCAAGAACAAGTGCAAGAACGGCAGGTGCCTCAAAGGTTTCCACAAGTGTTGGCGTAAGGGCTGCTTTGGAAGTCACCCTTTTGCTAATTGCCCTAAAGGGGGTTCTTGACGGGGCCCCCCAGAGGATGCGCCGGACTCTGGAGGGGTGAATTGTGGCGCACTGGAAACTGGGGATCTGTCCTTAGTGGATCCTGAGGTTTGGGCACAAACGCGTTTGAAGAGTGCTGCACAGATCTCGGAGTCCGACCTTCAGTCGCTCTTTGGTTTGCTTCCGAAGGATGAGGTGCGAGGAGGTTCGCGTGAGGTGCGTAGTGCTTTCGTGACTGGTTGCTATGCCCAGGGAGGTTTTCGTGGGTTGCGCAAGGAGTGTCACAATTTTCCGTTTGCAAGCCGAATTATGACCCGCTTCGTCCAGGAGCGTCTTCCCGGTCATGTGTTCTCCACTTGTGGCTTCTTTTCAAACAGTGCGACCCCTCTTCATAAGGATGGGCGCAACGCACCTTGGCCTAATGCCTTGTTCCGAGTCACAGACTTCAAGGGCGGCGGATTGTGGATTGAGGGACCTGGTGACGACGTGCGGGTTTCCGGTCAACTTGAGTTGAGTGGCAGCGTGCATGAGCTTACTTCCGAGCCGTTAGTTTTTGATGCATGGTCAAACTACCATCAGACTGAGCCTTGGACTGGCAATAGGCTTGTCTTGGTGACATGGGTCGTTCAGCAGCTCGGGGACTTGGGTGAAGCAGAGCTGGCTAGGGCGCGGGCCTTAGGATTCCTGCTGCCACCGGAGCTTCCCATCCCGCTTGAGACATCACAAACACTTTCTAGGCCTCCCTGCGCCTTTGAGTTGTTTGCTGGGAAAGGTTCGTTGTCCCGTGCCTTGCGCCAGGCAGGCTTTCACGTGCATAGCTTTGACCATCACCATTGTGACTCCTGTGTGCCTGTAGCTCAACTTGACCTGTCCTCTGAAGTAGGGCAGAGCCTTTTCTGGGATCTGATGAAGAAACATCCTCCGTTCCTCGTGCATCTTGGTTTGCCGTGTGGGACAAGCAGCAAGGCGCGAGGCAGACCTTTGCCAAATGGAGAGAAGGGGCCGTCTCCCCTGCGCAGCCGCGAATTCCCGCTGGGGCTGCCCAGCTTACAGCCTGGCTCTGTGGACTCTTGTCGGGTTGACACTGCCAATCGGCTCTATGCTTTCGGCTATAGAGTGCTGAGATATTGTCTGGACAATTGCATCATAGTTTGCATTGAGAACCCGCGCAATAGTTTCTTGTGGGAGATTCTTGCGGCGTTCGAGCCGTCTGAGCCCAGTCATCGCCTCCTGCCCCGTCTTTCTGAGGTGTGCTTTGATCAATGCTGCCATGGGGGCTCCAGGCCCAAAGGAACCAAGCTGCTGTGCTCCCCCAAGTGCTTTGAGTCGCTCCGTGCATCCTGCCCGGGAAATCACCTTCACAAGCCGTGGGGCCGGATCGTCGACTGCGGGAGTGTGCGTTTTGCAACCAAGGATGAGGCCGCATATCCTTGTATCCTTGCACAGAGGTATTCTCTCTGCGTGGCCCAGCGGGCGCTAGCGGCGGGTTTTTCGCTGATCCCCCAACCCACCGCGCGGAGTCAAGCTTTGCAGTTCGCCGGCAGACAGCACCGCAGACATGCTCCTCTCGTGTCAGAGTTTTGCCAGGTCACGTGGATGCCTCGGCAGTCTTTTGCCCCTTTGCCTCACCTGAAGCTTCTGCGCCCTTCGATAGGGGGTGTTCTGGCGCAGCAGGACCTAGGCATCCTTCAGGGAGGGACCATCCCTGGAGCCCCGCTCTCCCCTGGCACCCCTCAGGGAGGGACCATCCCTGAGGCTCCTGAGGCCCCGGGTTCCCCTAGCACCCTTCAGGGAGGGACCATCCCTGAAGCCCCCGGTTCCACTAGCACCCTTCAGGGAGGGACCATCCCTGGAGCCCCGATTTTGTCAGGCGCTGTTCAGGGAGGGAGCATCCCGGAGACCTCAGCCTTTGCGTCGCTTGAGCCTGGAACTCCTAGTGGTTCGCCTTTGCAGGATGGTTGTGAGGATTGGGTTCAAGTAGGGGTTCTTAGGAGTCCTTCTGAGTTTGTGGATGAGGCGAAGAAGGTGCCGCACCCAATGGATTCTGCCAATCCTTTGGAGGCTGTGACGCTCGCGGCCTTGAGGGAGAACCTCACCAAGGACCCGAAGCTGGTGGAGTTGAAGCGTCGGCTTGCTCTGGCTAGGGTGAGACGAGAGGTGAACAGACTCCAAGCTGAGGAGAGGGCGCTTCACAAATCAATGCCACGCTCGGTGGCTAAGGTCATGGAGGGCAAGGCCATCCTTGCCCTTGAGGCTTTGTTGCAGTCGGAGGGATATGACGACATGGGAGCCATCAAATTCCTTAAGGAGGGGGTGCCTTTGGTGGGGGTATCAGAGTGCCCTCCGTGCTTCGACTACAAGCTTGTGCCCGCGGCCTTGACTGAAGCCGAACTCTTCCAGACTGCACAGGTCAGACGGGAGGCGCTTTTGAGCAAGTCCGAGCCGATTGATGCTGAGGAGGCAAGAGTCTTGGCGGAGGCATCTCAAGAGGAGGTGTCGCTCGGTTTCCTTGAGGGGCCGTTTTACAGCAGGGATGAAGTTTCATCCCGACTCGAGACAGAGGACTGGACGGTGATACGCCGCTTCGTCATTTTCCAGGGTGCTGAGGGCAAAGCACGCCCAATCGACAACTGCCTCGAGGCCCAGCTGAACTCGGGGTACACATCGAGCATCCACTTGCGTTTGCAAGACGGTGACTACCTGGCCGCCATGGCCCTGTTCGTGGCCCGCGAGATCCACGAGGGCAGGGCGCACCCCGAGGCGAAGGAGTGGCACGGCAAGTGCCTTGACTTGAGCAAAGCGTATAAACAGCTTGCAGTTCTGCCAGCCCACCGGCCTCTGGCAGTCATAGCAGTGCGGCAAGAGGATGGGCGCGACGCCCTGTACCTATCAAACAGCTTGCTTTTTGGCAGCACCGCAGCAGTGTATGCCTTTAACCGGGTGAGCCGTTGCTTGTGGTTCTTGATCAATCGACTGCTCTGGATTCCTTCCGGGGTGTACTTCGACGACTACCCCCTGCTGTGTCCAGCGGCCACGGCCGACAGTGCTGACTCGGTTGTGAGCGACTTCTTGGATTGCCTGGGGTGGCGTCACGCCAAGACGGGTGTGAAGGGTCGTGCTTTTGCTCCAAGCTTTGACGTCTTGGGGATGACCTTGGGCCTAGACAGGGTAGCCCAAGGAGAGGTGAGCCTTGCCAACAAGCAGGGTCGCATCGAGCGCATTGTGGCCCAGCTTCGGGAGGTTGGTTCTAGGGGTGAGATTAGCAGGCAGCTTGCCCAGGTCCTGCAGGGTTTGTTGCAATACGCTTCGGGCTTCTACGCTGGCAGGGCTTTGAAACACGCCTCACATGTGCTCTCACGCATAGTGGGTGGCTTACACTTCAGCCCCCTTGACCTCCGAGATTTTTGCCATCACACCATCCGCCTTTTGCAGGACGAGACCCCGCGCATTTTGAAGTGCTTCATGACAACCGATGTCCTTCACCTTTGGACGGATGGCTCCTGGGAGGCAGGGGTGGCGGGAGTTGGACTTGCTGCTCACGACTGCTTCTCCGGGACCGGTTGGGTCTATGAGGGCCGTGTCCCGTCAAGGGTGCTTGAGCTGTGGAAGTCGGAGATCGGCGGGGATCAGCTGATTTGCGAAATCGAAATGTTCGCGATTCTTGCATCCATGATGGAATTGAGTTCCATCCTGGAGTCCCGAAGAGTAGTGTGGTGGGTGGACAACAACGCCACCCGCAGCCTCGTGATAAAAGGGGCCAGCAGAAGCTGGGCCATGCATTCTCTTGCCCGAATCTTCTCTCAGTTGGACCAGGAGCATCCATCCATGTGGTGGGTATCACGAGTGCCTTCCTTTTCGAACCCAGGTGATGCGCCATCGCGAGGTCACGGCATTGAGGTCGTGACGATGGTGGGAGCATCCGAAGTCCAACCCTTCTCCCGCTTGGAAGAGCTGGCGAAGAGGATCCTCGAGCTCAAGCGAGCCTGAACGCTATCAGGGGTGGTGGGGCTCACTTGAAGGCCGTAGTGGCGGCCGGGAGACTTCTTGAGACTGCACGTGGCCCTCGCGCTACCCCTGATGCTGTATGAGAAAAAGGAACGATCGAACTGGGTGGAATATGCATGAGTTATTCCCATCAGGAATTTTTAAGGAGTTGCTTAAGATGAGATATTCCGTTTGAGCGATAGTTTGAGATGAGTTTTCTCCCCTTTTGTATATATATGTTTGGGAATTGAGATACACCAAACCAGAAAACCCCCGTACCCAGAAAGAGGGGCGTTTTCGGCTTGCCGACTAGACTCTCTTTCCCTTGGGTGCGGGAAGCCCGGGAGGGGCCGGGCGGGTTTTCTGGTGCTCATGATGTCGCTGCGGGGAGCCTTGTTGTAGGTTGCCCCCCCCTTTAATGGACGGCTGGGATGTTGCAAGTTCTCCAGCTCAGACGCCTTCAGGCAGCTTTGAATACTCCATTGTACTTTGCTTATGTATGCATGAGATGCTCTTGTCTTTGTGGAAAATTTTCCTCAGCATGTACATGGAAGTTTTGTGAGCATGATAAGCTTGTGCATGACTTTGGGCCCGTGCAGTCTCAAACCTTTCTTTGAGCCAGGGGAAGGAAATTTTTCTTGCCCTCCCTCCCTCCCTGGGGTGGTGGGGCTCACTTGAAGGCCGTAGTGGCGGCCGGGAGACTTCTTGAGACTGCACGTGGCCCTCGCGCTACCCCTGATGCTGTATGAGAAAAAGGAACGATCGAACTGGGTGGAATACGCATGAGTTATTCCCATCAGGAATTTTTAAGGAGTTGCTTAAGATGAGATATTCCGTTTGAGCGATAGTTTGAGATGAGTTTTCTCCCCTTTTGTATATATATGTTTGGGAATTGAGATACACCAAACCAGAAAACCCCCGTACCCAGAAAGAGCGTGCTTTCAAGGGAAAAGCTACCAGAGGGACCTTCGGTTTTTCACGTGCTTTTTCATAGCACTTTCACCAGACTAGTGTAACGGGAAAAACATTCTAGCATTTCGACAGGCAAATTTTTTTATGTCTTGATCACTTGCCTCAAAACGTTTATATGGTGTGGCATCATCTCGTAAAAATAAGCTTCAATATCAGAGCTTATGTCAATTCAAAGATTCACGCTCACTTTTTCTTCCAAGGCGTCGTGGGGTGAGTGTGCGGTCTACCACATACAGTGGCGACATGTGTCCTCTGCCAGGTACGCGATACAATCCGGCGATCTCAACTCACCCTGTGCCTAGTGAGCGGGTCGTGTCAGTCTATGGCGTCGTTCAAGGAATGTCTGTACAGCGTCGCTCTCCACACGTTTGCCCAAGGCATCAGAGGTCTCCCCACGCGAGGGGGAGTCTGCAATATTGCTTGCGCTGCAAACTCGTTCAACCACGGGAGGGCATCACTAAGGTCAAGGATTGAGTGCACCAGCCTCATGATAAGGTCTCCAGTTTGGTTGTCAGAGAAACCTTTGATCATGGATCCCAGCGTACCATTGTTATCTGTAAATATGACCAGGTGTTTGCCTTGGAAAGTTCGGTGCCATAGCTTTATGGCACAGAGAATCGCCAAGCACTCCAGTTCGGAAATTGGGTTCTTGCTCTTGTCGCGATTGATCACACCAAGCGCTTCAGCAGTAAGCATTTGTGAGAAAAACTCGCATGGGCTGCCATTCACCACCGAGTCCCACAACCAGCCTCGCTTCAGCTCGTCTTGCGTAGCCTCAAATGTTGCAGCATCTAGCTTCGAGTCGCCGGAGCTTCGAATCGAGGCTAGCACATGCTCACGCGCAAAAGGTGCGGCTGTCTCAAGCTGGCCAATTGTCATCGTCGCAGTTGTGCGTTTCGGTCTAAAGACCAACAAGCGATGTGTCTCCATGCGAGCTGGCATGTAGCATCTCTTTAAAAACCAGAAGTCGGTTCTTTGCAAGGACACGGCCGCAATGCGAGGGAAGTGCCTGCTTAAAAGCAGTCTCGTCGTCAAGGAGGTCGTTGGCCCTTGATACCCAGCGTCGTATCATCGCTGTCCTCTCCTGGCCCAAGGTGGCTGGAGACTTCGAGGAGTTCTTTCGGATGACAGTAGCCAGGGCATCTGGAACCCCATCCACAATGTTGTTTGGATGTCCAGCAGCTGAAGCACGTTGCACAAACTCCGAAGGAGTCCACGGGATTCCCATGACGATAGTGCAAGGTTCGGAGGACGTGATGACACTGCCCGTTGCATGCAGCTCCACCTGCCTCTCCTGATGCTTGTCATGAAGCTGAGCTCCTTGAGGGTGGCAAGGTCGGGTGGTTTCAGGCTTCGTGTATCGCCGAGTGTATATGCCGCAATGACAATTCTATTGCCGACCCACGGCTGCGTTGCGTGCCACTTGTCTGCAGCACAGAACTTTATAGGTGCACCATTGAACTCCAAAACTCGGCCTTTGACAGGACGACCCTCAACGTACGGGTAATGTTACCGGACGCATCCTCAACCCAAACACCACCCTTCTTGAAGTGGCTTATAAGGCACGCAACAGGGAACTGAAGGCCTGGTCCACTGCACATTTTGCAGCTTGAAGGTTAACGAAATCAGCGAGGACTTTACAGCTTAGGGGATCTGAACGCACCATTAGTGGCACTCTCGGTGGGGCTCATGTTGGGGAGCAACTGGCATAGACTTTCCACAGCATCCCGGTCATGGGTCAAAGCACTGTCAAGGATCTGCCGAGCTAGGGTCTCGGGCTCTGAGGTCGGAAACACTTTGAGGCGTTTTGGCGGAAATTCAAGAGAGAGCCCAGCAGGGGCCAAGGGAACGGCATCGGTCATTGGTGTCATTAAGACAGGATTAGGGGAAACCCGAACTAAAGGGGGGGGCTTCGGCTTGCACCACCACCCTCGCAACAACCGAAGGACCGACTACCTTTAGAACCTTCCGGAAGGCAACGCAGTGCACACGCGATATCCTCAGGAAAGGTCTTGACGGCAGGAAACTTCCCACGCAGTGCTGCTGCTGCCATCTTGTCGGGCTCGCGAGCCTCTACACTACCGAGTTCAAAACCTAATGTTGCGTCAAAAACATGTTTTGTGTCTTCACATGCACCACAAGCCAGAACTCCGAACAACTAAGGAGTCCCCGCAGCACCACTTTGCACAAACACCCTGCAAAACTCATGAGAGAGAGAGACCAAAAAAAAAGCACGGTAACCGCGTCCCAACAGACCTCCGACATCGCGCGCCGTTGGGGGCGGCTCCTCCTTCGGGAGGGGCCAAGCGTGCAGAGAGGGAGAGAGAGAGATTGTGGGGATCACTTGCGTGGTATGGTATGACATGGTAGTAGAATGGTTTTCTCCTGGCAGTTTCAGTTTCACGCCGACCTGACCAGACGGATTCGCGTGTCCGGGCGCGCCCAGTGCGCGGGGGGTAGGGCTGGGCAAAAGTTTCACATGGACACCGCACTCGGGCGAGCGTGTGCGCGGGGGGAGCTCTCGGGCCCCCGCTCAGCAGAAGAAGAAGAAGAGAAAGAAGAACAAGAAGAAGAAAAAGAAGAAGAAGAAGAAGAAGAGAGAGAAAAAACAATGTGTGTGTGTGAGATTATTGTTGCGTGGCGTGCGACCTCTACGCTGTAAGCGTGTCTGGTGTTTGAATTCGGGTTCGTGGCTTCTATTCAGGTTTCGTGATGTTTTGGGTGACCCCGACTGGGCCCCAAGGTTTTCCCCGGCCTGCCCCCGCGGCATCGGGTTGCAGCTCCTCCCAGCAGAAAATGGCGGGTGTGGGGTGCTTGTTGCAACGCTTCTCGGCTGGGGCCGAGACGAACCAGCTGTAGCACCAACAATGACGGCACTGATGGCAGGAACACTAGCACAAAGGGAGTATGCACAAGATCAGCGGCATGTAGAGCAAGTTTGTGTTGGGTCCTGTCAATTTGAAGCAAGCCTTGGTTCCTGTTCTTTTCCTTGCCTTTGTCCAACATTCCAGCAGCCTTTTCAGCGAGAAACCACTTGCTATAGATTGCTTTTTGTTGGAGGTGTGAAAGCCCTCAGACCTCCTCAAAGCTCTTGAACCTGATGCGCGTTTCATGGAACTTCTTTGTGGTGCTGGGCGCTGGGGCCTTCGGATTCTTTGGCTCCTGCTCAAACCACACGTGCGACAGCGAGCAGAATGTGCTGCTGCAGCGCCGGACTATGATGGAGAAGGCCCAAGTTCCCCTTCTTCTTTAAACCGTTGATCTTTTTTCTTTGGAGGGTGGGCCAGGGTCTAAAAAAACTGTGTTTTCGACGAGCGCAGGTTTCGGTCCTCGACGTGGACGCTGGCAATGTTTCGTTTTCCACGACGCGATCTGCGAAGGACGGTCGTGATGCTTTCGTTGAGTTCACTCACCGTAGCAAAAGCTCAAATCAATTGTGCACATCCCCTTGAGACTGCTGGGACCCTGCTACTGGACCCCCCTCCCCTTTTGGGTCCCTCTGTCCTCCTTTCCTGTGGGCCGGCCCGGCTGCCGAGGCGGCGCGCGCAAGCGTTTACAATTAGCTGATCGCCCAACCCCTGCTTGGTTGATTCTGGAGGTTTGTGCATGGAGAACAGATTTTTCACTTGAGGCGAACCGGATTCCTCGGGGCTGCCCAGCCCGAAGTCCTCGTAGACAAACCGTGTCTAAACAACAATCAAAAGCAGCGACACTTTGTAAAAGCAAAGAGAAGTGCAGACATGCACACAGGATGTCAGTGACACCCTCTCCATGTCTTCCCTCGATGAAGGGTGCCAGGGGGGTCCCGGGGATGAGGTGGCGACAGGAATCGGTTTGCTCCAAGATGGGGGGGTCCCATAGGGCGGGCGGGGGGGGGGGGTGGGTGCGTCACGGGGGAAGGGTTGGGTTAGGAGGAAGGAGACCGGATCCGTGTCTGCTTGTTCCAAACGCTTCTCGGCAGGAACGAGGCGAGAGTATTGTTTCTCCGCGGCTTTTTGTAGAAGGGCTTTGCCAGCAAACAGGCCAGCGATCAGTTCAAGCGCGCTAGCCTGCAGGCGTTCGATCCTTCCAAGTCATCTCCTGAACAAGAAGTATCGCAGGACAGACGCAGGGATTTATCTTAGAAGGGTTGAACTGCTATTGGACGTGCAAAGCGCCCAGTGACAATTTGCTCGCAGGCGACTTCGTCGAATCCTCCAAAGCCGGAGGGCGTTTTAACACAAGATGCCGAGGAGCTGTTGTGGACTTCACTGGAGCTCGCAGGGATCTTGTCAGGGTGACACGAAGAAATGCTGTCACTAACTGTCATTACCCATTCACTTTAATTGCGCAGTTTGCGCGGGTTGTCGTGGTGTGTTCTTGTTCCAGTGTGGTCTTGTCGGTGGCAGTTGTGCATCCAGGTTCAGTGCATGTCGGCATGTGTGTGGGGATGAGTAGGTGTAGGGTTTTGGATTGCTTTTGTTGGGACCGCAATTCCACCTTCGAAGTGGGTGAGGACAAGAGCTGGTGGCCCAGTCCAAAACGTGCATCCCGTCTCATTCGAGCTTCACATGTTGTGTGTTCGTTCTGTATTTCAGAAAGGACGAGATTCTTTGAGATCCAGATGTAGGAGTTTGTGCACTGCCGTTTTTGCAGGCATCCAAATGGGGTCATCACCAGAGGTACCAGGCTCCAGAGGCAACGGCTCAGTTTGCCTTGTGCCGCACAGTGCACTAGTAGAGTTGGAGCCTGCTGGCATTATGATGGCCCTATCTTGGCCGAGGAGCCTCCGCGCGAAGGCTTGGCCAGTGCGCTTGCAAACCTGACTGCCGTGACCGCCCAGCTTGCAGAGAACTCTGAGGACTGCACGAAACATCTCAGCGTCTCGAATCCATGCAATATCGATACTGAGTGATACTGTGCACAAGAAGCTCCATGTCACTCCCTGTTACTTGTCCCTTGAGGCGCTGGATGCAAGCTCCGATCGTTTTGAGGCTTTGGTGCCAAACTACCAGGAACTCTTCGCGAACCTGACAGCCGCCGCCAACATCCTTCACTCCCTGACGTCGGGTGGCGCGGGAGGGCCCAGGCGGCGCCAAGTTGACCTTCCGACTTTGCCGCCGGGGCCTTGCAGCCTTGATGAGGGGGTGCTGCCCAAGAGTACTTGCAATGAGACAGCGGATTTTGAAGGGTGCAATTTCACCATCAGCAACCAGAAGAGCCTTGCCAGTTCCAACACCTCCATCCTGCCGGGCTGCCCCTTGATTTGGGACAGCTTCCAGGAGCTCTTCCTATACTGCAACCTTCGCAATGAGACGCGGAGGGTCACCGCCACCACCTGCAACGGACAAGGCGTTCAGATTCGTTTTAGGTTCATGTTGTGCACTGTGCACCTTGTTCCGAGAGATGTGGGCACATGCAGGAATCTCACAGTTTGACCACCAACTGGCCGCGTTCAAGAGCTACAACAACGCATGCTCACGAGTGGGGTGTGATGACAACACCATCGGCCCTCTTGCCTGCAGCGACAGCTGGCTGCTCGGGAGCGCTGTTTCGAAACAGAACGCAGAGAAATGCGAAACGAGCAGAAGCCAACAGATGAATGAGAGAGACAGAGAGAGGGAGTTCCTTGTTGAAATGCAAATGCCTTGCGCATCGTCACCCTTGGCCGGGAACACATGCGCAGTGTCCAATGTGGGACGGTAATCGCAAGAAACATGTGCACGACATGGTGGTTGTGGTGTCAGACATTCATGGGGGTGGGGGGGGGCACCAGAAATGGGGTTGGGCTGTCCGATTGTCAGAAGCCTGGGTGGAGTGAAGGAGATATTTGCAGTACGTGGCCCTGGGCAGAAAAAGATTTCTTGCAGAGGTAGACGCAGTGGAGAGGGCTGATAACATGCCAGGAGATTCGACGAGCGCGCCACGCTGCAGTTTCTTGCCGAACCGGGTGCTTGCATTTACATTGTGCAGCAGCCGCACAAAGGGAAGGAGGGCACCGCAACCGACTTGCTCTTTGTGTCCAGCGAGGCCATGTCCGGTTCTTCTCCCGACCTCAGTCCAGCCCCCGGCCCGGACCCAGCTCCCGGCCCAGCTCCCGGCCCAGCTCCCGGCCCAGCTCCCGGCCCAGCCCCCGGCCCTGGTCCAGGCCCTGGTCCAGGCCCTGGTCCAGGCCCTGGTCCAAGTCCCGGCCCGGGTCCAGGCCCAGGCCCTGGCTTGGTCCAGGCAACCCTGAATCTGGTCTCTGGTTCAACAGGCCTCTTGCAGCAGAACACCACAAAGATGAGCTCCCCAGACATGCTCATGGCGAAGATCGATGCCCTTCTGCAGGATGCGGCCGAGCAAAGGCGAGATGTGGCCGAGCAAAAGCGCGATGCCGCCGAGCAGAGACAGCTGCTCAAGAAGCAAGCGGAGGCTTTACAAGACCTGCAGCAAAGGGTGTCTTCGCCTGTTCAAGCCGGAGAACTCGGGCGGTGGGATGATGCTTTCTCTTCACGTGCTGCACCCCAGACCAACCCGAAACTGCCGAAGCTCCAGGACAAACACCCGGATGCATCCAGCTTCGAGCTTTGTGCAGCGTCCCAGGCGATGCTAACGCAGAAAGGAAGCCACAGCCGCAAGAGCAGTGCCGCCACCACGAGTTTTAACATAAATGATCCAACGAGCACTACGACAACGAGCACGACGACGTCGAGCACGACGACGACCACTACCACTCGTGCGTACTTGGACGCATGCGACGTTGGTTCTTCTGCTGGGATTCCAATCTTTCAGCCTTCCACGGATGGCTCCCATTCTGTCGTCTGCTGCCGCTATGACGCGTTGTACTGTGCTGGCTGTGCTGAGCTGACAGAGGCTGGGGATGCCTGCGAGACTTGTGCAGGCGGTTACACGCAGAAGGATGATGGCACCTGCGAAGCCTGCATGGACATGATCGACTGGGAGAGTACAACATTCTTTTCCTGTTCTGCCTTGTCTCCTGATGGATGCACAGACGAGAAGTTCGACCAATTCTCCTCTCGGGAAGCTTGCTGTCAGTGCGGCGGTGGCCTTCGATCGGCCACCCCTTTCAACTACTATGTGGGCGCGACGGTCGTGGGTGCCAAGGGCAGAGTTTTCATATGTTTTCATATGTTTTCATGCTTGAGCATCTTCCGGCCTTTTCGCATGCCCGGCGTCCCGGCGTCAGCTAAGGTGCCACAAGTGTCCTGGGATACCCGGTCCCCCGAACAGCATCGCACTACTTTCTCAACGAGGCATCGCGGCATCGCCACATGAGTCACATGAGTTGAGGTGTTGGAAGTAAGCACCCGACGTATGGCTCCTTACGGCGTGAGCGCTCCTCGCTGATTGGCAGGGCTGCAAACTCCTGGAGCATGGTTAGGGCCCGAGTCAAGAGTCCTGTGAAGTTTCTGGGTCAAGATCTTGAAGTCGCATTGCTCACTCTTAAGGCCTGACGATCTCCGGTGGGACAGGGGAGCTGAAGCTCCTGGACAGCTGCACGTCAGTTGGCTGTGGCTCCACAGAGAGTTTCTCCGTGTCTTGCACGATCACCGCAGAGCAAACTCTCGCAGATGGGCTGGAGATTTCGGCGACTGCAATTGGAGGGGGTGCTGAAGCTGTGAGATTGTATTCGATGACACTTGGGCAGAGTCTCGTTTACACTGACAGAGACTACACCTTCACGTCACTCGCAGACTACGACCCCAACTGCTTCTTCCTGCGCGGCCCGAACTCTGACAAAAACACGGCCTCGTCACAGGCAGGCTTCACATGCACGCTGTGTCAGTGGCCTCGTCAGTCTGTCATGCTGTCGCTGACTTCGAGTGGCTTGCAAGGTTGTTTCTTGTTGATGTCCTATTGGGTCCTATTGCTTTGTGGCCATGTTGAGTGAGGTTCGAGGTGAGATCGCAAAGGTGAGGATACATTCCTGCATCCAAGCCTGTTACCAAAACTAACAGGGCCGCGACTCATCACCGCGACTCATCAACCAGAGTCGTCTATGTTCATCGCAATGCTTCGATCGTGAGAGATCGTGAGTATGACGTTCTTATGGCATGTCATCCTTGCTCTCAGGTGCAGTGGACCATCACGGCAAGCTTCGATGCCAACGTCTACTTGGACATGTGGGATGGGCAGGAAGCCCTTGGCTTTGCAAGCTGGACGGATCGCTCTTCGTGGACGACTTCCTTGCTGGCGGGTGTCACCTATGGTTCGGAGGGGCCGGGGAGCGTGTACACAAGGGCATACTCAGCTTCGGAGACCATTACACTTTATGGCAACGAGGGTGGTGGAACTGGCACTTACTTGGTCTTTGTTTGTCCATCCCGATCTACGTCCACGAGGCTCACGGCCTCTGCTGAGCTGACAGTGACGGCCTTTCAGGGCTTCTCCTACGGCGCGTTTCCCTTGATCTTCCTCTCTTGGCAGGACTACTCCTACTTGCCTGAGACGGTGCAGGGCGATCAATTCCAAGACTTGGCCTGTGCTCCCAAAGAGGTGGCAGATGCACTCAGCTTTGATGCAAGCACTGGCGAGATCACATGGGGTTCCACCAGCACCAGCGGTGGCGTGATCTTCGATGGGAGTGCCCTGGCAGGTATGAAGGGAAGCAGGAGCGGCATTTGCCAGCTGACTCAGGGAAGCGCCACAAATGCCTTCGCTGTGATCAAGCCCGAGATCTGGCAGTCTTTGGACTACAACTACGGCGGAACGATCTACGTGACTCTGGGAGAGGATTCGCCCACCCTGAGGCCGTTGTCCGAAAGTCACAAGGTTGCGCCAAGCCGCTTCTCAGCGCAGGCGCTCTCCACAAAGAGGTTGTTTCACATCTCATGATTCTCACATATTCTCACATTGGGAAGGGGCAATGCGAGATGGTGCACTGTAGCATGATGCATTGTTCGGTGACATTGCAGCCGCTGTAGCTGCTGAGGTGCACGCGGTGGACGGGGCTGATGCCGAGTCTTTCTCCTTTGATGTCCTCACAGGCGCATGCACCTACCAGGGCTACGAGCTTTTTCAGCTCAACATCCAAACTGGTGCCTTGACGCTGTCCCCTGCTGAGAGCATCGCAGACCTCTTGGAGGCCACGAGTGTGCGCTCATCCATGGTAAGGACCTTCACCATCTTTGCCCATTATGAGTGGCCACCGCTAGGGACAGGCCCTATCCTGCAGCAGAACATCACAATGGACTTCCGCGAGGACACCTGCTGGCCCAAGCAGAACTTGAGCTTCTCGTCGCGGACCAACTTCACAAGCGAGTCTGTAGTGGATGAAGCTGCTTGCAGACAGCTTTGCCGAGACAAGCTGGACTGCACCCATTATGCATTTTCTGACGGGTGCTATGAGTACAGCCAGCTGTGTGTTTCAGACTGCGCTTTTGAGAGTGTGGAGGTGGCTGCCCGGTATCCTGGGTGTGGCGAGAGGACGTCCTGCGTGTACCTGGACCTTCCGAATTTTTATTTCCTGTCGGGGAGGTACTGCCCAGCAGGCCATGGTGGTGTGTTTTGAAACCTGCAAACGGTGCCCATGTACATGCGGGTGCTGTACTCCAGCATACTCCACCTCCAACGACTGTAAGATGCATGTTCCGACCTTTTTCCCTTTTTTTCCCTAAGCTGCTGTTTTCAGTCGACAGTTGCCAGCAAGACTTCTGAGCAGGTGAGAAGCAGGCAGCCGATGGGCAGGTCTTCAAGAAAAGTGGCCGCACTGAGGAGGATTCCTTTTGGTTGGCCGCCTACGATGAGACGCTGGGCGATTCATGCACCGGCAAGACTTGGATGCTGCAAATGCCCGACGACCTTGACTTCCTCAATGACACCGCACATTATCTGGAGCTTCATGGCGAAGGCGCGCTCATGGCATCGTTAACAATGTTGCTGGTCAGAGTCAGAGCATTTGTTGCTATAAGCCCGCCCCCTCTTCCCGAAAGGTGTGGCTTGCCTGGGGGCCGATGATTTCATCACTGACCTTTTCGAGTCCTCACCTCACACTGTCGACTTCGTGTACGTTGGGAACTCCGTGACAGGCACTGGCACGGCCACGTTGCGGGTGCCAGGTTGCAGCGCTCCAAACCTGACCATGGCCCACAAGCTCCAAGCGAAAGGGGACATCGAGTCCGACCAGGAAGACTTGGCTGCTGTCAAGATGCTGATCCTGGATGACCCGTCCACTGCCTTGGTGGCCGACGCTTGACTTGATGTGAGCTTCGAGGCACAGGCTTGTTTTTGAGAAGGCATCGAGGCCCCTTTGAAAACCTTTAGCTGTTGAGGACCACTGGCTGCACCCTTGCCAATGTGCCCCGGCTGAGTGGGGAAGCCAAGAGCCCGTAACAAGCGACGCGGTCGAAAACATCCCGGCCGGAAGTTCCAACGCCTTTTACGCAGCGCCTTTTGAGATCGTGGCGGGCGCATTTGTGTGTGACCAGCGCTACCTCTTGAAGGTTCATGTGAACATCGACACCGAAAGCTTCGACCCCGAGGTGTGCGAGGAGCCCCGAGTGCCCAGTGCCCTCTCGTCCCGCGTCCTTGCGCGTCCTTGTGTGTCACCCTTGTGATTTCTTTGCCGTCCCTGGGATCCCCCGTTCTGTTTTCAGGAAATGTGTGCGGAGCAGCCTCTGTGCAAGTTCTTTTGGGCTGGCGCGGTGGGCTCCAGCAACCAGTGCCAGCCTGCTGATTTACAGCTCGGGAGCTGGGGAGTACATGATGTAATCGGCAAGCGTTCGTTGTCGGCGGTACTTTGTGCCCATGTCCCAACATGTCCTAATCAGTCCCAATCTGAGGCTGGTTTTACTGGCATTGCGACACCCTTTACCGACAACTTGGCGTCAACGGAAAGTTGCTGGCCTGGGAGAGAACATCCAAAGTGTGCAGGGTGTCCAACGTTGAAGTTTGTTGGCACACCACGAAGCGTCGGGAGTTCTTGGGCGCCTTCCATTCTTCTGACCCCTTTACTTTGCCCGCTTGTCTGTACCAAGACCTCTTCACTCAATGCGATCAAAAGCTGATGCTCGGGGGGAGCGGTGTTGAGAGTTGCGGCCAGTGCATGTACGTCCGTGTGGAAGACGGCAACTACGCTGTGTCGCCTCCGAAGTTGGAGCCGGCTCTTGCGGGGGCCCTCCTGGCGTTTGAGTCTGCCAGCATCGAAGTCCTGAAGCGCAGCGTCATGGAAGCGGGCACTGCCTCCGTTTGGACGGATGGCACCGAGGTGTTTACGAGCTTGGGTGGCCTCAGTGGCAGTTGCTATTACGTTCGAGGACCTCAAGAGACTGATCGAACGTATCCAGATAAGCACGCGACTTAGCCGTCACCCCAGCTCTGCTTGAAGAATCTCACATCAAGCTGTCCCCAGACCCGACGTATCCCGATGTTCTGCTGTTCGTAGTGTTCCGATGTGTCGCGTTCCAGCATACTTTGAATATCTTTGAATACTTGTGAGGCTTTGGAAGCTTGCCATCACCGCCCCTTCAACAGTGTACCTGGACTTCATCACAGGGGACTTCGGAGACTTTGACAGTTGGGACGAGCGAGGTTTGTGGATGGAGTCTTTGGAGGGAGGTGCGACGGGCGCTGTCACTGGGCAAGGCTCCATGTATCATCGAGCTTATCCTGGTGGAGAAATAGAGCTTCCGGCTGGCGACTACTTGGTTTGGGTTTGCGTTGAGAGCGGGCCACCATCGGCGGCGCATGTACTCAGCAACTACGAGCTTGTGCAGTGGACCGATTCAGCTCTCGATAGCTTCGGCTTCACGGACCGGGTCGATGGGGACGCAATTTACAAGTTCACCAACCTTGGAGGTGTACGGCAAGATGGTGCTTGCTACTTCCTTCGCGGTCGCAATGACGCCAAGAACACGGACTACACCGCTATCCAGTGGAGCATCCGGGCTCCATGGCCGGCCGTTGTGTACTTGGATTTTCTGATGGGGACGGACGGTGAGGGCTTCGGCTTCGCGAAATGGCCTGATCGATCCTCATGGACAGTGTCATCGTTGGCAGGTGTTGAATCCATAAATGAGGCTGATGGCTCAACGACGGGTCCAGGAAATGTGTACAGCCGGGTCTATGCTGCCGGAGAAGGCATTGAGCTTCACGGCAACGATGGCGATGGTGCGGGCTCGTATCTTGTTTTCGTGTGCCCCGTGATCACGGATGAACGTATCTCAGGAGACAGTCACACGACTTCTGTCGCCGAATGCCCGAGCGGTTCTGTTGTGGTGGATTGTGCGACAGATCCGGAGCAGACGGGGTTTAAGCTTGTCGCAACGAGCACTTCGTGTGAGGCTCGCGCAAGCAGCAACGTAATGGCCATCGCAACTTGCTCCAATGGAGGCCCGGGCCCCAGACTGCACACATCTGCACACATCTGCACACATCTGCCCACATCTGCCCACATCTGCCCACATCTGCCCACATCTGCCCACATCTGCCCACATCTGCACACTGTTTCATGCTGTTTCAGAGTTCTCTTTCCTCAGGTGAGACGACAGTTGCAGACAGCGGCTTCGTGGGGGGCCCCGAGACCATCACGCTGAGCTGCGATGATGGTCTTGCACCCTCCTCGTGCAGCTGCGAGGAGTGACAGGGTTAAGAACACCACAAAATCAAAAAACACAGACTCACAAATAAGGTTCGACAAGCATAGCAGAGAAAGAACAGACTGCTTGCAGCAGGAAAACGATCAGAACGACGCCTCTCTGGAGGCGTGCGGCAGCTTGTATTTTGAGCCCTCCGGCAATGCTTGTGAGCTGGCATTTACTTCTGCCGACGTGATGCCCAAGATCTATGCAATTTGCCACCGGGAATCAGATGACCTGCCCACATCCAAATTATTGCCAGCCTTAGGGCCAAGTCAGGTGCTCGGGGTGATCGAAGTTGATTTCGATGAATACGACCGATCTGTTGCCAGCTGCCCAATGGGCTCCTATGTCGTGGCTTGCGCCACATTTCCTGAGCAAGCTGGCTACCAGAACGTTCCGACTAGCACGACCTGCAGCATTACCTCCACGGGCAACACCGATGTACTTGCTGTGGCGACTTGCTCTTTCGCAGGCGCTTTGACGGAAAACTCGTGATTCCATGGTAGCATCTAGATGTGCCTTCCAGCCGTAGAGAATCTTAGAGGCTTAAATGGCTTAAAGGAGGTCGAAGGCTCTTTATGGGCGGATTTTTGGTTTCGATCCCGGCTCACGAGGTGACACGGTGATCCAAGTCAGCGGCTTCAAGTCCGGGGGAGAGTTTGTGACAGTGACGTGCGATGATGGCACTGAGCCCACGTCATGCACTTGCGAGGACGCGTTGAGATTCGTTGAAATCATCAAACAAAGACAGGCTACCTTAGGTCCGCACCCTCCAAGCCTTCCAGCCTTCCCTGCAGGAGAGTACCGCAAACACGAACCTCGCGGTGTGCGGAGAGGTTTATTTCGAGCCTTATCATGCAGCGTGTTCGAAGCAGTTGGGCAGTTCAGAAGGCATAGAAGCCAAAATCTCCGCGATCTGCCAGGCCAGGACGGTTCAACAAAGGAGGGAGAGGGAGAGGGAGAGGGGGAGAGGGGGAGAGAGGGAGAGAGGGAGAGAGTGAGAGAGGGAGAGAGGGGGAGGGGTAGAGAGGGGAGAGAGGGGAGAGAGGGGGAGAGAGTGGGGAGAGAGGGGGAGAGAGGGGGAAGAGGGGGAGAGAGGGGGAGAGAGGGGGAAGAGGGGGGGAGAGGGAGAGAGGGGGAGAGGAGCGGGAGAGAGGAAGCGGGAGAGAGCGCGGGAGAGAGAGAGAAGCGGGAGAGAGAGCGGGAGAGGGAGGGGAGCGGGAAGGAGGCGGGAGAGGGAGCGGGAGAGGGAGCGGGAGAGGGAGCGGGAGAGGGAGCGGGAGAGGGAGCGGGAGAGGGAGCGGAGAGGGAGCGGGAAAGGGAGCGGGGAGGGAGAGGGAGAGAGGAGGGAGGGGGGCTTCTAAAGCGTGCAGAAGAAAAGTAGAAGAAGAAGAAGAGAAGAAGAAGAAGAAGAAGAAGAAGAAGAAGGAGAAGAAGAAGAAGAAGAAGAAGAAGAAGAAGAAGAAGAAGAAGAAGAAGAAGAAGAAGAAGAAGAAGAAGAAGAAGAAGAAGAAGAAGAAGAAGAAGAAGAAGAAGAAGAAGAAGAAGAAGAAGAAGAAGACGAAGAAGAAGAAGAAGAAGAAGAAGAAGAAGAAGAAGAAGAAGAAGAAGAAGAAGAAGAAGAAGAAGAAGAAGAAGAAGAAGAAGAAGAAGAAGAAGAATAAGCAGAAGAAGAAGAAGAGCCCCTAAAATGCAGGGGTGAGAAGGGGGTTATATCCGTACCCCTCCACCCCCAATGATTGGTTCCAGCTGCACAGAAAACCGGGGCGTGTCAGTGCACCGGGGAATGATGACCTCTGGGATGGTGCTTGCAAGGTGCTCCGCCTGCCGTAAGGCACTCTTGAAGTTAGGCTGGTGGGCTCGCCATGCCCGCTGTTTGGCCAGGTCTTCCGCGGCATCGTTCAAAAAAAGCATCCAGCCTGCATCGGTGCGAAATCTTGCTCGAAAGCCCTGGCCGAACTGTGGGTCCCTACCCATTTGGCATTGAGGCGATCCCTCTGATGCCACATCGAAGAAAGGATGGGGGGCATGCTGCCTCATCCACTTGAGGGCCACATTAGAATCGGAGACCACCGAGACCTCACCCTGAGTGCAGCTTATGAGTGCCGCGAGGGCTTGTGCCTCTCCTGTGAGACTCCGGCTCCAACCGGAAGGACCCCGGACAAGGTTGCGACTGGGACAGTCGCGTCCAAATCGAAAGAAAAGAAAAGACTTGCGTGTAGCCATTTTAGCTCAAGTCGGCACCCCCGGCTTGAGCCCGTTTATCAGCCATTTCAGCATCGAGGCGCAGTCACATACGCGAAAGCGAAGGGGGGGGAGCTTAATCTCTGGGACTTGTGACTGGCACCAGTGTGTGGTGTTCGGGTCTCCTCTTTTACTGCGGCAACAAGGAAAAAGAAAGAAAGGAGCGTATGTCACAGGCATTACTTGGCTACACCTGTGGCTGGAATGCAGCGTGGGAAAGACAGAAAGACATGACTGCAAACACTACTGGTCTAGGTTGACGGAGAAGTCTACAAAAGAATACAAAAGATACAGGGATCGTGGGAAGTGAAGGGCTCCTGAAAGCTCCGCCGCGAGGCGCCCAGCACGGCCTCGGCTGGCAAGACGCCGGTGGGTTCCGAATTCGACCACGGCGCCGCGCTCACCGCGAGCTGCTGGTCCCGGGCTTAGACCCCGCCTTGGTGACAAAAACGGCCCCCCCGAAATTTCTGTCGCCCAGGACGGAGCGCTACTACTCCGTGGATGTTGCAGCGGAGATCCGCTGCGTGGCTGGGCAGTGGCTCAATGCGGAAGGCACGCAAGGGCTTGCCGACTTCGAGTGCAACTCCGGGATCCAGGTCGTCCCATCCCTTTACATGGTGCCTAGATTTCGGACGTGGGTTGTGTGTTGGTGCGTTTTGCATCGTACTCATACTGGCTTGGCAAGAATAGCAAATCAGCGCGCAGCGCACCAAGGCCCTGGCAGAGCGGACCCAACAGGAGCTCTTTTTCGCATCACGGTGGAAGTTCCAAGCATTCCTCCAGATCGGTGCCATCCAGTACTCCCTGGCCTCGTGCTTCTTCCCGGAGATCACCGAAGCGTCTGCAACGCTGAGGCGCTTCCGGAGCTGCGACGACAGCACTTTGTGCTTAACAGCCACAGAGGAGTCGGTGCTCAGCCTCGAGACTTGCAGCGACTCAACACAACAGCTCTTGGACGGCAACGAGCTGAACACCTTGTTGGCGAAGACGTACAAGGTCGAGGTGGCCTCAGATGCATTGATCCTTGGGACAACGTTGGACAGTTCCAGTACCAAGTACAGCCCTTTCGATCTGGAGCTGACCTTGGATTGTGGTTCGTCACGTGCCCTGAGAATGCTGAGCTTTGGACAACCTGACGCATCAGGGGAGAAGGTCTTGGGAATGTCTGCGCGTTGCACGTTAGCGAACCTGCGCCGCAACTCAACGATCAAGCAGCTGTCCTTGAGAGTTCCGGGCTTAAGCTACGATGCCTGTGTATGCTTGTGTAACCTGCACAAGACATCGTGTTGTAGCATTCCTGCCTTTGTTCTGCTCGCTCTCTGCTGGCCATCTGGTGCAGGTGGGCATCGAAAGCTCTGCGTTTGGAAGTTGTATGCAGCATGCGCCGTGCGATAGCGATGATGCCTACACCTGCCTCTCTTCGACTTTGACAGGGTGTGCCGGCTCGGCCGAGCAGCTTTTCTTTTGGGTTGGTGACTACCCGTACTCAGATGGGTCCTTTGAGCTCTACACAGATGCGACGATGGACCTGCAGGTCCGCGAAGATGACCTCGGCAGCCTAGCTCTGACCTCATTCTCCAATGGCTCCTTCGAAGATCAGGGCAGCGGGAAATTCTTCGTGGCGAAGAGCGCGACGGAACGAGAGGAAGAGGCAGACACCTCGTCGACCGCGTACACAGAGAACGCTTTCGAATGGCATGTGCAGACAGTGGCCAGTTCAGCTGACTTGGTGTTGACGTGCGGCAGCGACGAGGCCATGGTTGGTTTCTGGAAGAATGGTGTCCTGGCCCAGTTTGCTTTCTTAGGTGTTTTTCTAATATGTAATGCTCAGAAGTACATCCCTTGTAGTACAGCAGGAACAGCGCATCCGCGGAAATCTCTGTTCGTTCGCTTCTAAGGCATGGATGTGTGGTGGGCCTGCAACCCTGTTGTTGGGCTTGGCGCTTGCAATGAGGTTGTGTCGCTTCCCCAACAAGAGGTCTACGATCTACGGTTCTTGAGGCTTCTCGAGGTCGATTGTGGCGAGGGCCACGTCATGCAATCGCTTTCCACAGAGGTGGATGCTGCGGGGAAGTCCCTGCGGCTCAAGGCTGCTTGCTGCTTCTTGGAGCAACTGCATTCTTGTCGCAGTCTCTGTCTGTGTGTGTGCGCGCGTGGTTCTAGAGTCTATAGTAGAGTTCAATGCGTGAAAGTTCGCTACTGCGGCTCTTCTTTGAAGTTGCCATCGCCATGCAATGCTCTGACACATCAGGTTTCTTGGTGTGGCCTCCCGTGACTTTGCGGCCTTATAGAAACTTTGACAACTCAGTGATTTCAGTAGACGATGCTGCTGGGATCTACTACCCCAATGCCCTGGACGACTCCGGTCGGCCTGAGTTCCAGCAGGTCTACAGTTTCACGCCGTATGTCCTTCAGGCCAATATGCCCTCCCTCAGCGGCGCCTTGTCGTACAACAAATTCGCTGGAGAGTGGTGCATCGCTCACAGCGGAAGCGCGAGTGACGCTTGTTCCAGTGCCACAGATGTCGTGCATCCGCTTGACCTTGGGGCCGAGTCCTTTGGGGAGTTGCAGGAGTTGCACGTGATGCAGATTACCGACTTTGCCTCCGTCTTCGAAGGCCTTGGTGCCGGGGCCACGACGACACAGCGGCCAAGCCCAGCAGAGCCACTGCCGCAGAGCGAGCCCAAGACCTTCCCACCTCCTCCACCTCCTCCACCGACTCCACCGACCCTGGACACACTGGACCATGTGGATCCTAATTACGCCACAATCTGCAAGGATGAGTACACACCGGGGGTCTTGAATCCGAATGGGAGGAAGCCTGGGCAGAAGTTCAATGCATCAGCACCGAGGTGGGACAAGGCAAAGATGCACAGCATAGCCAAGAATTTAAACATACAGCACCCTTGCTACTACATCTGGAGTGACGTGAAAGACAGCCAAACAGCTGATGCCGATGGCATGTCATGGTGGAACCGCTTCGATGGCAAGGAAGCCTCACCACCCACGAATGACGTGACCTACAAGTCTGTCAAAGAATGCGCTGACCGAGAGAGCCAGGCTAGTGCCAGGCAACTTGGCAAGCGGTTAGTGATGGTTAGTGGAAATGGTAGTGGCGTATGCGCATTGTAATGGGGATGCGGCTCGGGTTTCGTGTGTCGCCTTTCCCTTCGAAGCTTTGCCAGGTTGGGGAAATGGAACCGATGGCATGCGCTTACGACTGGACTGGCTGACGTTGGGTTTGACTGGGTAGGGCACGGCATTGAATCCAAAACCGTCGATCCCTTGACAGTGTTTTTTGGCCTTGGTACTCACTGGCCTTTGGGCAAGACTTTTTCTTGGATTCTCAAGACATTTAAGTCGGCCAAGAAGATTACAGACCTGAACCTCGATTATTGGCGCAATCGAGCATACGGAGCCGGCAGCAACAACGACTGCGATTCCATGCAGCATGGACTGGCTCGTCTGTTCTGTGATCTGTTCTGCGTGAGGGACGCCGTGAAGAAGGGTGACGAGGCCATCTTGAAGACCATTGAAAACGCGGTGGGGACCATCAACGGCAATCTTCAGAAACTCTTCGAGACTTACTTCGCGACAGAGGGTTCTGGCACGAGCCTCCTTGGAACCCGGAATGAGATCGTCGCCGGCATCACCAGGACCTCGCGTTGAAAATTGTTGAAGCTTGCACTTACCCTCCCCCCTTTGCTGAGGCAGGCTCAAAAAAACTCAGCTTTCCAGCTCCCACTGTGTGCGTCGTAAGCTAAAGAGACTCTGGCGCGTGTCTGCCTGTCTGCGCACGGTGAATAAGAGGAGCTTTGCCGAGATGCGGAAGATGGCATCGGAGCCGCTGCACCCTGCGGCCAGCGCTGCGGCAGGGCGCAGCCTCCGCGCCTTCGTGGAGCGCATGAAGGAGTTCGACGCCTCCCCGGCTTTGCCGGAAGGCAACCGAGGCAACACCTCTGCCGCTTTCGCCGGGGAGCTCAGCGCAGTTGCCGCGGAGGTGCAGCGCCTGCACAGCACAATGAAGATCTCCACCTCTGCCCGGAAGCTCTCGGCTACGCAGGCTGTGGCGGACAGCACCGCCGAGTCCGTGCAGGCCTTGGACAGAGCCTGGAGGAGCAAAGTGCATACCCTTGGGGTTTTCCGCCATGCCGCCTCGCAAAGCAAGCAGCGCCAGTCCTGGATCCGCAACAAGCAAGAGGAGCTCTCGAAGAGCATCTCGAAGATCATGGACCAACTTCAGGAGCAATCCTTCATGATGGCCGTGACGAGCGTGGACCAGACGTGGTGGCAGCTAAGACAGCACTTGGATGCCTACTTCGACTCCATGACCAAATACTGGCAGACTTTCAAGTCGGCCCTCCTGGTCATAGAGGACTACACCAAGCGACTCAGAGGCAAAGAGAGACTTCTACCAGTAGCGCAACCGCATGTTAGTATGTTGCGCTAGTTCCAAGAAGGGCAACTTGATAATCTGACTGTCAGGTAGTTGGTTTGTCACGGGAGGTTGGTAAGGGCTTCTCTTGACTTGTTGAGATGCAAGACATTGCAAGACTAGGGGGAAGTTTCCAGACGCAGATCGCAAACTCCCAGGTGCTCGGTTCCCTTTGCGAACCTGAAGGCGGCCTACGCAGGCTTGGCTGAGGCCCACGTCCACGCTCGAGCATCCTTGGAGGAAACGTGGTCCAAGGCCAGCCCGCTGGTTGGACTCCTGGCTGCTCAGTACTCGGATGCCGGGATCCTGAACATCTTCGCTCGGCAGGACCTCAAGGACGTGAAGCTGGACAGCTTGGAGCTCGACAGCAACGAGAGCAAACAGAGCAACGTGACAGCTCTCCAGCAAGTGCAGGGGAAGAGGCGCCAGCAGATGTGCCAAGCATCAGGGGCTCAGCAAGAGATGGCCGCTGTGGCCTCATCGGCTCTGCAGTGCCTTGCTGGTTTGACAACAAGAGTCTGTGAGAAAATGTGTGTTTGTGTTTAAGTGACTCAAAGTCGAGGTATCTTTTGCTGCTGTTGAGTTGCCTTCTGAGGAGGGGGGTCTTTGGGCAGAGCTTGGAGCAGTTGGAAGCCATCTTCTCCGAGATGGACATGCTCCAGGCGCGCTGAGTAACAGCCCGGAGAGCAAAAAAAAGCCCCCCTTGGGCGAGCCTTCCCCTCCCCTCCTCCCTTCTCCCTTCTCTCTCTCTGTTCAACAGGCCAGGTTCCGGGATGTTGATATGGAGCCGCCCAACCAGGACGTCCTCAAGGACCAAGACCATGGTGTTGACTCAGGAAGTGCAAGCTTTCTGGCACATGTCTTTGGTGGACTCCTTCGGTCAAACTTGTAGGCGTCTGTCTTCAGGATGCCCATTCGCGCATCGCCGACGTTGTCGAAAGTTCCATGTCCATCCAGAACGCAACGGTTGATGAGCTGACAAAGCAATGGAAGGCTGCAAATTGCTAATTTCGTGTTTGATGTTTGATCATGGTGACGGGGGGCTTCAAGTGTGTAGACAATAGCCTGTTCAAAGTTGGCAAATGCATTCTCTGAGTTTCCATCGTGGATGATCTGTACCAGAACTTAGCATTTTGCTTCCAGAACAGCACATTTCCACAAAGATACGTAGGTGATATATGAAATATGTGCAGTTGTAGTGCAAGTAGCCCTCGGTCTGCCATCTGGATATGTAGGTGATAGGGGCCACCTTGGCCGTTTTAACTTCCGTGTGCGGCCTTGAACTACTTCGGGCTGTCGGGGATGACTACGCAATGCACACGGATTTCGGCCGTGCAGAAGCAACAACTTTTCGGACAATCCGAAAGGCGATGCTGCTGGGATCAGACCCGGGACATGCGAAAGCTGCATTGCTTTCTAGCCTGACGCTGTGCCACGTGGACGTTGATATCTAAGTTTTTCGGGGAGAACAGGTCACACACATTCCAATAAGTGGGTGAGCTCGTCTCTAGTTTAGGAAATCAAGGCGCTTCGGGCACTGAAAAGTTGCTCCTGGTGTCTGAGCCCATTCGCTTTACTGGCCGACAGCAGCTGGTTCAAACAGTTATTAATCAGCTGCTGCGTACCAAGCCGAAAGCTGCTTGACAAAAGATGACAAAAGTACCTTGATGATCCTTGATGCAGATTCGCCAGAAGCCAGTCTTTCATGCCGCGTTGTCGAGATCGCATTGTGACAAGCCAAGCCAGAGTTGGTGCTGTTTTCTCCAGGCTGGTTTACGCTCGTAGTCGATGGCCTCTTTTGCCCGCTCTTTGGTTCAGAATCTTTTGTTGTCAAAGCGTCCCGTCCGCGTCTCCATTGCGTCATCTTTTGGTTCCAAGAGGATGCCTCGAGTGAGGGAGTTCGTGATGCAAAGTGCTTGTTCGCCCTCGTCCGCGTCTCACATTCTCCAACTCAGGGAGGCCAGGCCGAAATGTCTCAAACACGCGGCACGCGAAGGTTTCCTCAGATACTGCGAAGTCCACTCGCTAACCACGCTCCTCGACATCGATGAATGGCCGAAGTTTGCAGTGACACCGGAGCTCAAGATTGTTGGTAGAATTGAAGTTCCTTGGCTTGGAAGCACCGGGCGTTCAGCTTTCCAATGTGGCATGTCGCACGCTTTGTGCGGCTTGTGGCAAATGTGGCAGTGGAAAGTCGTTTTGGAAACGTCGCAGCTTTGAAGGCTCGTAAGCCGCGTGGGAATATGCGAGGCGCTGTCAATTGTGGCGAGACCCCTGTTGGATGCAAGCTGTAGGAAACACATGGTCATGGAAACTCAGCGAAATCATGGCGACCATCTGCAAACTGTTGGCATGTGCTGACACCATGGACCCATAAGCACGAGTTACGGGTGCAGCACGTCATGGATCCCAATGCGCTTGTGGTGATGACTCTTGTGAGGATCCGAGCGTCACTGAGAGCTTCAGAAATGCTCGTGTTGTATTTTGTGTAGTATGGAGCCCATGTTGGCGCTCAGAGGCTGGCCCGGTGCCTGCTGACGCGCTGAATGGGCCGATCCTGTGCAGGGTGCCCCACTGTGACAGTGATTGTTGTCGCAAAGTGGCAAATTTTGGGCATCTGTTGTGCCATCTGTGTTTGTAACAGGAGTGGCTCCTCAATGATCAATCGACATTGCTTCAATCCTCGAAGGTTCCCTTCGGGTGCCCCGGGAAGCCTCGGACGATGCATTCTACGATTTGGAATTGTCAATACAGTCAGTACATGTTGCGACTTGGAGGCTCCATTGGATGCCGGTGACGTGGTGCAGCTCTCCTGCCGGACCCTCAAAGCTTCGAACCTGTCTTGCGCGGCTCGGCTTCGTGGCCTGGCAGCTGAAGGCTTGTCTTCCGTTCGGCGGTGGCCGCTCTCCACCCTTCATAACCTCCACTTGAACCGCGAGGCGCAAGGAACAGCCCATCGGGGGCATGCGAACCACCTTGGATGGGATGTAAGTTTGATGTAATGGGTCTCTGGATGTCTCTGGTCTTGGCATGTCTTGGCCCATTTTGTTGCCGGAGGATGCCGTGCAAGCGGCTGCCGCATTCTCGCGGGAGTTCAGTGGTGCTGGCTTGATTCTAGTGTGCCTTGGCGAGTTTGGCGAGTCCTTTGTAGGTTTTTTTGGTATGAGTTTTCTACTTGCTTGATTGAATCAGGCTGAGCATGCTTAGTGGCTCTTGCCCGAGGTCGACCCCGTCTTCTTTCTCCGTGCAACAGCCTCGAGCGCTGCTGGAAATATCTCGAGAAGCAGGCGTGCAAATTGCCATGGGCACGACACCTCCGCAGGTCTGCCAGAGGGATTGGCCAGTCGGTAGCAAGCAAAGTAAAGTTGCCTTGGTGCTAAAATATATGTTTGCGGTCTGGTGCAGGATCTGATGGATTTCGAGGCTTGTGTATCAGCAGTGTCTGGCCAAACTTAACGACTCGCAGCTACATGTGTGTTGAACAGTGTGTGGTGCAGCAGGCAAGTGTTTTGGATGTGCGATAGGTTGAACAGCTCAGGTAGTGTCGGATTTGGCATGTGGCTTTAGCGGTTCCGCAAGCACAGAACCCTTGAGGCGCGGTGCAGCCAGGCAAGAGGTTGCGAGCTGTTCTAAATCAGTCAGGCCAGGCTTTATCGGTGAAATCGATGCAGAGAAGATGGAGATCTTAGCTGTTTGCGTGGAGGCGCGTACTTTCTTTGAGCGAAGTTCATGAGGCCATGCATGTGTCTTTTTCGCGTCCAAATATGTGAGGCGCAGCTGCGTTCGCAAGCGCCTCTTCTTGTGGTTGGTTCTGTTCCCCGAGAAGCACTAGGATACCTGGATCGTGGATTGTGGAGGAAAAGCTCTGACAAGCTGTGCTGACTTGCCACTGCAAGTATTCGTCGACTGTTCACTGGCCGGTGAGACTTGAGAGGAAGTGTGCCTTCTTTGACGTTCCAGATGACAGCCCCGTGTCTGTGCAGGAGTTGCAGGCACGGGATGTGCCAAAGCTGCCAAGGTATGGAGAGCCGGAGGTTGTTTCTTTCGCATGTGAGGAGCGGGGGGCCTACGTGGGCTTCTGTGCCCCTCCTCAGGCAGCTGACGTAGCTTGGGAGGACTACCCCGGCCGACGGCCCATGAGGAGCCCCCCCCCCCCCTTGGCAACAAGAGACGTCTTCTTCTTATTGCTTTTTTCGTATTGTTATCTTCTTGATTAGAAAACATCACCATCAACCATCATCGTCGGTAGGTTTCGTGTTTTTTTTAATTTTTGGGTGTTTTTGGAGTGGGGGGGGGTCCGGGGGGAGCGGTTGGAAGGAGCGAGGCCGGCTTCCTCGAGGCGGCGGCGCGGGTGCGGCCCGGGCAGCTCCTGGCCTCCACGGGGCTCCGCTTCCGCTGCGACCTCGCGGCCTTCGGAGGGCCGGGGCTGGGCTACGCCCCGCAGCTCCTGCAGCGAGGCACCCAACAGTTGCACCAAGGAACACACAGATATTTAAATACCCACCGTTATGCCGAATATAGACTCCGATGCTCCTGTTTTCTCCGTGCTCTTCCTCCACCATGCCAGCTCGTAGCTGGTCTGCTCTGCTTGGGTCCAGGCTCCCTGCAGCACCAGTGCTGGGCCAATGCCGCCAGCTTCCTGAGCTACCCGTGGCAACCGCCCAAGCCACCCGAGAAGGCGCGGACCCCGGCGGAGCAGCTGCGTTGACGAGATGGCCTTCAGTGAAGTTCCCAGTGTCCTCCTTTTGTTGTGTCCGCAGGTCCTACATGAAATCGAATGCCACTGGTGTGGCACAATGTGGCCTTCATGCAAGATGCAGCAAAGTACAAGCACGGGGTCCGCACGCAGACCGTCCTTGTTGAGGATCATGCGGCTTTTGCACTGAGGAAACCTGATGGAGAGCACTTCAGCAAAATGGGCGCGCAAATCCAAGTTCCTGCCTCCGGCATGTTTCCCGCCTCTTTCATGACATGGCAGGCTTCGACTACTGCTCGCCGAGCTGCGTTGCCAAGCACCGCAAGGCCGACTTCGAAGCCAGCGCCCACGGTGTTGAAAATCTCGCACGCCTGTCCTCAAAGTGCATGTGCGGAAGTCAACGTGCGCCTCACACCCCCGGAAGCCAGATCTCTTTGCCCTGTGTGTATGTCTGTACATGGTTCAAGCCCTCATCATAGATCTGGAGAAGCACCGACAAATCACCCTTTGAAGCTCACAGTCGCCTCTTCAGAGCGTAGCACTACCAGCCACACCTACCGAAGTCGTTTTTTTGCCAGCAAAACTTCAAGTACATGAATCTGCCTAGATGCCCAGTCCTCCTACAGTCCGTGCCTCATGGGGCTGAGTTGAGCGCTGCGGCACACTGCTACTCTTAGCTGCTGTGCGCACCTGAGGTGGAGGATGGGCAGGCCTCGCGCAAGAGCCTCCCAAGCAGGCCGGGAGATAGAGGGAATCCTCAAGCTGTTGTCAAGTGACACCTCAAAACCCCTGCCTCTTAACCATTGATTGTAAACGCTTGCGCGCCGCCTTGCCAGCCGGGCCAGCCCACTTCCCAAGGCCCAAGAAATTCGAAAAACCTTTCGTGGGTCTGGCAGTCTCATAGGGTGTTGGGGCGTGTGTTTGGGTGATTAGGGAGGTAAGGGTTGCGGTGGGGCGTGCCGAGGGGTCCCAGGCGGGTGCCAGGGGGGGTCCCGGAAGAGGGTCCCAGGAGGGTCTCGCTCTCAGGACTGATCCCAGACAAAGACCCCAAAAAGTTTTTTGGCTTTTTGGGCGCTGCCTCTATAGCAGCCGTCGACAGGCAAGACCACCCCACCGCATCGGTCTGCGGCTCACGCAAGCGATCCGGGGTCCCACAGGGCGGGGGAGGCGGGCGCATCACTAAAATCATTGGGAAGGGGGGCAGGAGACCGGATCCTGGTCTGCTTGTTCTAGATGCCCCTCGGCTGGAAGCCGAGGCGAATGAAACAAACGCCTATCGACGCCCGATGCAATGCCTGAACCTCCAAAGCTGCCTTTCGCACCCTTCTTCTTCTGGTGCTGACGGAGGCCGATCGAGGCCCGGCACTGAGTCTGAGTCGGAGTGCTCGAAGTGCTTGGATTGTGTGAAAATCATTTTTCTTGAGAGAGGATTGGCCCGCCGACCATTGTGTTCTGCCGGGATGCAGGCCTCACGGCTTGCGACACAATGTGGACCCCAACTCTGCGTGAGCCCACTGAAGGAACTCTATGTTCCGCACCTCCGTTGTGTAGCCGGAGGTTCTCCTTCCTGCCCGCAAAGTACCGGGCACCCGTTTCGCCTGACCGGCGCTGTTTGTGGAAGCCGTTTTCGAGGGGTCCCCTCCGCCCCACTCTTCTCTCCAGGCTCCCACCTATGAAAGTGGTCAAAGCCGTGAGTGAGCCCAAGCTGGGGTTGAAGCCTCACTGTCTCACAGTGACTCGCTGTGTCATCAAAGCTCGTGCCGAGTTTTGCCAAAACTTGCAGACTCCCATACACTCGTAGCCGTCGTAGCCGACTTGAGGCTTGGCCGCCGAAAGCGCGCCACGCGACAGCAACGCGCTCGGACTCCGTGACTCTCCATGACTCGCTGTGGCTTGGATGTTGTGAATGTCGAAAGATGTGTCTTCCCAAGGGACGTGCCTGTGCCCGAGGGTGTTCCAGGGTCTTCGCCTTACGGCACACTTGCCATCCTGCATCAGGCTGCAAGTTTCCTCCATGTGCCGATGAAAACCATTTGACAAAAGAAGAAAGCCATCTGCCTGCTCATGTGCAGCTGGTAAAGATCTCTCTCGCTTTTTCTCTTCCCAGGGAGCAGTTTCTGATCTTTGCAGGTGCTATGGCGACTTCTGCCGAGCAGACTTCCGCTTCCCGAACAGCTTAAAGGAGAGCTTTGCTAAGAGTTCTGTTAAGAGCTGTGAAGAGCTTGTCGGGGCACGACGCCACGGCTCAGTGGACAGGACATCGAGCTGCTGGACGATGCCTGGACAAGGCACGGGGATATCCGGGACGGGAGGCGGAGGGAGGAGACGGGAGGAGGCGGAGGGAGGTGTCACAAAGTGAGTCTGACAGGCAAGGAAGGGAGCTCTGCAACAAGACGGCCCGGAGCTGTGGAGCTTGTTTTGGGTTTTGGGCTTCAAGAATCTGCTTGGCTCGAGGTGTCGCTGTCATCGGGCGTTACTTTGGGCACCGTGCTGGAGCCAGAGGACCACAGACATGCGAGGGGCTTGTGGTGCTTGTTGTGATGTTGTGGCTTTGGATTTGTGGGAGGAGCTGGTGGCTTGCTTGGACGAGAACGAGCAGAAGCCGCTGCCGCTGGCTGGAAGCCCAGTGTTGCTTTGTGTTGCGTTGTATGTGCCTGGTGCCCACGTGACTGCAGGCCCGCCGCAGAACAGACCCACTTCCCGGGTGTGCAGGGATCTCAGACTCATCGGATGAAGGACGGTGAAGATGTGAACAATACTGGAATGGACGAGGTCTGCTTCTCCTTGATCATGGAAGCTCGTAGCCATCCGTCCCTCTGCGGCCGACGAAGCGTGTTTGCTTCATGCGGGCTGAAACTGAATCACAAGCCTAACTTTGAGACCTTAACCATCAACCATCGCTTAAAGCATCCTACTTAAACCATCAGATAAAAAGCCCCTGCAGAGCATGTAACCCCCACAAAGGCTCCCCGTGTTGTGGTGGCCAGGATGGCTTGAAGCCCTCAGCTGGCGCCTGGACCCGGAGGATGCCATCATGGTGACCAACGCAGCGGCAAAGCTGCACACAGCGCCGGTCTCAGCCCCCTCCTAAGTTCCTAAGGGGTGTTCAAGGGCTCTTAATTGGGCTAAGCCTTAGGGATGTTTAGGGTTTAAACGTCCCTCTACTCCACTACCGTCTACCTCGACCCCCGTGCCCCTCGACATCTCTTCCTCTCTTCCTCTCTTCCTCTCTTCCTCTCTTCCTCTCTTCCTCTCTTCCTCTCTTCCTCTCTTCCTCTCTTCCTCTCTTCCTCTCTTCCTCTCTTCCTCTCTTCCTCTCTCTCCTCTCTTCCTCTCTTCCTCTCTTCCTCTCTTCCCCTCTTCCTCTCTTCCTCTCTTCCTCTCTTCCTCTCTTCCTCTCTCTCTTCCTCTCTTCCTCTCTTCCTCTCTTCCTCTCTTCCTCTCTTCCTCTCTTCCTCTCTTCCTCTCTTCCTCTCTTCCTCTCTTCCTCTCTTCCTCTCTTCCTCTCTTCCTCTCTTCCTCTCTTCCTCTCTTCCTCTCTTCCTCTCTTCCTCTCTTCCTCTCTTCCTCTCTTCCTCTCTTCCTCTCTTCCTCTCTTCCTCTCTTCCCGCGGCAGTGTGATGTGAATGCTGTCTCTGTCCGGAAGAAAAAGCAACTTACATGTGACTCTGTTTGAGCAGGAGTGTGCTCTGTCAATTTCCAGGGCTTCGGCTTAAAACAAAAGAGGTCCACGGCGAATCAAAAGCATCTCTGTTGGCGGCATCTGGCGACCAAGAAAGCGTCGGGTGTGACGCATGGAGTTCAGCAGCATGCTGACAGGAGGAACATATCTACAAGAGCAGCAACTGACTCGCAGCAGCATGTGCCTTTGAGCAGAGCTCAGATGTTCTCGCGACGCGATTGCGATCCGTTACGATGCGATTGCGGGCGAAAACAAGAAGCTGCGGCAAGATATGCAGTATACTTCGTAGACCTGTCCATAGCTCTTGGCTGCAGATGTACAGCAGCAGACTACTTTTGCATACATCAGCTGACAACATCGTGTTTGGCCTTGCCGAGCAGTGTGCGATTTGCTTCGTGGCGTGCTCTACTGCAAAGAGTTCTACCGCTTTGACGAGTAGCCCCCAAGCTCCCAAAAGGCCCTTCAAAGGCCCTTCAAAGGCCCCCTTCAACCAAAGCCTCTCGAGGACGAGCTTCAAGGTGGCGGCCATGTATCCCAGCGGATGGTTGGTTTCTCAAGTCCGGAGATTCGGAGCTCTGCACGCCTACGCCTTTGCATGTGAATGTTGCCTCTTAAGGATAGCTCTTTGGCGGGCTTCAGGCTCCCAGCGCATGTGCACCTCTTCGTGTCAAAGGTGCTGCCCTCTGCTTGCGACAGGTACAGGCTCAAGGTGGTGCCGGTATGCCGGACGTGCTTGTCGGTGTACAAAATCATTCATGATGTGGGCGCCTCGGCCTCCTCGGCCTCGGCGGCCTCTTCGGCCTCGTATTGGGCTTGTTCACGTAGGGCGCTTGTTTGCAGTTTTTGCACCCCACCAAGGCCATCACCATGATCCGGGTGCGGCGCAAGGCGGGCCACAGGAAGCCGCCGAAGGATGAGAGCGAGAACGAGAGTGTGTGCTGCTATCAGGATCTCTGGGCTGAGCGGGAGTTGCGGCGAAAGCACCAGGAGGAGGAGGAAGAGAGGCTCGGAGAAGCGAGAAGCGTGAGAAGCAGGGATGTTTTGGGGTGACCGCGAAAATCGCAGCTACCAGTGTGGCCCCGAACGACAAGAACGTCCGTGCTACCAGAACATCCGTGCCGGAACGACATGAACATCTGTGCTACCAGACAAAGTCGTGTGGCCCTAGCATCCATGCCCAAAACGACATCCATGTGGCCAAAGAGAATCCATGCCCGGACGACAAAAGCATCCGTGCTGCCAGAACATCGTGTGATGACGAGAACATCTGTGCTGCTCGAGCATTCGTGTGGCCAGAGCCTTCATGCCCGCACACCGACGAAGCATCCATGCCCGAACGATAAAGAATCTGTGCTACCAGAGCATCCGTTTGGCCAGAGATGCCCGAACGACACGAGCGTCCGTGCTGGAGCATCCATGCCGGAACGACACGAAGGTCTGTGCTACCAGCGCGTTCGTGTGACCACTCATCATGGCTCAACGACACGAGCACATCCACGTTTCCGGCGCTTCCATGGCACAAATGCATCTATGTCCGAACGAGAAGAATGTCCGTGCTTCCAGGGCAGTCATGCTGGATCGACACCTGTGCTGCCGGCGCATTCGTGTGGCCAAAGCATCCATGCCCGAACGATAAGATCATCCGTGCTGCCCGAGCATCCCTGAGACCAGAGCATTCCTGTCCGAACGATTTACCAGCTTGCGTGTTACCAGCACGTGTGGCGTACACGCAGCAGATCACCCGGTTCATGGACACAATGCAGTTCGTGAGCTATGCATCGACATTGGAATGCTACCGTTTTGGAAAAAGAGTGCAATGGTAGACAAGGCGTACCCGTTGCCTCAGGGACCGCGTCAAGCAGGCCGAGATCGAACGCATGCTCGCGTACCAGCGGCAGAGGTTCCTGTTTCCTCTCGAGTCCAGTGGGTTGTGGCAAAATTGGCCAGTTTTTTCAGGGCCTCATACCGAAGCCCTCGCCCGAAGGCGCTTGTGAAGAGTGAGATGCGGCCTCGACCCCGCAACCCGAGCCCAAAGCCTGAAACAGGCGGCGCCCGTTCCGCTCAGGCGAAGCTCGGAGCCCAGCCGATTCGCTGTCCATAGCACACGCTCTCCGGATGGTTTAGAGTTTAGGATGGCAGGGTTTTGATTCGGGCTCTTGGCCTCTGTGGTTGGAGAGTTTGATTCGGGGTTGTTTGGTCTCCGCCCTGCTCTCATGAGGTCTCTTTCTGGAGCCGGAAGTCCAGGCCATTTTTTTTGTTTTTTGCCTCCTCCCCCCTTTTTCTTCCCCCTATGTTGAGCCCAAAGTAAGGCTTCTGTAAGCCCGCTCATGAACAGGGTTCGATGAGCTATGAGTCTGCAGGCTAAGATTTGAGTCACCGAGGCACCAAGGTCAGAAGCAAGCGGTTTGCCGAAAGCTCTGTAAACTAGGGTGCCTTAAATCGCCAAAAGTCAAATGGGATGCTTTAGGGCACCCAAAAAGTGGCCCTACATTGGGGAAGCTCTCTCAGCAGCAGGAGTTCCTTCGCTTGATCCCCGATTCTCCCAGCGCCGGGACGCCTCCCGGATGCAAGAAGTGAAGCTTCAGCTTTTCTTGATTTTAAAGTGCCAAGCAAGAGCATTCTAAGAGCATGTTGGCTGCACGATGCATGCAACATGGCAGGAAACACTCAACTCCAACTAGGAACCTAAGCCCAAACTGCCGAAAGGCCTCCAGCCTTCCGGCCTGTCGTCGAGCAGCCCAAAGGCAGCTTACACATGAAGGTTCTACATTGGGGCTTTGTTTGGGGAAGCTCTGCAAACTGGGGCAGGGTTGCAAAGGGCAAGCAGACATTTCAACAGGATTGCAGCAAGGACAGAAGAAACACGCTGCAAACAGGATACTGGCAACGTCCTAAGCAGATGCTGCAAACGCAAAGCAGCGTTTGACATGGGATGGTATTTTCTTCGTGTCTAGGAGCGAACGTGGCAAGCGCATAGAATTCATAGAATGATAAGTTTTTCTTGTGCCTTGCAATGTACGAACCCGTCGCAAATCACACAGGGTGGTGTGGATTCTTCGTGCTTTGGAACGGTTGCAAGGTGTCTTGAAAAGCGTGTCCCGAACATGGTTTCTGCATGCGCGGTTTTCGGTTTGATGCTCTCGTGAAAGCCTTGCCCTCCGCCTTGAAACGATGGCCCCTTCGAGAGTTCACTGTGCCAACCGTTCCCCAAGCCCACATCCTGGGGTTGCAATCTGGGAATGGCGATGCGGGTCCCCGGACGCGGATGGCCAGGGCGTGGAAACCCTAGAAAGAAAGAGGCGTCCCGAGAAGAGGACATGGGCAGCCGAGAACCCTGGATCCCCACCAGGAGATGGGACGCAGACCCTGAGCCCTGAAAGGAAATGGGAGCAGAAACCCTGTACCCTGAAGGCGATTGGGAGTAGAAATCTGTGAGTGTTGACAGGGGATGGCCCAAACTGTGAATGGAGATTGGGAGTGGAGAGCCCCGAATCCCTGGACATGATGCGTGGTGAACAACCCCAAGCGGTGACGGCCCGAAATCCTGAAGATGCAACAAATATACAGATGTTGGGAAGCAAAATCCATGTTGCCCAACCCGGTATCTTTTCTTGAGAGCAGAGGCACAGCCATGTGAAACAGCGGCCAGGGCACAACCTTTCGAGCTCATTGAGCTAGTTGAGCTAATTCTGTAGGCTTGTAGGCTCTGGGCTAAGTATGGTTTACTTGTATTTCTCCTCTTTGTTTTATTTCAGTTCCCAAGCGCGTCTTGATCTGGTAGGCAAGGAAATAGGCCTGGAGAGTGCCGAAGCGGTGTGCAGGTGAGGAGGAATCCCATTCACAGCTCCGCCGATCCATAAGGCAGTTGCTTTTTCGGTGCGTGAGTGCAGCTTGAGATGGCGAGGCAGCGGCAGATTTGCGCTTCAGCAGCTTTATTGGATCCAGCTGGCACGCGAGAAGCAACATCGGACAGCGAAGACATGTAGGCAGCCAAGTCACGGCTACATTCAAGTTTCGCTCAAGCTCCGGCACGAAAAGCATCCATGAAACAGCTTCGGCAGCTGTCGCACTAGGCTGGGCTCACGGGTTGCTCCGAACCTTCGGCACCCTCAACCGCCCTCAACAGCAGCTTCTTTTTTCTTTGCAGGCACATGACAGATGGCCGCTGGCCGCCACCGACAAAGCCGGCGCCAGGCGCAGCACCCAGAGAGCCGAGAGACCCCGCAAAAGCAATGAGACCGGAGGGAGACGGAAAGGAAACGGAAAGGAAACGGAAAGGAAACGGAAAGGAAACGGAAAGGGCATGACAAGGAGATGTTCGGAGAGTGCCCTGAAAGAAGCTGGCGAGCTTGGAGAGTGAGGCTTGGAGGAGTGGAGACAGCGGCTCGAGGCGCCGTCGCCATGGAAGGGCAGCAAGGGGGGAGCACTCTGAAGGCACAATTTCGGGGGGGGGGGCGGGGTGTCACAAAGCTGGCAAAACGAGGCGGCCTTCCGGCGTTCTGCCACTGCACCGGCCTTGGCATCGCTGGTCCCAGAATCCACGAGGCCAGCGGAGAACTACTCTCTGCAGCCTTCTCATGCTCTAAGAGCACATGGCATGCACACATGATGGGCATGTCCTGTGGAGAGGGCCTCCTCCTGTTCGGGCCCAGATGCCCCCGATGGGTCCTCCAGTGCCTGCGTGCCACCGGCCACTTTGGGGATGTAAGAACTTGCAGCTGGGTTTTGAACCGCTAACTCATCTAATCCCACATTTTTTCCATTTTTCTCCCAGTGCCAGGATCAGCTCGACGAAAGTCCAGACTTTGCGGAAGCTCAGGCGTACTTGGGGCAGCATGGGCAAGCAGCCCTCAGCGCGCATTGTAGCATCGCAGCACCGCGGGCTGTGTAACAGCTGTGTGGAGGTGGGCGCGTGTCCGGCGGCTGCGCCAGTGGACACGCAATGGGAGGAGGCACACAGCTCTAAACAAGACATGTGAGGCTCAAAAAAAACGTGAGAGAGTTCCAGGACTTCCGTGCTGAGCTCTACCGCTTGGACCTGGAGCGCCTGGAGAGAGAGCAGCGCATCCAGGTGCCACGTGCCGGGAAATCACACCAAGAGCACCCCAGCGTGTCGCCCTCTTGGCTTCAGGCCGAGCAGCTGGAGCAGCTGGAGAGGCGCGGGGCCTCTTCCCCTTCATCAGTTCACATGTCACTGTGGCGCTTCCGGGCTTTGAAGCCCTTCCGTGGGATGTGGCAGGCTCCCAGGCCTGCAGGAAGGAGATGGGCCAGAGCTGCAGCGCTGCAAGGGGGCCCTAACTCCGCATCACACTTGCACAACACTGATCTCTTTTTTGAGCGAAGGCCTGAGCCCTCTTGAGCACCGAGGCCGTGAGTCCCTGCTGGCCTTGAGGTGGGCCCTCACACTGGGCTTGGAGCGGTAAGCAGCAACGTACTGCACCTGCCCAAAGAACGCCAACGACCGAGCCCACGCAGGCAAGCTCACCAGGAGCTTCGTTCGGAGCTTGCTGCGGTGAGGGCCTCGTCCTCAGCAGGATTCATGGGCTCACAGCATGTTGTCTGCCAGGTCGTGCGAGCCCTCCCGGCACAGCAGGCTGGATACTTTAGGGCAGGTGCAGGTCCTTCTTGCAGGTTTCGGGTCTATGGCGCAGTCTTGCCAGGGCGCGACAACAGGTTGCCAGCTGCTGTGATGCCTGAGCCCAGCCCTCTTTTGCTTTATTTCAGAGGGAGGCATCGAAAGGAGAATAACAGCTAGAATTTCTCAATCGCACACTGGAAGTGCAACATCCATCGTGGCTAGGCTACTTAGCTACTTGTGGCTTGTCCCACACTATCAGGCAGGCTGGTATGAGCTATGACTGGTATGATGGAGGGGATGATGTTGTTCTTGGCCTTCGAGTTAAGGCAACTGGGAGGTAATTTCTCCTAGCATGTTTGCTTCTCAGTATATCGGTGCTTCGTAACTAAAGTTGCAACTAATGGTTGTAACCTTCAATTCCCTGGCGTCTGGCGATAAGTTTACTACAGCACACCTGGAAACCTGACGGCAAGGACTCGTTGTGAAGGAAAGGACAGGCCACAGTGTCTTGATCCCGTATCAGCCAAGCATGTCAGGAAGAAGCGTAGGCAACGCAGTCCAGGCGTCGCTGTCATCTGCATCGGCATGTCTCGCAAGTTGAAGCTCAGCAGATTCAGGAGATTGGAGCAAAACATAGGTCCCCAGACATTGAAGGTTGGAACATTTGGGCATCTGCGGCTGAATGGAAGAGTGTGAAGACCCTCTCCACCACCCGATGAGGAAGCAACAAGGCCTTTCTGGAATAGCACTTCATCTGGATATCGAAATCAGCGCAGGATGGGCTAGTGACAGGGACATCCTCGAGGCAACTTCTGCTTTCGCTGAACCAGGAGCATCAAAAGGAAGTCTTCCTCAAATTGCCTTGCCCCCCCCCCCCCCCCCCCCCCCCCCCCCCCCCTCGTCGCCGGCCCCCGGCCACCCCTCGGGCCCCCCCCGACCCCCACCACCCAAGAAGCACTGCGGTTGCTCAGAAATACTTTCGGACCAGCATGTCACAATCCATCTTTTGCTACAAGCCCCCGATCGTCATGTGCTGCAAGCGCTTGCACAGCTGGGGGGGGTCTTTCGGTGCCTCTTCAGTTAGCCGCTCTGGTGCCTGGCAGAGTCAGGCGCTCCGAGGTTAGGCGTATGACTCGGATGACAGTTATTTTCTGATCATTGCACCTTTGGGTACATGACGAAGCCACTGTCTCACCTGATAGCACAGTCGGCTTGGCTGCAAAACGAAGGCTTTTCACAGCATCGAGCCTGCCCAGCTTTGTCACATGGGCGCCTGGGTAACTGTGTGCACCTTGCCTGCTTCTTTGGCAGGAACCGTCGGAAGGCTCTGTTTGAGAGCCTGGGGTGTCTGGAGGAGAAATAGTACTTTTTAGATGTCATGAGTTAATGTCTGCGCTGCTCGCTCAGCTGTCTTGCAGAGATTTGCCAAGATCCAAAGAATCACTTTTCGCGACACTTGTTACAAATCATGACAGCAGAGCTCATGGCTGGTGCTGTTTAGTTTTGCATGAAACAAAGGCAACAAAGGCCCCGAGGCCCGTTTCACCCTGGAGCATCTAATCTCTGGTGCGCCGGTCACTTCGCGAACGCATTTGCAAGTGAAGCGTGGTGCGCTCCCTCAGACTTGACAAGGGCATACCAGCAGTGTCCTGCGCAGTCCGTCTTTGTTGTCTTGGTGGCCGTGAAGTTTCAAAATAGCGCGGGGCAGAGATCAAGGATCCATTATGTTAGGTTCGTCCTCTTCTACTCTAGTATAGCACGTGCCAAGTGCCTGTTCGACAAAGATAGCTTGTGTTCCACGATTTTCCAGTACTCGTTCCACCATGATGTTTCTTTGTGCTCGGAACAGTCAGCTCCACGACCCTCCGAGTGACCCATGTATCGATATGTTTTGGCAGCCTTCGTCTTGCAATGAAGCAGTCCGGCCAGCCTTACGTGCCCCCAGAGCTGCGGGCAGTACGTTTGAGCCCCTTGGTGTGGCAAGAAGCCTCCAACATCCACAGCACGGCAGCTTTCAGTGGAGCTTGTGTGCTAAGGTACAGTGGTGGACCTACTCACCAAAGATGCCAGCTGGTTGTTCGGAGGCAACGGCATGATCGTTCGAGATGTCGCCAAGGTTGCCGTCGCTCCTCGAACTCGGTGCTACACAACATCAGATCATTGCCTGCATCCGCTTGACTCTGTAATTTTCAGCGACGTGCGACCTGCGATACGCGAAATGGTCAGGCACGTGTCAGACAGGGATGACGAGGTGGTAAGTCGAAGCGTCAGCGGATCGCCCATGCGGGCAGGACGCACGCCAGCTTCGGCAGGAAATTGTGTTCCCTGCATTCACGACATCATGAGCATCAATGGAACCGAATTCATGGTCGTCGATGTGCCCAATGCCCGGGAGTTTGTGCTGAAGCTTGACTCGTCCCTGTGCGATGAAGCTGGGATTGGCGGGCAGATCTCCGCTCCCGTCAACATGTACAAGCTTTGTGCTGAGGTGGTCATCCCACAGACTCTGGTTAGCCAGCAGCTCTGCAGAATCGCATCTTCGGAGGAGATCCTAAACCCGAACCCCCCCCCCCCTCCACCTCGATGTGTTGCACACCGCGCACCGTTTGCAAGCCGCCTTTGTAGCTTGTACCACTTGTACCCTGATAGGTTCTTGAAAAGGGGCCAGCAACATATTAGAGGGAGTGGCCATGCCGGCTGAGCGGCTAAGTCTGCTAAGTGTCAACATGGGGGGGGCAGAGGAGATGCGGCATCTTGTCAGCGCGCTCTCGTCGGAATCTGACATGACCCTTACGCACTCCATTCGTCTCGGCGGCACAGAAGTTCCCAGCAGCGCAACCCTTCATGGGCGGCTGTCTCCGAGTGGCTTCATGCGGAAGCGATACTGGGACTCGATGCTGCGTGAGAAAAGCACATGGACCTCAGGGAGCCGCGTCTCAGATCTAGCAAAAGTCTTCCTGCAAGGGGCCTCCGAGCTTGAGAACAAGCTTCAAGATACCCGGAAGCTGGACGTTGGTGACTTCGTAGTCTTCCGGCAAGGACGGTCTTTTGCGGAGACCAAGCACACAGGCTTGCCCGCTGACGTTTATCTGTCCCACTTTTGGGGTCAGCCCTGCTCTGAGCTGCTGACTATTTTACGACAACATGCGCAAGTCCACTTTCAGAAATCGCCCTGTTCTGTGGCTGATCCATCTTACTGGATTTGCACCTTCGCCAACAACCAGCACAAAGTTGATTTGGGGAGCCACTGGAAGGAGAGCCCGTTTTACCGGGGAATGCAGTCCCTGCGCGAGACAGGGGGGTCTGTGCTGATGGCCATGGACCTGGTGGCATCGACGCTGACAAGGATACCTCGCACTCATGTCACACAATGCCTGCGCATAGGAGCAAGCGTTGGCCACGACCTGCTCTGACCTGCTCTTGCTTTCTCTCAGGATTTGGTGCATCTTTGAGATCTACGTTTGTGCGGAGCTCAACCTTGCCCTTCAGCTGTTTTCTCCGGATGGGGAGACCTGGCAGGAAAGTACTCAGGATACCAACAGGGGGTGCTTCTCGGGGGTGTCGGGGCTGGTAGGTGTGGGGGGCAAGCTTGGGACTTGAACTGGGTTGTGGGTTTCAGTCGGTTTCGGCGCCTCAGGGTTCTCCATGGGTTTTCCGCCATACCGTATTTGTGCCGTACGAGCTGCTTTTGCCTGTTCATCGCCTTCTTGCCAACAGTCAGGATCTGTCAAGCTGTACGGGACTACGTGCAAAGGTAATCGCCAAGAACATCACCCAGCTCGACTTCCGTCGTGCTGAGGCCTCAGTGCCTGCCGACAAGGCAATGATTTTGAAGGCGATCGAGGACTTGGACGGTGGGCTCGAGCGAGTGGAGTGGACGGTGAAGCACCTGGTCACCGACTTCGAGCCGGGTGCTCAAGATCGCACGTGCTTACATACTTATAGTGCGCGCTTCTGCCGTGAGAATGTGGCTTTCCGAGCGATGGGTGCTAGGGGCTGCTACAGGGGCTGTTCTAGATCTTGGGCTGCAGCTGCCAGGTCCTTCCTCTACGCGAGCCATCGCGCAGAGCATCCGATCACCGGCGAAGCCCTGAGCCTGAGCCCCAGCGGAGGAAATTTCTCGACGCATGCGTGAAACTCCGATGATCCCATGGGGGCTTTGCGCTAATGCTGAGGCCTCAGCACCTCAGGGGAGGACATGATGCCCTGCCGCATTCGGACCATTTGGAACTCCTTCTTCGCGCGTGGGCAAGTCTTTGACATGGAGCACATTGAGCAGCGTCTGCAAGCAGGGGAGTTCTTTGTGCTGGAGGGGCCCGGTGGAAGTGGGAAGAGTGTGGTGACGAAGCTGCTGGCAAAGCGCTGCACAGCCCGTGGGGTGCTGTGTTTGAGGGTGCCCGTGTCCCAGCTCGCGCAGGTGTGCCATGAGACGAAAGACAAGGCCGGGGTGGCGGAGTCGGCGAAACCGGCGGGGTCGTTCGCATCGACGCAGTCGGACACGGAGGAGAGGCGGTGGCGGGAGCTACTGGTGCTCTGGGCTGTGAAGCGCTTCGGCGAGGCGGCCAATTCCTTGGCCCAGCCGAAGGATCCAATGATTCTGATCTTGGACGGCTTGGAGGACACCTTCTGTTTTTCTAAACCCCTCAGAACGAAGAATCTCGGGATCTGGAATCTTTTCATCTCCATGCTGGTTGGGTCACTCTTCAAACCCCCTTGCATAAAGGAAGCTGGGGCGGAGCTTGACAGCATCCTGGCCTGGCTGAGATTTCAGGTGCGCAACCGGAAGGTGCTGGGCATCTTCCGGGGCATCCTCATCACTTTGCGTCCAGCGGGGCGCATCACCTGCCAGGCGGAGCTTAACTGTTTGAAGGCTTTGGGCGCAGGTGAGGTTTGCAATGAGGTTCTGTTTGGGCTCCGAAGTTTCTCCATGCACCTGCCAGGCAAACCTCTTCAGCCTAGGGTTCACCTTCCTCTGCATCGAGCCGCTTTCTCCGACGGATGTGGTCAGCGCGGCGCGGAGTACCGGCCAGGACTGGCGCGTGGCTGTCGCTCTCGGCGGCAGGGACCTGAGTGTCGAGATCTTAGTATCTGCCGGTATTGCTCTTCAACGTCTTTGAGTCTTTGAGACTGAGTGAGCCCTCCCAGTTGCAGTTGTTGGACAGAGGCTGAGCTCTGGAACCGGCCGCTGATGTCGGCGCTCTTCGTGGACCTGGTGTCCACGGGTGTGCGTCTGGCCACCATCGATGAAATCGGCATCCTCCGGCATTTCTTCGAGAAACTTCTCCCTCAGACGCTCATCCGCAAGAAGCAGCTTGATCCCAAAGTGTCCAAACTAAGAAGCGGAGAGCAACAGGCTCACATGTCAATGCTTGCCAGAGGCTGGTGGACACCTTCCACGCACTGTTTCCCAGCTTTGATCCCTTTGCCGATCCCTTTGGTGGCGTGAGCCACGAGCAGCTGCGAGCTGTGCTCATGAAGCTGGCATGGCTCAAGACGGTGGACGGTTCCCGCATCGTCCAACAGCCCGACATCCACGAAGCCTTCGATGATGGCAGGCAGGCCTTGCGTGTGGAACTGGCCTCGGCGTTCTGGCAGGTGGCCAGGAGCGGCCGGATTCGTCTGCTGGATCATGGTGAGGGGTGTGTTCAGTTCCTTCACTCCCGATTGCAAGACTATTTGGCCGCTTGCCACTTGTGGTATGAAGGCGACTGCCAGGCCCTGCGATGCGTGAGCGGCGCGGGCTACGTCGGCCAGGCGGCGGACGACGCCCGTTTTGCCGGCGCGCGGTCCCTGCTGGTGAAGCTGTTGCGGGACGGAGCGCCAAGGCCCAGCCACCCCGATACCGACGAGGCCCAAGTTCACGAAATCCATCCTTAGCCCTATCAACCCTATCAGAGCTTTGACAGGTCTTTGACACAGCCTTGCTTGCAAGGCTTGGTACTTGCTGTGCTCCGCGGCTATGTCCAACTCGGACGAGGGCGCCCGTTGTGCCCTGCAGCTGGCCGGCCAGTCTCCCGATGCCGCTTGGCAGGTGCTTGGGCGCAGCGTCTTCGTGCCGATCCGCCCTCGGCTGGGAGCCGCGGCAGTGCTGGTGCGGGCCATGCGATGGGTGGACATGTTCCGCCGCGGCCCCAGTGCTGAGAATTTTTTGGTTGCACCCACCCAATCTTGCACTCGCTCTCTCTCCGTGTCGCTCGCTCGCTAGCTTGCTCTCTCGTTTTGTTTTTTTCTCTATCTCTCTCTCTCTTTCTCTTTCTTTCCTCTGAGACTCACTCTTGGAGTGAGGCCTACTGAACTGGTACGGCATCGTGGGCAGCGGAGCCTTGGGGCTGGGAGCCGCAGGCAAAAAGAGATAGAGAGAGAGAGAGAGAGAGTCTGCGCGCGCGGGGGTGCTTGCCCCCTAAGCCAAGAAGAAGAATAAGAGGAAGAAGAAGAAGAAGAAGAAGAAGAAGAAGAAGAAGAAGAAGAAGAAGAAGAAGAAGAAGAAGAAGAAGAAGAAGAAGAAGAAGAAGAAGAAGAAGAAGAAGAAGAAGAAGAAGAAGAAGAAGAAGAAGAAGAAGAAGAGAGAGGAAATAAATATAGAAAGAAAGAAGAAAGAACGGAAGGAAGAAAGAAGGGAAACAAAGAAAGAATGACAAAAAGAAATGACATAAATGCATAAATACACAAAGAAAGAAGTACAGAAATTCAGAAAGAAATATGCACATGCGGCAAACACAAAATCAGCAAGTTGTGTTCCCCCCTCCCCAAATGTTTTTGATCTTGCTCCTTGCTTCTCACTTCTATTTCTCCTCAGGCGGCCCTTGCACTGTCTTTGCCATCCTGCTGCTGCTGGGCTGGCCCAATGTTTCTGGTTGGGCCCATGTGCTTCTGGCTCTGTCGGGGCTGCTTTACTTGACGCTGGCGGCAACTAGTATAGGCCCTCGGTCCTCTAGGCGTAGTTCGGGGGGATGACGATCCTGACTTCGGACATGTTCTAGGAAGTGTTCTTTCGAGATGTTCTCCTAAGGACATGGCTGGTTCTTCTGTGCCAACTGATCGTGCTCCACCTCTTTCGGCGCGGTGGCCGCCTGTGGAGCTTGCTGCTGGCGTTCCGCTTCGACTGGGAGCACCACAGGATTGCCATCGTGGGCTACGGCTGTGTCTCCCTACGAGCCGACGACGTAAACCTCAACCTCACGCTGTACATGGGCTACTGGAAGTGTCTGTTGGTTCCTTTCTTCTGGGCCACACGTGCCCAGGTAGTCCCTAGAGTGCGGGTTCTGCAGGGTGTGGCTTACGTCTTGGGGCTCCTGGCTGGGACGATCTTCATGGCCATCCAGGCTGCCGTGGCCATCATCTGTTCCTTCCCTGCGCAGCTCTGCTGGTTGTACTTGCTCCTCCCGATTCACGTGCTGCGCAGCCGCTGGCTACGCCTGTGTGCACGGAAAGCCCCGAAGTCACGCGCGCGGCTGGATCCCCAAGTCATGGGCTCACGCTTCTCTCTTGAGGACGGCTGTTCGGTGAGGATTTTCCGACGATGTCAGCATGTGCTTGTGTCATCATGTGTCAGCGTGTCAACAGTCAACATCTGTTAACATGTGTCCCGCATGTGTCCTGCATGTCTCCTGCATGTGTCAAGAAAGCAAAAGTGAAGGAGACTTGCTCCTCCTGTTCCCGGAACGAGAGCATGAGAAGCCTCGAGGAAGAGGTGCCAAAGATAGGACCAAAGGCGGTCCTCCAAGCATCACTTGACTTCCTTGGCCAGCAGAGCCCGATCGACAAGGGGACGGAGGGGACGGAGGGGACGAGGGGTAGGGAGGGCACAGACGGCCCAAAGATCACCCGGGGCGAGGGCAGGTGGCCGAGGGCCATTGAGAGGGGTTCTTGGCTCTCCACGTGGCTTTGCCAATGCCTACCTTTTGAAAAAGGATCGGTTTATGGCTGGCGTGGAGTGACGCCGGGAATCGAACATGATTGAATTGTAGTACTGCGGGCGTGCCCAAGGCACGACCAGTGCACCATTGCAAAAGCAAAGACCACAAATTGCGGTCCCCATGGCCGAGCCTTCAAAGGGGCATCAGCATGGAGAAACGCAAGATTGAAAACCACGCGCAGAGGGGCGGCAGTAGCTGCTTGTGAAAATGTTTGGAGTTTGAGTTTCGGCTTTGCTGTTCCATTCGCCCTTTGAATGTTGTGCTACTTGATCGCAGCGGACCCCGAGCGGTAGTCACGTGAGCGCTCACGTGTGCCCGCGCGGACGCTTGAGGCAAGGTCGGCGAGGTGATAGGAGCCTCCGAATCCTCCGACATGCGCTGAAGCAAGCCCTGTTGTGCTTTTTGGACTTTGGACTTTCGACAGGCCATGCCAGCGCAGGTGGGAAAGTACGAGTGGCGGTATGCCTCCGGCGAAGATGACAGTGAGGAGATCAAGGCCTTCTCAATGTAGTGGTGCTCGAGTAGCCCGCAAACAAGAGTTGGGTTTGCGGTTTGCGTTTCAGCAAGGAACAGGTCGTTCGCGTGAAGTCTGAGGGAGATGCCTGACAAAAACAGCAGCCAGAGAGATTTCAGGCCTATTGCTAAACTCTTGAAGTTATACTGCGAACGTTGCTAATAAAGCTCCCCAGAGATTGAGGGTACACTCAGCGCTCGCCTGCCTTGGCTCCCCACTTTCTGTCCAAGTCAATCTTGTCATATGTGCCCATGCGCTTTCATCACTGGTCCTTGGGAGTCCTAAACTTCTAATGTCCATTTCGCCGTGGGTAAATAATTGTAAGCTGTAAGCGCTTGCGTGTGCCTCCTCGGCCAACGGCTTACTCCAGGAGATAGGAGAGCTTCAGGAGGTTTAGTAAATTTAGAGTGGTTCGAAGAAGACAAAGGGCGCTGGGGCTTTCAAGCAAAGTCCTATAGGGTCGGGTGTCTCAGCAGGGGCCGAGGAAGGTGGCGCGGAGTCAAGGGTGTGAGGGGGGTCTCAGGGGTTCACGAAACAAAGGCGGTGCCCACAAGTGGGTGGGGGGGGGGGGGACCACCAGGGCGGTGTGTATTTATTGTACGATTTTTGCTTGCGGGTGTTTTTGAAATGGCAAGTCAGCATTAGATCCGACTCTGCAAGCCACTCGTAAACCCTCGGAAGCCTTCGTCAGCCCTCGTCAGCCCTCGTAAGCCCTCGTAAGCCCTTCTCTCTTAAGCCGCCCCAAGTCGCCAAGCCTGAAAACTGTTTCCTCCCTGAGCCCCGAAGCTCCCTATGGTAAGCAGGTCTTCGTCCCAATCGAGGACGCCATCAAGGCCAAAGACTGCGACGTGAGATGCCGAGTGAAGAGCCCTTCCTTCCCCAAGCATTTCGGAGAGATCCCTCGGTTTCTCGCGGGGTGCCTTTCGGGGTGAGGTCAAGATCACGAAGAAACAGCTCAAGGTGGGCCCAACTTGGGATTCTGACATGTGCCGTGTAGTCTTTCTTCTTTGCCAGAGTCTTTTTTTTGGTAGGTTGGGCTCAAAGGGCAGGAGCCCATCATCGCCAGAAGCCCGGGCGAAGCAGATGGGGGGCAGATGCGCAAACGTGCAAACGCATTCGTTCATTTCATGTTCCTTTTTCCTCTTGTCCCAGGATGATACCTTGTGGAAGGAAGTGGATGCAGAGGAGTCGAGCTGGGAGCTGGACAAGGCACTTGGGCCTGTCTGCGCGCATTGGGCGTCCGAGCTTCATGCGTGGACTTTGCGACCGTGTGAGGATAGCAAGGGGCAGAGATGTATCGTGCTGTCGCTCATGAAGAAGAGCAAGCAAGCAGCTGAGAGGTTCGCCATGGCCTGCAGTGAAGCATCTGGCAGACGCTTCAGGTGGGATCGATGGGAGTACTTGGTGAAGTGCGAGGACGTGCCTCCAGATACCACCATCACCAACAAGGCAGCAGGGCAGAGACCCCCTTCTCAAGCTTGGCAAAGGCAAAGAGCAGCAGGGACTGCTCCGAGCCCAGAGAGTTTGCACTGTAGCACACTGCATCGGTGCGGAGGTCTTCATGGACATTTCCTTGGATGGGACGAAGGTCGGGCGAGTCATCATGGGCCTTTATGGCAAGCAGGCGCTGCTGGCTCTTGAGGGGTGGGGATGCTTTCGGGGTCTCGGTCGTGCGCAGGTTTTTTGTGCCGAGAAGGGCCACACATGTGGAACAGCCGCATGTTGTTGTGCTCGAAGATGTTCTCAGCTAGTGCTCGGTCAGGTCCCGAAGACAGTGTCCACCTGAGCTTACGCAAGTTGCCAGGAGGGCAGAAGACTTTCATGTGAACCTGAGGCTGAGAATTTCAGAGCTCTTTGTACGGGTGAGAAGGGCGAAGGGAAGGCCCTGACGTCTTTGGCAAGTCTTGGCCCTTTGTGAAGCATCGCTTTGTCAGACGTGGCAAGGCTGGTAAGCCCCTGCACTACAAGGCCTCGCCGTCCAGTAGATGTGCATATGCCGCGTGCTTCGTTGTGTGTCACCATGTGTGGCCTTCAGCCCTGAACCACTTGGCAACAGCCGAGACCCCATAGATGATTCAGCCCCGGCGGGCCCCCCCCCCCCCCCCCCCCCCCCCCCCCCCCCCCCCCAATGGTACCCCCCCCCCCCTGTGGTGTGGTTGGGGGTTGTTTTAGGGTTTAGGGTTTTAGGGTTTTAGGGTTTAGGGTTTAGGGTTTTAGGGTTTTAGGGTTTTAGGGTTTAGGGTTTAGGGTAGGTTTAGGGTTTTAGGGTTTAGGGTTTCGGGTTTAGGGTTTAGGGTTTTCCCCGCGGATGGGGTACTAAGATGATCCCCCGCCCCCCTGTGGTGTGGTTGGGGGTTGGTTTTAGGGTTAGGGTTTAGGGTTCAGGGTTTTAGGGTTTAGGGTTTAAGGTTTAAGACTTAAGGTTTAGGGTTTAGGGTTAGGTTTAGGTTTTAGGGGGTTTAGGGTTTAGGGTTTAGGGTTTAGGGTTTAGGGTTAGGGTTAGGTTTTAGGGTTTAGGGGGACCGTAGAGTAGGCTTGGGGGGGGGGGGGGGATACCAGGGGGGGGGGGGGGGGGGGCCCAGGACGCTCGACGCTGAACCATAGATGCCCAATGCCAGGGCTGCAGCTTCCATCGCATCATTCCGCGATTTATGTGCCAGGCTCGCACTAGGGACAGGGTTACTATTGAAGCCTTTCTTGAGCGGGCGGGGTGTAACGGGAGGTTTGGGACAAACGAACCGGGCTTCGAAGAGCGAAATGCCGACCGATCCCTCTCGGCAACTCCGTTCGGGCGGCCTCAAAAGCAGGTCGACTCCCGAATGGCAGAGGCGTAAGTACATGGGTTGCTTTTTCTTCTCCAACTGGTGACTTTGAGGGGTTGGATCGGAGTTGCGCAAGGTGTGCAGGGTGTGCATTAGGTTAGGTGTTGGCTGTTCGCAGGGCGGAGACTTCACCCATGGCAATGGGACCGGCGGCGAGTCGATCTATGGCACCTCGCTTGTAGAAGCTGCCTGTCTGTTGGCGAGCCCATGCGTAACAGCACTCAGAGGAGAAACAAGAGAGAACTGGATTCATCCAGGAGTTGTCTGGCAGCAGTGACGGTCCTGAGGAGAGAAGTTCGCCGATGAGAACTTCAGGGTGAAACACACCAAGCCAGTGCCTGAGGAGGTAACCGCAAAAGAGATCATGCCTTTTTCTGCATGTTTATACTATGGTGGATCAGATTGTGTTTGCATGATGGTAGATCATGTTATTCTTCTTTCTTGGTTTAATTGTAGAGGCAAAAAATCAGCATAACGTCTTATGGTTTTACAGATGATAGTTTTTGAGAAATTGGGCTCTGGTCCTGGGCGCCCTGGGATCCGAGGCCCGGCCTGCTCAGTATGGCCAATGCTGGCCCAGGCACCAACGGCAGCCAGTTCTTCCTGACCGTGAAGGAGAAGGGTTTGGGGATTTTGAGGTAGGGTGTAGGGTTTAGGGTGCGTATAGGGTTTAGGGTGAAGGGTTTGAGGGCTTAGGGCTTAGGGTTTAGGGTTTAGGGTTTAGAGCAGAACGGAAAGCGAACGAAGCATCGGCGATGGTACGGTCAGGAGACCCCGCACTTGGACGGCAAGCATGTCGTCTTCGGGGAAGTGCTGGAGGGCTACGAAGAGGCCCCACTGGCGCACTCCTTCCCTTGTCCTTGAGCCGCGTTGAGCTTCGACGCGTTTCCGGCTTGCAGGTCGTGAAGAAGATGGAGGAGGTACGGCCCAGAAAGACTCGTGTACTGTGTGTGTGTGTGTTGCCGCGCCCTTTCCTTGCTGCAGGTCGGTCAGTCGTCAGGCACACCGTCGAAGAAGGCCAGCTTGCATCACATGATTTCACACGCTCCACCCCAGGCTCTGACATCTCTGACATCTGGCGCAGGTACTGATCGAGGACTGTGGGGAGCTCTGAGAGGGCGTGAAGACAGCGCTACCCTCTGCCACGGGCCACAACATTTGATCCATGGCTCTGTGGCACGGCACCTCGAGCCTCGTTCAAGCGACTCAAGCCTTGGCGTGAATCTCGCGCGTGAGGCTTCATAGACACCCGAAGATGTTCATAGACCGCTCCCTGCGATGCAACATGAGCGTGATCTGCATGGCTGCCCTGCAGCACTGCCGCAGCATCCCGCAGCATCCCGCAGCATCTCGCAGCATCTCGCAGCATTTCGCACTAAGCTGTATTGGCGCCAATGCAACCCCCCCCCCCCCCCCGCACCCTTATGACTTAGACTCCAGGTGTTTGCTATACTGCATGTCATTTGCAAGTCAACATCCTGGTGACCAAAGTCAAGGCCCTCGATTGAGCAAAAATGGTGCCACGTGGTGCCAACAAAGTGTGTAGATCAATGAGAGCCGCATTCGTATAAGCCATCGACTCATTGAAGCACCAAACCTGACAGCCTGTGAACCTCAATGGCTTAAACCCTTAAGTCGACCACACAACACACACACACACACACACACAAGGAGCAAGCGCTTTGTATGGGGGCCTTGAACCTCCAGCTACGGAGACTTTGAGACCCCCCCAAGCGGCAGCTGATGTTTGGGTGTCTATGGAAACCACGGAAGCCAGCGAAGCCGGCGCCCTTGACGGCGCGCGGAGCTGGGATGATGCGTGGCGTGCGGCCGAGTACAGAGCGGAGGATTGCAAAATCAAAGTGTTGCCTTCCGATCGGTGTGTCGCAGAATAGCAGACAATAGCAGACAATAGCAGAGTGTAGTGTGGCAGATCCAGAAGCATTAGCATGTCACGATCAAGACTCATCGTAGGCTCATTGCATGTTGAAGGACGAGGCACCACAGGAGGATGGACTGGCAAAAGCGGACCTCTTCCCCGACTTGCCCAGCGAGGGCGAAGAGCAAGAGCAGCAAGAGCAGCAAGAGCAGCAAGAGCAGCAAGAGCAGCAAGAGGAGGAAGTGTTGCAAACCGCGTGTCGGGTCGATCCTTATCTGAGCCATAGCGCTGAGGTGGCGGAATCTGCAGAGATTCCAGAGGCCGAGGTGGTTTCAACGCTCTTACATCTCCTTCATGACTTAGCCTCCCCGACCGAGACGTCAGAACCGTCATCAGAATCGGCCAGGCACATGTCGAAGGTCACAACCAGCTGCGTGGTCTCGGTGTCGCGACGCCTCTGGCGGCTGGGAGCTGTGCAGCCTGGGGACTACGGGGAGGCCCCGCAGCTGACGATCTTGGGCAGATGGATGGCCGCAAGTGCTGCAAGTGCCAGGAGTGAAAGGCCGGTGTGGCTGTCACCAACAGCATTGCGGGCCCTTTTCTTCGGCTCAGTCTGGAACTGCCTCGTGCCGATTGCTGCTGTGGTTGCCTTGCTCCAACCACTTCCTGACGGCCTGACACCCAACAAAGACTTGCGAAAGCTCTGGCAAAAAGTTGCCAGGACTGCCAGGACACCAACATCGCGGTCGCAGACTTGGTCGGGCCACTTTGTCATGGTCGCGGCCTACTTGAGGTGGAAGGAGTGGAAAGCCGAAGCGGAGGTGAAAAAGCATCGCAAAGGCGACGTAGTTTGGGAAGCGCTGGACAGCAAAGTTGTTGCGATGTGCCGATACGCCCATTCGGCTTTTGGATATTGTGGCGCTGATGGGGTGCTGGAGGATGCCGAGGGCATTCCAATCAACACCGTGCAAGATGTGCCAAGAAGAGCATGGACAGTTGAAGCCATGCTGACCATCAGTTGAAGAAGCAACTCTTTCAGGTGTTTCGTGCTGTCCCACAATCGCTTTAAGCCCGTAAGCCTCCCTCCAGAACCAGAACTGGGCAACAATCCTGCTAGGTTAGGGTTTACTCTGGGTCGGCTACACTCGAAGCATTCGCTGAGGGGCGACGGTCAGCGGGAACGCGCCCTGGCGGCTCTCTGCGCCGCTCTGCCCCCACGACCTGGCCGAGATGGCTGGCGTGTGTGTGGCGAGGCCGCCGATGGCTTTCTGGAGGCGTAAAAGGGCGAATGTTGAATTTGAGTATTTAGTTTGGAGACTTGAAGTGACTTAAAGGGGGCTTCTGTTTCTGAAGACTCAAGCTCGCCAAAAATGAGCCAATCTGATTCATTTGTTTTGGGTTCTGGTGGCCTGAGAGGTGGAGACGCTGGTCGGCAATGCTCACGCTTGCATCTTCGGGCCCAGCAACCCGCGAAGGGTTGGAGACACGGAGGTGGAGTTCGGTGGCGCTCAATACATGATGAAGCCCGGCCTTGAAGCGTCGTTGGAGGAGGTCCACAGGATTCGATCGCAGCTCGCGGCGCACGCGGATGCGACGCTTGACAGGCTTAGCCGGCCTGAGGGGAGAAGGCTGGACGGGCCGGACCCCGACCTCGGCGACTTTGGCGACTTGGGCTTGTGCGAGGAGACGGTTTCGGCTGCCCTGGCCTTCCTGTCTTCACCGCGGGGGGACTTCCTCGACAACCTGGAGCAGCGGGAGGAACACGAGGAACGCGAAGCGTGGGCGGTGCCGGAGGGTGCCGCCGAGGAGGTGGGGCTTGGGGTACTAACGCTCTTGGGCCGAGCGGACGCGGGGAGCCGGTGTGGAGGCCGCGATACCGTAGCAAGACGTGGAGGCTACAAGGCTGCTTTGAGCGGTCGGATGGTCCCAGCGAGGCCGCTGCATGCCCTTTCGACGCCTTCCAAGCCCGTCAAGGAGGAGCACCAAGAGCACCAAGAGGAGGAGGGCAAAGCAAGCAAAGCTGCCAAGGCGGCTAAAGAAGAGGGCCGGGAAGAGACATCGGAACCGCTGGAGTACCCGGCCCCCCGGGAGAGACTGAGCGAAGAACGGTGCTTGGAGGACTGGGCCACGGGCCTCGTGCAATCTGCCCTCCTGCAGACGCTCAAGCGTCGCGCTGCAGCCGCCGAGGCCTTCGACGTGGCAGGCCGCCTCAAGGCACGGGAGCTGGGTGCTGCGGCCGCCACCGCCGCCGGCCGAGCTCGGGCGCTGCAGCTGCCCGAACCTGCACATAACCATAAAAGCAGCTTGTATTCCCATGGCCTTAAACCGGTGTGAAAGAATTGCAACGTTTTCCGCCGAGGCTTCTGAACGTGCCCAAGACGGCCTCCATCGAGCAGCTCAATGAGCGGAAGCGCAAAGCTGTGGAGGTGGAAGACTACGAGCTGCTTGGTGGCTGAAGGTCACGTACGTTGGAACACGCGAGTATGTCGGTTGGCATGATATCCGTGTTCACATGCAGTTTTCAAGTTTCTATCACATGTGCCATGTTGGAGCCCATGTCGTGTTTGTGAAGGCTCGCCGGCTCCATCAAGCGTGAGGTTGCCACTTTGGTGCCTTGGATCGCTGATTTGCGTTGCTGTGCTCTTGTCATTGTCGGCATTAAAGGAACACGAACCGCGAACAGCCTTTGCGCCTGGATTTCTTACGTTCAGGGTAAAACAGATCCGGTTCCGTGGGTTCTCACCCGAAGCCTCTCTGCATCTTGGCCCCAAAAGATCGCTGTCGCCCAGTGTGGGTCCTCTGGTGTCCGCAGCCAGTTCCGAGGCTCCTGTTGAAGGCCTCCGGCTGTGCATGTTTTCAAGCCATCCCTGACCTTCGCAAGAAGTCATGGGCAGCAAGTCCCGCTGTCGAGGGCTGCGATATGTGGCATTTTGGTTTAATGAATTCAAAGATTTCTGGTTCACGATCAGCAGTCAGAAAGATGCAGCATTGTTGCATGGTCCTGTATCGAGCCTTTGAGAGTCGAGGGAGGGGCAAAGAGAGGTGACGCGGTTGTAGGTGGCCACCCCACTATCGGAGTTCTTTCACAGGCTTTCTAGGAATATTTTCACAGGACCTGGTAGATGTGTAACAGATTCTTTCCAGAGTATGTGCTGTCGGCAACATCACTCGTGTGTCCTCGTGTGTCCCACCTGAGACAAGGAAGCTGAGATCGAGGCGGCAGTGCAAGATACCGCCCCTCGGATCAAGACTAGCAGTCAAGCAAGACCTTATGTAGCACCAGCGAGGCACCCGATAACATACCAGAATCGCGTATGTCGTCATGCAGAGTCACGTGCTACGTCTAAGTGTCTAACTCAAATTGGGTTTAGGTGTGCCGCTGTGTGAGGAGATGGAGGAAAGGGTGCGAGAACAAGCGGTGCGCTTGGCTGCAGCGACACTCGGCCTTCAAAAACATGCCCGGAGACCAACGCATAGGGGTTGCGCGTGGAGTTGTGCTGCTCCCGATGAGAGGCCCAAACACCGCCGAAGGCTTCTCAAGGCTGCTGGAGCCGATGCTCTGAGGGCCAACGGAGACGGGCGCGAGGGCGACCTTTGGGACGAGGTTGCGCGAAGCCTCCGCGCGGAATGCCCTCCCGAAAAAGAGAGGAAAAAGAGAGAGAGAGAGAGTCTCAACCGACTGACTCGCTAGCGCATGCCCCTTGGGGCGGCTCCTTCGGGGGCCTGATGCGGTGGAAGGAAGGAAGGAAGAGAGAGAGACAAAGCGAGAACAAGACCATCTCCCCCCACAAGAGCTTGAAGGAGGCCATTTTGGCCCCATCCATCACTTATAGGGGCCTATCTGTACGTGACACGCTGATTTTGGGGTTTAGGGTTTAGGGTTTTGGGTTTCCGGTTTCCAGTGCGCGGTCAGGTGTCCAAGTCTGTGGTTCAGGTCGACCCTAAATCCTAAACCCCAAACCCTAAACCCTTCACGAAATTGATTTGATTGACTTGATATTTCTGCTGTTCAAAAAGGTGTAAAAAACAAGGCTTGCAAACAACAATATCTTGATCTGGTGGGATTTGCAAGTGTGCCTATGAGCTACCTGCGTTGAGGAAGCACAATGCACTATTGAAGAAATGGCACCACGCCGTGCAAGCCAGTCTAGGCTAGCGGAAGCGCAGCAACAGGCTCTGCCGGGGTAACTGCCCCCTGCAATGCCCGTTATAAGGCTGCCGATCGGCATCACTACCCTTTGTTTTTTGCAACAACTATGGGCCTGAGCCTGCTGGACTTGTTCGACGCATCGCAGCTTGCCCGGAACCAAGCAATAACTATAACTTTCACTTGCGACCTCATTCATGCGTTAGTTTTCGTCGACAAACAAACTAGACAGGATTTGCTGGATCGTAGGCCGAGCCAATTCAGTCTGGAGATCCTGGGCCACTATAAGCCCTGACTCAGCAACGGCTGCTGTCAAAACTAATAGCAAACAGCGATATCCACCCCGTCACTGTAAGCTGCAAAGTACTTTCACATGGTCTGCGTGAACCTGAATAAGATTTTACAAATGCTTGAAAAGAACCATCTGCCATACACACCCTTCTTTCATTATCGTTTAGTTGCAAGAAAAAGCTTCAGGCTCGACATCCATACGGTTTGGGGGGACTATACAACCCCTGAACATGGCACACTGAAGTTGCTCTTCAGCTAGAAGCCTTCTAGCAATTGTCTCAGCTTTCACGCTTTCGAAAAGCACGACTGAGATGTTCTATTGGCTTCGCAACAGTTACATGTGTTCAAAGAAAATCCGTCGGTTTTGGCTTCACACGGGTTCCTTTTGCCCTCGAACTTTGAGCCGCGACCATCCAACTCCGACCTGTGTGGGAAGAAAGGGGCTCGACATGTGTGCTTATAGCGAGAAGCCTAGAAGCAAAGGCTACATAGCCCAGCCAGCAACAGCGCACCCGCTCATGATAGACGGCGAGTCCGATGTGGCGGCCCACATCCATGTTTAGAGTGGCTTCAAAAGGGAGGTCTATTTTTGTTAGAAAAATTTCTTAATTTTATTGTCCGGCCTTAAGGAGGTCTATGTTTTTTGGGATTTTTTCGTTTTTTTGGGATTTTTTGTTTTTTGTCCTTGCTACTGGTAAACCCTAAATTTAAGAGCCTCCGGCTCAAGCCGCCGACCCCGCAGGAGAACAAGTTTAAGGTTTGGGGTTTGGTGATTTTGTTTGCGGTTCCTGTTGGGGTTGGGGGGGGGGTGGGGGGGTGGGGGGGGGGTGGGGGGGTGGGGGGGGGGTGGGGGGGGGGGGGGGTGGGGGGGGGGGGGTGTGGGTGGGGGGGGGGGTAAGGGGGGGTAGGGACAAGGCCCCTATGCCCTGTGCAAAAACGGGTTTTGCGCGGTGGGGGGCCTGTTCCTCCACGGAAAAGCTGGCGGGGTTGCCCCCCCCCCCCCCCCCCCCCCTTCGGGTTTTTGGGGGGTAAGGAGCACCTCCTTTTCCCATCCAACACGCCGCCAGGGTCGGCGGACCCTAAACCCTAAACACTAAACCCTAAACCCTAAAGCCTGAACCCGAAACCCTAAACCCTAAACCCTAGACCCTGGACCCTAGACCCTAGACCCTAGACCCTAGACCCTAGACCCTAGACCCTAGACCCTAGACCCTAGACCCTAGACCCTGAACCCTCGACCTAACCCCTAAACCCTAAACCCTAAACCCCTAAACCCTAAACCCTGAACCCTACACCCTAAACCCTAAACCCTAAAACCTAACCCTAAACCCTAAAACCTAAACCCTAAACCCTAAAGCAAAAAATAACAAACTCCCAAAAAAACAAAAAACTCCTAATTTAATTCTCCGGCCTCAAAAGACCATTCTTCGACATGTCGCTGAACCTTAACCTAAGATGTTGGGCACCCTATCCAACAGCAAGAACTGTGGATTGAGCACGCAGAGCATATTTCTGGCATTCGATGGCTCCGAGGTTGTTTTAGGATTCCCATACTCCCGTTTGTCACTTCGGTGACATAGAAGATGGGCAACAACATGCAGACCTAGACCCGAGACACCCCGAACACCCCCAAAATCATAAGAAGCTTCAAAGTCGTGCTGTCGGGCCCTGGCATGTTCTGGCGCAGCAGAAAATGTCCAAGACACTGCGATGTGGGCCAAGAGTTTCCTGCCAGGCATCTCCCGTTTTCTTCGCCAGTCGAAGGTTCAATATTCGGGGGGGGGGGGGGGGGGTTTTGCTAGTTGCTGGTTCTGTGGCATTCCCAGGGCCCTTCTCGGTATCTTCGATCAGCCGGCTGGTGAGGAGCGCCTTGGCAGCAACTGTTGACAATGAGTCGCGCATGAGTCGATCTCCTTTTCCCTCATGTTTCTCTTGAACTCTACATTCCGTCAACGAGCAATATTGAAAATATTCAACTTGCTTACTAGCTTTCCGGAAATTGCCAAGTCATTGCGGAAGGAACTGCTAGAAATACTTTCGCGTAACATCATCCGAATCCCTGACCCTTGTTGAATCAAGTGCAAGTCTGGGCCACAGCACTTGTGGTGCTTGCCACATACAGGTGCTCGAAAGCAGAGTATAGAAGAAGAAGAAGAAGCGGAAGAAGTTCGTGCGTGAAGGTCCAAGCCATGATCGGGTCCTCCCTGGAATCTTTCCACTTGTGTCCTCCATGTGCAAGATGCCTGAAAGCCCAAACCTCCCCAAACCTAAGCCCCAACAGATGCAACAGCCGGCGATGGCGAGCTTTGGCTTTTGCGGCTCTTTTTGTGTCGGTTCACCAATTGCATCTTTGGAAAGCATAGAAGGCCTAAAGTCTTGAATCCCTAAGCCGTACTTCCTAACCTTCTGATTTGTCCGAGGGCCGGCCAGGGTCGACCATGCAACGGCAAGGCCAGCCGAGGTGCCGTACGGGTTTCAGCCAATCCTTTGTAACCGGAACAAACACTTGGGAGAGTGTCCTGAGCACAGGTCCCGAGCACTGATGTGTCAGATCCAGAGCGATCCGTGGCTTGGCTCGCCTCGCCATGTTCAAAGCCTGAACTGGTTCGTGAGATTGCTGATGTCCTGCTCCAGCTGAGGACCCGCTGCTGCAGAGATCGTCCCCACAGCTGCTACAAAAGTCATGGCCTGGGCATGAGCAGAGATGAGCAGAGATGAGCAGAGATGAGCAGAGATGAGCATATCTGCAGCACCGGGTCACAATCTAAGGCAGGCTGACGATCCACCAGGCTGCGCTGACTGGCGGATGAGAGTGGGGGTGATTCTCTGCTGTATGCTGCAGCTGTGCTGTGCAGCAGGCGCTGACCCACAAGAACAACAAGTTCCAGCTGCTGCCTGGACGCAGTAATTCGACAGCCTCGCTTCGTGTGCGCTGTAGTGGGTTTGCCCCCCGAGGACCTGACCTCGCAACCTCGATGCAGGCCGCCCCCAACATGCCCGAGTGGCTCGGCCCCGTGTGGAGCGGAATGAGGGGCCGGAATGAGAGCGGAGATGGGCGGAGGGCAAAACGTGGGCGTGGGGCATCGTTGCTCTCAGGAGCCTTCAAGATGATCACCTTCCGGAACCCTTGCGGATGCCACTCAGCTGACTCAGCTGTTGCAGAGCCCGATATCTGCGTTCTATGCTTTACGTTGATGTGATGTGTACACTGACGTATTTTGTGCAATATAGTCAACATGGTCAAGAAAAACAGAACGAGGGCACAAGGTTCGAGAGGTCATTTTTTTCTGGAGCTAGGTGAGCAGAAACGGTTGAAGAAAGTGTGCCGCCAAAGTGTGTGCCACCGAAGCAGCAAGGCGCTGTGCCTTCCGAAGCCTGGTGTGCTTCAGAGCTTGGGGCTCAATGGAAGATCTCGGACAGTTAAGGTGAGGCCTGCGACCCGAAGGATGTGCCCGAGAGGCACATGGATGTCAAAAGCTTCCTGGTTCCTTAGATTTCGGGTCGGTATTCCGAAGAGGGGCCGCATCACATGGCATGTCACATGGGTCGTGCACCTGCTCGTGACCAATCACGAGGGCGCTTGTCTCTCGGCATCTCTTCGCAAGGCCCCTATTGGACCTCACGGGCGACGCGCTCCCAAGTTTCGGCCGGTTCGCAGCCCGATCCCTCTTAAAGGGGGCGACCCCGGGCCCGCAGCTTTCTGGCGCGCACTTTTTCAGCTCTGCAGGTCCTCGTCCACGCCGGCGATCAGAGATCGGGCGCCCTCGACCCTCCCACGGTCACCGCGGTCAGCCTCTCCGCGGCGCGTGCCCGCAGCTCCCCAGCCTCGTTTCAGGGGGTCTCCGAAGACGGGCTTGGATGAGGTGTTTATAAGGATCTCAGACGTGTCAGGACATGATCTCGATAATGACTCACTTCACTTCCGAAGATCCTCGCTTCTCAGAGGCCTACTGCGACTGGAGCTCGCTCTACATTCTCCACGGAGAACCCGGCATCCTGCAAGCCCAGGCTGTGTCTTGCAGAGCGCCTGTAAGGTTCAAAGTAGATTCGCCTCTTAGAAGCTCAGATCTTTGCCAGGCTCTACGTCGGCTGCGAGACCACCAAGAGGATGGGGAAGTGTAGTTGCCGCAAGTTCCACCTCTCCATGACTCCGAGAGCGAATGCGCGGTCTCCACAGAAAAAGAACGCCAGTGGCTTCCAACAAGTCTGCTTCATACCTCATTGCTTCTGTACTTGTACACGAGGACAAGCTGCTCCAGCAATCTGCGTCGTGTGCATCCACTGTGTGGGAATCGCCTTCCTCGCGGAACACTGGTAGGAGCTGTGCCTACCAGGCGACGTGTCTTGACTGCCTCAATACTGGCCATATTGTTGTGATCTAGTGTGTGCGTTGCAGACAGTGTGCGTGCAGCACGGCTTGGTGGCGACCTTCTTGAAGTCTTTTGGTTTCAGGAAGGATGACGAACTCCAGCGCCCTCTGACACCTCGCGCGAAGTCTTCAGGGGCACCTCGAGGTGCCATTCCGAAGATTCAAGCGTAGCTGGCTAGCTGCTGAGCTCCGAAAGCAGCGGCAGCGTATTCATGAGCCCTTCCAGGCGTGAGCACCCCACTTCGGAGGCAACAGAGCACGGCAGGCCAAAGCCAAGCCAGGCGGCCACTCGTCGCTGCAATGTCGCTCTCTCTTTCTCTCTCTCTCTCTCTTTCTCTTTCCCTCTCTCTCTCTCTCCTCTTTATCTCTCTCTCTTTCCCTCGCTCCCTCGCTCTCTCTCTCTCTCGCCGCTCTCTTGCTCAACTCACTCTCTCTTTCGAGGTGTTCGGGTTTCAGCCATTGGGACATCGGGAGAACCAATATGAAAACTCCTTATTTTGCTCCAGTTTAGAGGTCTTACAAGATGACTTACTCTTTGCAGGGTGCCGGGAGGCATCTCAAAAGGCCGGCCTCAATTGCCTTGAGGTTGCGGGCGGGGGGGGGGTTCGCTTACCCCTTACGAAATTAAAGTCCCTCCTTCCTAAGCCCTCAGCCGCACAAGTTGCAAGTTTCACAAACACTTTAGACACTTGAAATACTACGACATTCTTGACATGTCTCCTGTATGGTGGCATGTTTCGGTTGCTGTTTTGCTCCTCTTGAGAGGCAGCGGAGCGCGGCGCCCGTGGCCTCACACACAACTCGGAAGGAGCGGGGCATAGGTGTGTCGTTGTCGCGTGTGTTTGCGTGTTTGCTTTGTGTGTGCGTGTATGATTTGTGAAGAACTTGGTGGGGATTTGCAGGGTCACGCTCTTGAGCTGTGGTCCAGTGAGTCCAGTGCTCAGGAGCCTTCTGCTCGTTTCCGGAGCTCTTCCGCTCATGCTCGCCGGCAAGTCGGCACAGAGGTCAAAACCGAAAAAGTCGACAGAAGCGATAAAACAGACGAGGCGCCCGGGGCCAATGGTGCATGCTGGCAAGCGATGACGAAGTGCGTCGCTGGGAGCCCCGGGGTTTGCAAAGGAGAAGCGGGCGAAGCGGGCGAAGGCTCCCATAACCTTTGCCACGATGTTCGGTGCCACAGGCCTGGATGCCCAGCATGTCGAAAGCCCCTGAAGCAACGGGGAGCAAGAGACACGAGCACAGCAAAACAATTCCCAGCATCTCACACGCCAGCACACGTACGCGTGCATGCACAAAACACACAGGCACGGCGTGCTCTCAAAGTTCTCTCAGGTGAAGAGGTGCCACTCGAGAAGCTCGGTGGCAAAACGAGATTGCAAGCAGCAGGAAATCGCTCTTCAGCGAGAACCGCAATGATACGGACCATGCTATGAGGAACCGAGAGGCTGTGGAAGCCATCCTGACGGACTTGCACAACGTGGCGCATCCTCTCTGTGAGCATTTTGGCATCAGGCACACCGGCACACTTGCATTGCTGCACTCGAGAGTGGCAAAGAATTGATGCATGCCAGAAACGTTGGAGGTACGACTTCTTGTTGGAGTCTCTTGGCTGGTCTCAGCAGCCGTGCTATGATTTACAGTGTTACAACAGAAAAATGAATGCCGAGGCAGCACTGCCAGGAGCGAAAGGCAGGTGTGGCGCGCAGGACACCCAAGTGGGCGGCTGGCGAGGAGCGCTGCGCGACTGCAGTGGGCTGTCTTGCAGGTGGTCTTATGGGTTGGTCTTTGGTTTGGGTTGCGTGAATTGCTATCTGAGGCTATCTCACAACGGTTCGTTTACGGGTGCGAAGACATCCTGCCAAAGGTGATCCGCAGAAGGCGTTGCGCTTTCCAATCTGTTTTTGCTGCGCTTAATGGGGTTCTCGGAGCCAGGACTTCATAGGAAGAGGTGCGCAGATGCTTGGCAAGCTGTCAGATTCCGCAGGTTGTTTTGGGCATTCTTCGATCTTGAGAAGTGTGCAGAAGTAGCGTGTGCTGTCACTACTATTATTACAGAAAAAGTGCTCGTTGGAGCCTAAGGATTGCTGTGCTTCTGCACGAACTCGCGCATCTCCGGCACATGAACCATGGAGCTTGCCTCAGCTCAGCTCAGCTCTTCGGTACGTGTGACTTGCCCGTCGGGAATTTCTTTGCGAGGGGAAGACTTCATGTTCTTCCTGAAGGAGTCCGAAGTAACATGCAGCACCTCGCAGCGAAGATTCACTTGAGAAAGGATTGGCGCCCTTCATGTGCAGGACATCTTCCTGGAAGCCACGCGGCGGAACTTGCTCGACTCGACTTGGTCGAACGAAGCTTGTCCAGACTGATGCTGCATTCGTGTCCTTGAATATTCCGGAGTCGGATGCCCCAACATGCCTCGGGTGCTCTTCAATCCCTTCAGGAGCTACCATCTTGCCGAGCGTGGGAGAATCTGATCTATCAGACAGGTGTGTCTTGTGTCACGTTGTGTCAGTTTGCGTCACGTCTGACACGTTGCTCTGAGGTCTGACTAGCACCTAGTCACGAGTCACTGTCATCCTGGTCAATACAGGTGGGGATGCCACAGCCGAAGAGTTGATGCAGCTGTTCGATCCTGGTGGAGATCCCACCAGCTGCGCGACACCCAGGAGACGTGACGCGCCTGCTTCCCATGTTCCCATGGCTGTGCAGATCTTTGCATCGCGGTGCAGCGCTTGATAGCGCTTGTAAGCCGGCAGATTTCATGCAGGAACGCTCCCAGCACTCCTCGCGCTCCTCGCACTCCTCGTCGACTTCCAGGTCCCCCTCAGGAGATCACCAAGACAGGCGGAGACGGAGGAGTTGAGACTTCGGAGTCACAGGAGACGCGCTTGCAAGGATTGCATCCCGGGCGTTCCGGGAATTCTTTGGGATTTGGTCTGGATGCGCCGGAGTTCGATTCAGAAGCGGCCCGTGAAGCAGAGGAACTGAAGCCGGACGTGGACGTGCCGACAGCGCCGGACGAGGCGACGGCGCCCGACGTGCCGACGGCGCCGGACAGGACAGGGATGGATGAGATCGCGGAGGCAAAGGGGGCGCACCCGAAGATAGAGGTGCTTTCGCCGAAGAGAAGGGCCACGAAGAAGACCAAAGAGGACGTGCCACGTTTCAAAACTGGGCTCGCAGCGAATACAGCGGCTGGGCCAGCATGGAAGTCTGGGCCGAGTGACAGGAGCGAATGGCTGCCACGAAACGGCGAGGAGCCCCGGGCAAAAAGGGCACCAAGGGCACCAAGGGCGCCAAAGGAGCAAAGCACGCCGATGCCGATGGCGGACGTGGAGCCGGCGAGTCCGGGGCTCGAGGTGCCCGAGGCGCCCGAGGCGCCCGAGGTGCCCGAGGCGCGTGGCAACAACAAGCCGAAGGAGCCCCGCCAAGGAATCGAAGAAGGCTCCGTTCCGCCTTCGCCCGTCCGCCCGACCTGCTCCTCAAGTCGGTCGGAGAAGGCGCAGAAGTGGCCGGATGCAGCTGGAGACGCTTTGAAGTCGAAGGGCCCAAGCTCCGAACGCTCGCCGCGGTGCACCGAGAACCAGGCGGGGAATCGGGCCATGAATGTCAGAATAATGTCAGAGCGATAGTATCAAAGTATCAACAGAGCCAGGCCCATAGCAGGGTGTACGAAGCCTCTTCCAGGCCTTTATTCAATAAGCTGGCTTTGAGGCGTGTGCTTGCCTGTCTCACACCAGGGCAGCCGAGGCCGCGTTCTGAAACCGAGGAAGGCAAAGCCATAGGACGAATGCCGTTAGTGCCTTTTTCAAGCAGCGCCGGGCGATAAAGCTATTCAGGAGAGTCAAAGGGACAAAGCCGATGGTGGATCCCTTTCTTGAATAGCTTTGCAGTGAGTGTGTTAGCTCTCTCTGAGTCTAGCAGCTGCGTTGGTGGAAGAGCTCGAGATGAGCAGAAGGGTTTGGGGATCTTCCCATTCTACTTCTAGTTCCATTCGACCATCAACTTATCTGGTGATCGCATGCGAGCACATCTTGCAGCTCTCTGCCTGGATAACGAATCTCCGAAGTAAATGTGGAGAAGTGTCGACATCCACAAGCATGGATGAGCGGATGCTTGCTTTATGGGGGCTCTGGGCATTTCCCTTAACTACGGACCAACGAAGTTATGGTACATCGGAACTGTCTCGGCCGCCAGGACTGTCAACCCTTGGGAAATTCCTGAACTCCGCTTTATGTCAAAACTTGCCTTTGAGAAGCCATCCCAAGGAGGCGCCCAGGGCAGAGGGAAATGTTTTGCTGAAGTCTGTAGGGAGCATTTGTGAGAGCTTACTTCGTTCTTGCGATCGGGTGAACCCAGCCGATGGTCCCTGCAGCCGCTTGGGATCGCTTGGGAAGGCTTGGGGTCCTTCGGGGCATAGCCGTTGGGTCCCCGACGACATGATGGCGCCCTGGCTTGGTGGACGTACTTTCTCTCATGTGTCAGGGGAAAAATTGTCGGTGTGAGTCATTTGGCATCCTCAGGAGCTGCCAGATGCCCGCTGGGTTGCAGAAATGAGCAGCCAGGAGCCGTTTTAGGGTTTGGGTGGGGGGGGGGGGTTGTTCAGCGCATTTCAGCGCCCTGAATGTGAGAGACTTCGCGGCAGGCACTGCCGGTCTGCCAGCCGTTTCGGCTTCGGCACCGCGCGGACATAACCTTCATTGTGACGATGGCGGGACGGATCATCCAGATGCATCTTGCGAAAATAATGGTCATGGAGGAACGGCCATAGCTAAAGGACTGTGAATGCTCAGCTAGTGTACACGATTCAAAAACATGGTTTGCTTTGTTTGCCATGCTCACGACTTGCGCGTCATGACCGGGGGGCCCAGGCAGTCCGGCTTCGCCATGCTCGAGTCCGCATATGCCACAGCCTCGGCACTGCGGATCACCGCAGTCTTCTGGTTTGTTGTTGTTGTCGTCTACGCCAGGCTCAGCCCAACAACTCGGCCAACATCATGATGCCAGACCCTTGAGACGCCACCTACATGTTGCACTGTGTCGTATATCTATCTGGGATCCCGAAACGTAGGAAGAACATGCTGGATCTCTTCATCGGTGTTCTGGCCTTCTACCTGTTCGGCTATGGAATTGCTTATGGTGAGACCCATGATGTCGGATTCGCAGATACTGGCCTGAGCCCCTGTCTCCAGAAGGCCAGTCACCGTCTGGCACCGTTGCAGTCCGAGGCTACGATATGGCCCATTGGTTTTGCTGCTTCTCTTATGCTACAACAGCTGCGACAATCAACAGCGGGGCCTGAAGCCCAGCTCCAGGGTAGATATAAGAGCTCAGAAGATTGACTGCATGATTCATTGAAGATTGTAGAGCGTGGTCGAAAAGGGTGGAAGATGGTGAGGCCCTTGCAGGACGTGTGGCCTTCTTCCCCTACCTGGTCTTGTCCACCTTTATGACAGGCTAGGAGTAGTGCGTCTCGGTAGTTCAAAATCAAGACATCTTATGAAAAGGCAGCCAGTTCAGCGAAGCGAATGCGCAGGCATCGTGTACCCCATCTCAGCGCGCCTCGTCTGGGGTGGCGGCTGGCTCCAGCAGCTGGGATTCATCGACTTCGCCGGCTCACGCCCCAAACGACTTCGCTCGGCTCGGTAGTCGCAGATGCCGTAGGCGTCGTAGTCGCGGCGGCGCTCGGCTCGCTTCTCGCTGTGCTTGTCCGAGGCTCGGCCACAGTGCACATGGTCGGCGCTGTGAGTGCCCTGGCCGGCGCCTCAGACTCCTCAGACCACAAAATGTGCGGACCTGGACGATCGCGGAAGACGCTGCCCAACGATCCGTAAATTTTGAATTCAAGATGGTCCAAGTTGGTCTGAGGTCAGCACGTGCTTCGTTGGCCCACGCATTGGGCGCTTCAAGGAATACCGGGCCTGGAAGGCGCCATGGAGCATCATCTTCTTCGAGAAGCACGACAGCAAGTACTATCGGGAGCCCGAGGCTGTGGAATCTCGCGCATGCTCGCGGATGCTCGCGGCGTGTGCGCACAACCTAAAGAGAGAGAACGCACAGCGATGAAGCGAAACCTGCAAAGTGCTTACAAGCAGGGCGCCGTCGAGAAGAAGGTCTTCGTACCCTTTCGCAAATGCAGACATCCCGTGCAGCTCTTGTTCGGCACGTTCCTCCTGCTGCTTGTCTCTCACACACTAGGCCAACAAGATTCGTTCAGCGTAGATCAGCGCGGCTCAGCGTGGTTCAGTTTTGGATTGAAGCTGCCTGCCGCTACTTCCTAGGCTTGTGGGATTCCTGGCGTTCAACCCGGGCTCCACTTATGCCACCACCATGGACAAGGACCTCACTGTGGCCTACAGCTCCGCCCGAGCCCGAGAGCACATGACCCGGCAGCAGTCAGGCAGCGTAGGCTTCGTAGCGCAAAACAGGGGGGGTGGGGGCCGGGGCTGCTTTTGGGGGGGGCTGCTTTTGCAGGGTGCTGTCTAGCATACTGCATCCTGCGCTGGGAACGTGTTGTTTTTTTTTTTTTTTTTTGCTCCGCCAGCAGTTTTGGTTTTCCACTTTTTGCTGGGTAGCCATGTGCCGAACAAGCAACCATGTGTTTTCTTGTTGTTGTGCCGCCCGGGCCGAAACTATGTGAGTGAGTGGGTGAGAACCCTCTTTTGAAAGTGTGCGTGTATATATATATATGAGGATATATCTATTGCTTTGGGTAGGTGGCTCCCGGGTAGACCCCAACCCCTAAGTCCCTGCACCCGCCCCCCCCCTCCCCGCTATTTCCTTGTTTCTTTTGACGGTGCAAGCTTGCTTTTACAAAGAACATCAGCCCATGAAGAGGAGACTAATTTTTAAGCGTTGTGGTTACCAAGGGGGAGCGCAGCCTCCAACCCCGCTCTTGTATTGTTCTAGCTCGTGCAAACGTGCTTTGCGAGCAAGATCATGCCTTCAGAAGTTGCATGAGCAGCATGTTCCAATCCTGTCATGTGAGCATTTGTGTTTGCAAACGCGGTGGGGGGGGGGGGGGGGCTGAGCCCACCCAAACCCCCGCGCTAGTTGATTTATTGTGAAGCTGCGCGAGCTTGCTTCGTAAAAAAACTATGAAGTGGACTTGCAAGTAAAAAACATACGAAGCCTTGCCGAGCACGTTATGCCAGGATTGTGCCGTCGTTGTACTCATCGTCATTGACAATGCGCGTGCAGAAACAATGCGCCCGGAATGTGCCCCGCGTTTTGATATGGCCAGGTGCGAGCAACACAAGAGAAGGCGCCTCGAATGCGCACAATGCATGTTCTTTTCTTTTGTTGCTCGGCCAGCCCTGTGCGTTACACAGTTTGAAAAACCTTGCTGATCAACAGACGCACGGACAAAACACACTCTTACTGTTACTGCCTGCGGCGTAGCCACATACGCGTCTTCTCTAGTTCCTCACAGACCATTCAGGTCACCACTCTCCTAGCAGCAGCAGGAGCTGGGGTGGGAGGCACGGAATAGAGTTGCCGGATTCGACTTGCTTCCTGCGCGATTTGAAGTTGAATCCGTGCAAGGCTCTGCAGCAATTGCCATAGTGAGCCTCACAAAGCCTAGTGAATGCTGTTTTCCTTTGACAAACTTAGATGCCTTGAGGCATGGTCTACTCAATCGCCTCGGCACGAGCGGCCGTCGTGCATTTCCCAGAGCTGACTGCACCCTCCGAATGAAATCTCATCTAAACTTCTCCGAAGGCAGGTCATGATGAAGTGTTGGGAGATGCGAGAATCTTGTTCACAGGTGCGTGTCCCGGAGCTAACCAACGCAGTGATTGGAGGCCACACTTGCTGGGTTTGTGGCTGGTTTTGGAGGATGTTCTGAGACATGCTGGGATGTTTGGGATTTCTGGGGCATGTGGGATACTTGGGCTAGATTCGTTCAGGGCGCGAAGCAGTCAGATGGAGGCTTGGTGGCGAGCTGCGCATGCTGCTCCGTCATCCCCGTTCCGATCGCTCCCTTGGTTGGCTTCGTGGCGGCGATACTCACTGGGCTTCGAGGAGCTTCTTGTCTGCTGCCAGATCGACGATGCAGTTGGTGCTGCCGCTTGGACGAAGCAATTAGACGAAGCGTTCGGGGGTTTAGGGAGTTTGGAGAGTGGCCCATGTCCATGCGAATGATCCAGAGAAGCCCAGGTTGCAGCTCATGGGCCGAGTGGTGCATGGGGCACGCTGGCAGTCGCTCTCTTGCGGACAAACACTGTGGAGATACACATGACTTTGTTGGCATCTTTTTCGGGGGCGGCGAGACTGCTTGGCGCATGCTGGGCGTGCAGGTGCGGGTCCCTCATGACTTGTCGAAACACAGCCTTTTCACGGGGGGGGGGGGAGTGGGGGGGGGCCTTGGAGAGCTTGGTTCCTTAAAGTGAGGCGCTCGGACTCTTGGTGCTCATGGGCATCTCTTTAGCTTCCACGTATGTGCTCGTGATGTTGGTCGACTTGCTCTTCGGCTTCCGAGTCTCCCGAGCCTGCGAGCTGATTGGCCTGGACAGCTTGACACCTTCAAAGCCTCAAAAGGGGTCTGTTGGACAGGTCTAAGTCTAAGCCCTTGACAGTAATCGGGTTACCATGTTGACTCAGCTTGCTCACTGCACTGAGCTTTGTTACTATGTAGCCGTAGCCACTTGAGTAGTCGCCTGAAGGACTTCTGGGAGCACCAGTTCGATGATGGTAGCCTGGAGACCAACACACACAAAGCCACGCTCTTCGGCCTTTCCCAGATGCGCGAGGACCTGAGTCGCCGGTCACGATATCTGGATGTGAAGAAGCCGAAGTGGCTCTTTGCAAGGCCCAAGTTTTCCTCGGAGCCAGGCCTTAGCGAGGCCTCCACGGCTGACCTCGAGACGGAGCCCCAGGAGATGGCTCGAGATGGTGGAGAGGACCACCGTGAGAACCGTGAGAACCGCGAGAACCGCGAGAACCGGGAGTCTGGCGACCGGCTGGAGGAGCTGACCCGGAAAGTGCAGGCGCTGGAGGCCCAGATCTCCCTCCTCACGGTCGGGGCTCTACGGAACGCCCAGGCTGCCGAGCCTGGAACTTTTGAGGATATCTGCGGCCGGGGCCTGCGAACGGAGACCTGCATCCCAGCGTCGCCTTCGCACCCTCAGCCGGAGAAAGCGGTCTAAAGAGTGCAGAAACAGATCAAAGACAGATCAAAGACAGAGCAAAGACAGAGCAAAGATCAAAGACAGCTAAACCCAATTGGCGGAGAGTGGCCTCAGAGCCTCCTTTTGGCCTTGCAAGGCCAACCGTGCACTTGCCAATGGACCAAGAGGATGCAGGCCGTTGGCCAATCTGTCCATTGTTGGCAGCTCTCCGAGAATTCAGTTATACGTGCATGGCATAGCACAAGGTGCAAGCCGCCGCAAGCCCCAGAGCTAAGAGCTCTTCGCATAGCTTAGCAAAGTCGCAAAGACGTGCGTGGCAAACCAGCCGTGAATTCTAGTGAGATCTACCAAAGATCAGTACTCCGCTGGGAACCCTCACCAGGGGCGTACGCTTTCTTCCAGAGTTCAGGACCTAGGACCTGAACTGTCACCAGTCTCCCAGTTCAGGGTGCATCTCGGCACAAGGCCGACGAATGAACCACATCGTGACTTAGTGACCTAGCGCATGCCGCTGCCGCCGTGAGGCGTTTCTGTCTCTGTTAGGATACCTTCTTCGGCATCAGGGATGCAGGCAGATGCAGCTCGCAATTTGTGTTGCAAGAGGGTCATCTCATTGGCAGGGCGATGGAGTCGCAGCCAGAGCCACTCACAAGCAGGGGCGTGACCCACAGAGACGCCGCCTTCAGGTTTTGAAGCCGCAAGGCTGCCATCTTTACGTAGGACTGTCGTTGGCATCCGTTGGCACTAGGCTCAGAGTGTTCAGCCGGCCAGGGCTACAAAAGGTGATTCGGCCGCCGAGAATATCCACTTACGTATGCTCGTGTCAACTTGCCAGACACACGTGACACGACGGGCCCAGTTTACATGGTCTGCCGCAGATGTGCCGCGCGCAGCCACAGAGAACCGAAGTTCTACCAACGCTTTGGGTGCTCGTGGCACTGGTGGCCGGGTATGTTTTTCCGAATAGTTTGCTCGCAGTAAATCACATGATTGAATCAAACTCACATGACCTTTGCCGATGCCACCACTTCTCGCTGCATTCGCCGCCGACGGCTGTAGGGGCAGTTCCTGGTAGGGTGTAGATAGGAGTGGGGTTGGACGCTGGGTTGAGTATGAGGGCAACACAAATCTACGTGAACCAGAAAGTCCTGAGGAGGCACGTGGGGCCTGGCCAACCCCCCCTTCCCTTCCCCCCCCCCCCCCCCCCCCCCCCCCCCAAAAGAAAAGAAGGGGCAAACCAGGACCACTCAAAGACCCTGCATAAGCCTTGAGCATCCTTAAACGGGCGCCCTCATCGGGCCAGCCCCCCCCGGAGCTGTCGGAGTTGCGCTGTGAGACATGGACCGCCCCCAGACGGCGCCCGCCAAGAAGAGCTCGGCGTTCGCGAGTGGTCCCACGGTTCCTCGGAGAAGCGGAAGCTGGTTTTTTGTGGATTTGTGCACTGTTGTGCACTTTTGTGCACTTTTGTGCACTGTTGTGCACTGCAACCCCTGTTCCTGTCCATGCGCCCACCGGAAGCCCTGCAGGTTGAGTCCGCAGACTTCTCCGGCAACTCTGACAGCTTGGAGCAGCTGGACCGATGCCTGGCGGAGGTTCCGAAGGCGCGCAAGAGGGGGATCTTGTACTGCAGAGTAAAAGAAGGGGGGTTCCTTCAAAAACATCTCGCACGAAATAAAGAATGAAGAAGCTCCACCTGCTTCTCCAGTGAAAGTAAGTTAAGAGCAGTGAGAGGAGCAGCAGGATGAGCTCTGGCCCGCTCCGCTCTGGCCCGGGCACTTCTGCAAGAGGCGCAAGGGTCCCCCCCCCCACCCCCGCGAGGGGGCGAGGCATGTGATGCTTTAAGTGGTGCAGCAGGGCTTTTCATATGGCTTTTCGTGGGCAGGTCCCTGCTCCAGCTTAGGGACTCGAGCGGCTTGGCTACGCAGCAGCCACCCTACTCCTTCGTGGTGCGATATGACATCAGGCGGGTTGAGTGTGCATCTTGTCTTGAGCCCTCAAGGCCTGAACTGCCGTAACTAACTGGGGCCCGACAAAGGGCCCGAAGTAGGCCCTCTCTGAATCATAAACACTCCCCAAACCCTCAACCATACACCCTCAACAAGAACATGCGCCTCTTGCGGGGCTCTGGAGGCCGGTTGTCAAGCAGCTGAGCGAGAAGTCCGCGTACCTGATGCTGCTTGATGGCGAGAAGCTGCGGCGCCGGGCCTGGTAAACTTAGTAGATTAAGGCTTGGGAGGTTGGTATGAGGGTTGAGATGCGGGTTTATATGAGGGTTGACATGAGGGTCCAAAGGGGTCTGGACTTAGACGGATGTTATGAGGCAACAGTGATTTGGGTTTTGAAGTGTTGCAGCTCTAGCAAAAAAAAGTCTTCAGCCCTGTCAGAAATGCAAAAACAATGGCAACTAGCATGAAGATCTATTGAAAGACTTGCAAACCCCTTGCAGGATCAGGCCTCCTTAAGGTGAATGTCTGGCCCCAATGCGAAACGTTGCAAGGCGAGCCGGCCACGGCTCGGGCTTAGATGTCATCGCCGCCTCAAAGCTTGGGCCTTGGAGGGCGGGCAGGGAAGGATGATCTGGGGGGCGGGTGGCCTGGCCCTAAAGGTTAAGTGTTTTTTTCGGCAAATTGCCCACACAGAAGCTCGTGTGTCATTGGCCCTCGGGCCAATCTTATCAGACATGATGATTCGTGCATGATTATACTTCCATCATTCTTTTTCATCATGACTGCTACCAGTGTCGTTGCTGCGAATGCGGTGGCCTCCCTTGGAGGCTTTTAAAGCTCTTGTATAGTTCAGGAGCTACCGAACACACGAAGGCTCTGCCTTACCAGGCTATGGGAGTCCTGGTTTTGGTTTGCTGACATCCCTGAACCCTGGACCCGGTAGACGACTAAGGAGCCTCCAATTTCAAAGGCCACAGTGAAATAGCTGCCCTTACTCAAAGCAAGCGGAAGAGCCAAGAGCTCGTGAAGCAGTGTACAGTGTACAACCCGGAACACTAGCAGGCTCATGAAGACATGGGCCAGATTTGTCCATCTGTGCAAATCCGAATTTTCCAAGCACACAGTTCATGCCAGGTCCTGGATAGCCTGGAGGGCATTGTGCGCTCCTCCGCACATGCTGGCTCGAGACGCAAAGCCTTCCTTCCTTGTTGCGCATCGTGTGCCTTGCACTGCACACGTTCCAGTTTGGAATCTTCCCATCATTGTGACAGGGGCAAGCTTGTGGGGGAAACCGTGGTGCAGCCCGAGCTGGATGCCCACATGAACGGTGAGGGCGTGCCCCTCTTCGTCAGTTCCAGCATTCACACGGCATGACATACTGACATGACACGGACTACGAGTACACGCCCAAGCCAGCTGCGCTCACTCATTCGTGCTGCTGTCTGCAGGTACTGCTCATGACTGTGGTGTGCGGCCCAACGGGAGGTTGTGAAACGGCATTCGGCCTTCATGCGCTTTGCCTGAACCGAGGTGCTCACCTCCGACATCAAGAACAGGCAGCTGTGGCAGACCGCAGGTGACCTCGTGAGCTACCGTCTCGGCAGCGCCGCGGCTGCATGGCTGCAGAATGTCGCCCCCCCCATCCTTGGGCCCTCGGCTTCAGGCCCACCGGTGCTGTGTGGCCTTTGCGGCGTGTCCGTCCCCATGCGCGAGCTCAGCAGCCACCAGAGGGACCAGTGCCGGATGGTGGTTGCGCCATGCCGTGGCCTCAAAGTCACATCGCCTCTCCACCCCATGTGATAGTATCATATCATATCATAAAGGAACCTAAGGAACCCAAGAAAGGCCCCACATGAAGTTTGCAAAACCAAAAGGCCCTCAGCCCATTGTGGTGAAGACCTGGGGGGGGGGCGGGGATTAACAGGGTACTGTGTGTAAGGGGCCTTTGAAGGGCTCCTTGCACAGCACGGCCGAGCCGAGGCCCCCGATGCCAAAAACAGGCGGCTTTGCGCTCTCTTCTTCGGTCAGTCAGTTAGGGGTTCGCACCTCAAAAAGTAGCCGCACGGACGTGGGCCTGGGGGTTTACATAGTTTTTGCTTGGTTTAACAAGGGCTTCTAGAGTCTAGAGGGTGAATTCGTAGGCTTTCGGGCATTCCAACTGGGCAGGTGCCCATCCGGGAGCTTGTGACACATCAGGCACGAGGGGATCTCCGATGTCGCTTTTTGCATTCCGTTTGCTCCGCTTGCCCTCCGATTCTTCGGAACACGTCGCCACGGATTTTGCCAGAGATCTAAGCCTCAAAAACAGCAACGAACAAATCCGGAATGGGCATCGAACGGGTGTACGCTGAATCTCTACGTCAGGCCGCAGGCCATAGAGGGTGTTGCGTTTTGGGGCATTGTCTTCAGCAGTAATTCTCGCCAAACCATTTGTTTAGTGACTAGCCATCGCTTCTGACCAGACGCTACAATGGGTCTGTTTAAAAATGTATTTTGTGTTCCGTACGAACCCGACCTCTGCAACGTCTCGATCACGTAGCAATCCATCCGACCTTAAACCACCTTAAAGGCCCCGTCCCTGAAAGCGCACCAAATCTGACGAAGTCTCGGGCCTTGTGCTGCCTCGGGCAGGTCAGCCCAGATTGCCTGAGCACTTTCAGCATGGGCACACAAACGCTGGAGATGCTCGGCAACAGGATACATCAAGTGTACCTTTCAGAAAGCGTTTGGATACATGTGGAGTGCACGAGCTTTCCTTTCAATCACAGGCCTGGGCTGCAGGGAAGGGACACTCCGTTGCCAGTTTGCCAAGGAAGAAGATGCAGGACGCACCGTCCCAGTGCAGCGTCCCAGCGCTGCTTCCTGCAGGCAGGGCGATTTTTGTGCTGTGCACGCCGCCTCATGTCATGTGATTCCATAGCCAGGCGTGCAGACCAGCTATGCTCTCTACGCGCCAGAGAATCTGAGATCCGAGGCCAGGATCCACTTCCGGGATCCGGAATCCAAGAGGAGGGCCCAACTCATTTCTTCTGCTTCTCGATGACAGGAGCCCGTACCGGCCTTGGTGCCCTCCGCGGCCGTGCGCTGGACGCGGCCGCCTCCGGAGGCCCCGCAGCTCAGAGCTCCTCCGATTCATGGGAGTCTCAGAGCTCTCATTTTGTGCACCTCCACTGCATCTCCACTTCTCCTTTCGTATTTCTTCGTAGTTACGTCTCCTTTTGGTGCCCGAAGGGGGACATAGCTTCGGGTGATGCGATGGTGCGGGAGGCCCGGCCTCGCGAGTACCAGCTGGCCATCAGCGAGTTCCGTGGAGACTCAAGCCTCCGGGAGCAGTGGCTCCAGCCTCGGCCCTTTGCATGCCTGACAAGCAACAAAGGGCCTCACATGAAAGGGCCATGAAGGCCCTACAACCCCATGACCATCTCTTGGCCCTAGGACCTCTGAACCCTGCATCCTGCCTGCATCCTGCATCCCCCACAGCATAGAGCAGCTTGCTTTGTTGCTTTGGAAGGTCCCTGCTTCGGGTGGAACTCCTTGAGATGGCGATGCTCGAGAAGCGAGGCATCTCGTGACGCCGCTTATTTCACGCACTAATCCTTTACAAGGAGGCCGCGCAGCCACACGGAAATCATAGGAAGCTTCTAGAAGCTAACAGCGCTTTGTTCTCCGAAGGCCTGCGTGCGGAGCTTCGCCACGAGCTGACTCACCTGCGCCCTGGCACGAAGTACCGCCTGGAGCTGCAGCCCCGCGCCGGGCACTTGGAATCCCAAAGAAGTCTCACAGGAGCCAAAACCCGTCCTAAGTCGTCCTGTGGACCTCGGAGTCTGCGGCTCCCAGTGTGGGCCCTCATTCTGGGGCCCTTGATATATGCCTAGTATATATACACTAGACAAAATGTGCGACAATACAAGGGTAAGGGACCAGGCAAAGGGCCCATACTTTCAATCTTGGACGGAGGGCCTCGGAGGATTCAGGGAGCTGTTTGAGTTTGTGAGGCGCCGGATGGAAGCCTGGGCCCTGCGGCTGTGGTCGTGCTGACCACGCTGAGCCGCCTGGCAGGCGAGCGCATGGAAGTCATGGAAGCACCCCCCGAGTGGCGTGAGAGCAACACTTTCTGCCTTAAAGCCGCGCTGAGTGATCGGGGCAGGCTTCGAGGGCTTCTCGCCCGAAGACAAGGCTTTGTTGTTTGTTGCTCCACGAACACTCTTGTGCGGCTGTACTCGTGTCTGAGTGTTCAGTGCAATGTTAACCGAAAGACGGTCTGCAGATTTGTAGACATACGTTACGCGTCAGTCGGCCAGGCCAGCCTCGAGGCGGTGCAGCAGCCCCGACAGGCAGAGTGGAGACGGACGCCATGGAATGTTCGGAACACTGGGGCCACGAGTTCATCAGAGTTCACGTTGACAGTCAGACTCTGCCACGAGGGGTGCCGGCCAGAGTCCGTCAGCCAACGGGAGCAGTCCACACAGGCAGGACCTGGCTTCATTCCAGGCCGGAAGGGGAATAGGGGCCCCTTGAAAGCAGAATCATGAGAATGATTTGCCAGCCGACACCTAAACGCCAAACAGAAAGGCTGACAAATCTTACAGAGGTTGACTGTCACTGTGCATCTTGTGCATATATGCTGGAGGGAGCCTGTGCTACGGAAGGAGCCTGCAAGAGTGAGATATCCCGGGAGATCGGCGTGCAAGCGTTCCCTGCTGTGCTGGAGGAGGTCGGGACAGTAGGCAGGGATGAGGGCAGGAAGGGGAAGGAAGAATGCAGTCAATAGTTGACTGTTGCCAGGCTGCATGCCAAGTGGACCCCATCATACCAGCAGGCTTCTCAGGAACCGCTGCAGTGGATTGCAGTGGATGACAGTGGTGGGGCCGCAAGCTCTCAAGAGAACCTCATAAAGACACGTTCCCTGAAGGGGTGCTGAATGTGGGCACAGGGAACCCGGAACAGAAGCCGAAATCGTGAGAGGTCAGAAGAGACATCGCGTGCGGGGAGGAGTGGGCCTCCTTCACCACCACCGGCATCCAGTGCAAGGCAGGGGCTTTGGGGCTGAACTGCTACCTGTGCCCGCATCTCACCCGCATGGGGAACCGTACTTCGATTTTTTCGGAGGGGCGGGGTCAGATGCCTCTGGTTCAGGCTCAGACCTACGAGTCTTCGGTGCAAAGTGCCTTGCCTGCGCACTGTGTCACGTTTCTGGGGGCAAGAAGCTGCTTCTGTGCAACGTTCTTCCAGTTGTGCTAAGTTGGAACCCGCTGTGCAGGTGCAACGGACGTGGGACACAGCTCTTGCCAGGCCGACTGCGTCCCTTCTTGTCCCGCCCTTGAAAGCACAATTGGTAGCCTGTGTAAACATGAGGCTCAGTTTCCGCCCCGGTCCGTCACTGGCGACCGTATGGCAGAGCTGGAGATGGACATGCAGGCCACTAGGCATTAGATGCCATATGCCATTAGGCCTTGCAAGGGCTCTTCCTTGGGACCTTGCAAGTTTCCTTTGGTGCCTGGAATCGCATCGTCCTTCGGCCTGCGGAAGGCGGCGATCCCTGGTGCGCGTGCCGTCCTGCGCCAGGCGCTGGCCCTGTATCTGGTAGAAAGGGCTCGGAGAAACTGAGAATCTCTCGTGGAATGGTCTCCCTGCTCCTGATCATGCTCTCTTGAAGCAAGCACATGACAGCAGCCTCTGATTCGAGGTGGGCAACCCCGAACTGATACGGCTGTGCCTCGCACTGGTTGCCAACGTCCTTGCGCTTCTTGGTGAGTCCTATTTACTATTTCGTTGATGTAAATTGAGATTCTGAGACCAGGACCTGAAGAACTGATCCCTATACTGTGCTGCCCCCTGTCCAATCCAAGGCTGGCAAGCATTCTCATGGCAGACATCTCTACGGAGGTGCCCGTAGCTCCATCAGGAGAAGCCCACCACCAGTGAAGATGGTCAGGAGCTTTGGCCTATGCTGGGTGTGCTCCTCTTGATCATTCCCCTCAATGGCTTGGAGTTTGCCTTCTTTGAGGCGAGTGTGTGGTGGGGCGACAAACTGCCAGTTTGAGTCTAGATAGGGTAGCTGGATCGTGTGGTTTCTCCTGTTTGGCTCAACATCCTATGACATCCTTCTCCCAGTCACCATGCGACTTTCTCAGATGCGCAAGCCGAGCTTTTGCTCAAGAACATGTTCGTTGAACACACAGGTGACAGCCACGACACACCTGTCAAAGCCTGTCAATTTAGTTTAGTCACGCGCTGCTCGTCAACGTGGTAAATCTACAATGGCGCCGGCCCCGTCAGACGATGCCCTGCTACAGCTCTCGGTCAGGGCTCCTCGTTAAGCGGAAGCTCTCTAGAAGCTCTTTATTTTTGCATCTTGTTCATGTCTGCATGATAACCGTGCAGGTGGATTGCATTTTCTCGAATTTTCCAGCACAAAGTGTGTCCTGAAGTACGCCGAAGGAACTTGCGGCCGCCATCGCTTGCGAGTCGGTCTCTGCACTGCAGGCCGGCCTTCCAGCCGTTGGCTTTGACCCTTTAGCTTTGAGTCCGGCCAAGCTGCCTGCAGCTGCCTGCGGCTCCGGATGGCTCACAATGAAATGACTCGGACCCCGTTCCCCAATTTCGCTGCAGGTGCTGACGGCCTTTCGCCGCCGCGCAGAGGCCATCCACAGCACCTCGACCTCGGGCTGTCGCGTCGCGTGGCCACTGCAAGATGCTCTGGGCATGGTAGAATGTAGGGCAAAGCAGTTCGACTCTCACAGAAAACTTTGGGAACGAACCGAGACGCCTGCAACTGCGTCCTGTGCTTCGTAGAGGAGGCATGGCAATGGGCAGAGGAGGCTGACGCTCGTCCTGTGAGAGCCGGAGATGTTGGAACCGGCGCCAATGTATGCCATTGTGACAACCTGCGCTAACCTGTGCTACATTGGGAGCTGAGGACACCCACCTGCGAGAGACTGGCAACCTGCTTGGGCCGCTGCATGGTGTGCCATGCTCGATCAAGGCACCGTGGCTGCTGCACCCAACTTTTCTACACCTGTGCTATCTTACTGTCTTCTACTAAGCTGTGTTCTATCTTGTCTCTTGGACCTGAGGACCACCTGGCACTGAAGGGGCATCTGGTCACCATGGGCCTTCGTAATGTGCGTGAGCAGCAGGAGAAGAGGCCCATCGACCGGTCCAGCACTCTGGCCAATGCCCTGAGGAGTGCCGGCGCCATCATCTTCTGCAAGACCACCATGACGCAGCTCGGGGAGACGTGGGGTGGCGGCAGCCCCGCACACGGGGATACTCTGAATCCTTGGGACACCCTCCGGACGTCTGGTGGCAGCTCTTGTGGCGAGGGTGCTTTGCTGGGCGCGGCCGGCTCACCCTTTGGCATCGGCTCGGATGTGGGCGGCTCGGTGCGGATCCCTGCATCCTTCTGCGGCATCTGTGCCCTGAAGCCCACGGCCTTCCGATTGACCTTCAACTGGGAGACAGGGCAGACGATCCTCGGGCATCCCGGAGACTACGGCGTTCCCTGGCTGCGTTATGCCATGTTCGCTGCCACAGGTGAGATGCTTCAGATTCAAGATACATGAAAACACATGGTGTTTGTGTATATCGGGGGTACGCATTGTTTTGGAGGTGTCCGCGGTCCGTTTGAAGATGGGCTGTCGGCTTGTGTGGATTGTGGACAGGTACCTGCCACGCCCGGACCCATGGCACGGCGTGTGGAGGATCTGGTTGAGGTCTGTGCAGCTGTCTGGGACACGCCATACTACGATTCAGACATACGCATTCCACCTCTGCCGTTCAGCAGAGAAGCAACGCAAGTGCGAAGGCCGCTGCGCATTGGCTGGTATACTCATGGGTATGTCTACCCGGAACCCTGCAGATCAGTAGTGCGTGCTGTGGAGGAGGCGAGAGACGCGCTGAAGGCAGCTGGGCACACGCTCCTGCAGGTGCAGCCATGGGAAGCTTGCCCTTTGGCTGACATCGTTGGCTGCGATGTTGCAATGGAGAGGTTGACGGACACTGATGGTGGGCTCGTGGTTGGAGCAGTGCCGCAGTCTTCTGGAAGCCAGGATTCACATCCTGACCACTGGTCGCACCCTTCATCCAAGGCGCATGCAGAGCATTGTGCAGCGTAGTAGCGTAGTAGCTCGTGCGGTATCTGTTTGGGTACGCCTCTTACACGGCGAGAATGTGTAACGTAGTTCTGCCGCAAATGCACGGAGATTGCAAGGAATCATTGATGGATTGTTGGCTTCAAGACAAGGCAAATCGAAGGAACCGAAAAGGTCAGACAGGGTGAAGCAAAAGCAAATGCTGGTTGACGCAAATGTGTTCAAACTGGCAAGCGAAGGCGAAGGCACAGGTCCTTCGAAAGCACTCTTTCCAAGGACCCATATACCCTAAAACCATTAAACCCTGCAAACCCCAGCTTTGCTTTTATGAATTGTTCAAATCGCACGGCAGGCCATGGTTCCGAAGCCCGGCACGAAGTCAACATGGCACACGAAGATGCCTCCAACAAACACGCCCAAGCGCTACCAGGTGAGGACATGGTGGGGGGGGGGGGGGGGGGGGGGGGGGCTGTAGGAATCGGAGCCCGGTTGAAGTGGTTGTCGAGTTTGCGACTTAAATAACATATTTGAAAGGTGGTCTGGGATTCTCTTGGAGTGCAGGCAGCGCTGGCAACACGCGACCGGCTGCGGGACAAGTTTGCCAAGTTTTGGAAAGAGAGCGGCCTCGATCTCTTGCTGTGTCCAGTTTTCCCTTTTCCTCCTCCTCCAGTCGAAGAGGTGAGGAAGGGCAGTGGCCGATATATTCACACTCGAATCTACAACTTCATGGACTATGCTGCTGGGGTGGTGCCCACTACACGAGTGTCGCAGGAGGTAGCCAGGGGATTGAAGATCCAAAAGATCCACCTGTAAAGCAAAGCATGGCAGAATCAGAAGACGGGATACCTGGAGTACTTTTCAGGACCTGGCGCAGGGCTACGACCCGAAGACCGATGATGTGCCGTTGGCAGAAATGGCGATGCGAGCGGTGGAGTCCTCGCTGGGATTGCCCGTGGCGGTGCAGATGGCTCCTTGGCGGATCTTTGGTTGTCGTCGGACTTGGGGGCTTGGCGTTGGAGCAAAGCCAACGCAGGTGGCCCCCCCATGGAGGGAGGAGATCTGCCTGGGAGGCATGCTGGAGGCGGGCCACGACAACAAGTTTGAGACTGCTTGGTGCAACGCCCGTTTTTGGACCACCCAACCCATTCCCCGCCCGGAGCTGCTCAGCCGCGAACATGCTCGCATGAGTCCTCGCAGGTCGAGCGCTTGATGGCCTTCGATCGGAGTGCGCTGCCTGGCAGCATATGCAGGTCGGCTCGCAGGTACCTCCTGCCTCGTCAAATGCGCGCAATGACTCGGGCAGTTGGTTTTGCAACGCCTGGCGCCTGGGAGGGCCCTGTGGCCGGAAATACGCCCAGCTGATGCTCATGATGCTCCCCTCCTGCCTCGTCAAATGCGGTCAAATGCGCGCAATGACTCGGGCAGTTGGTTTTGCAACGCCTGGCGCCTAGGAGGGCCCTGTGGCCGGAAATACGCCCCGCTGATGCTCATGATGCTCCCCTCCTGCCTCGTCAAATGCGGTCAAATGCGCGCAATGACTCGGGCAGTTGGTTTTGCAACGCCTGGCGCCTAGGAGGGCCCTGTGGCCGGAAATACGCCCCGCTGATGCTCATGATGCTCCCCTCCTGCCTCGTCAAATGCGCGCAATGACTCGGGCAGTTGGTTTTGCAACGCCTGGCGCCTAGGAGGGCCCTGTGGCCGGAAATACGCCCAGCTGATGCTCATGATGCTCCCCTCCTGCCTCGTCAAATGCGCGCAATGACTCGGGCAGTTGGTTTTGCAACGCCTGGCGCCTAGGAGGGCGCCGGAAATATGCCCCCTCCTGCCTCGTCAAATGCGCGCAATGACTCGGGCAGTTGGTTTTGCAACGCCTGGCGCCTAGGAGGGCCCTGTGGCCGGAAATACGCCCAGCTGATGCTCATGATGCTCCCCTCCTGCCTCGTCAAATGCGCGCACTCGGGCAGTTGGTTTTGCAACGCCTGGCGCCCAGGACGGCCCTGTGGCCGGAAATACGCCCAGCTGATGCTCATGATGCTCCCCTCCTGCCTCGTCAAATGCGCGCAATGACTCGGGCAGTTGGTCTTGCAACGCCTGGCGCCTAGGAGGGCCCTGTGGCCGGAAATACGCCCAGCTGATGCTCATGATGCTCCCCTCCTGCCTCGTCAAATGCGCGCAATGACTCGGGCAGTTGGTTTTGCAACGCCTGGCGCCTAGGAGGGCCCTGTGGCCGGAAATACGCCCAGCTGATGCTCATGATGCTCCCCTCCTGCCTCGTCAAATGCGCGCAATGACTCGGGCAGTTGGTCTTGCAACGCCTGGCGCCTAGGAGGGCCCTGTGGCCGGAAATACGCCCAGCTGATGCTCATGATGCTCCCCTCCTGCCTCGTCAAATGCGCGCAATGACTCGGGCAGTTGGTTCTGCAACGCCTGGCGCCTAGGAGGGCCCTGTGGCCGGAAATACGCCCAGCTGATGCTCATGATGCTCCCCTCCTGCCCCGAAAAATGCGGGCAGTTGGTTTTGCAACGCTTGGCGCCTAGGAGGGCCGTGTGGCCGGAAATATGCCCAACTGATGCTTATATTGCCCTCCTGCCTCGTCAAATGCGCGCAATGACTCGGGCAGTTGGTTTTGCAACTCCTGTCGTCTAGGAGGGCCCTGTGGCCGGAAATACGCCCAGCTGATGCTCATGATGCTCCCCTCCTGCCTCGTCAAATGCGCGCAATGACTCGGGCAGTTGGTTTTGCAACGCCTGGCGCCAGGAGGGCCCTGTGGCCGGAAATACGCCCAGCTGATGCTCATGATGCGCCCCTCCTGCCTCGTCAAATGCGCGCAGTGACTCGGGCAGTTGGTTTTGCAACGCCTGGCGCCTAGGAGGGCCCTGTGGCCGGAGTACGCCCAGCTGATGCTCATGATGCTCCCCTCCTGCCTCGTCAAACGCGCGCAATGACTCGGGCACTCGGGCAGTTGGTTTTGCAACGCCTGGCGCCTAGGAGGGCCCTGTGGCCGGAAGTACGCCCAGCTGATGCTCATGATGCTCCGCTCCTGCCTCGTCAAATGCGCGCAATGACTCGGGCAGTTGGTTTTGCAACGCCCGGCACCTGGGAGGGCCCTGTGGCCGGAAATACGCCCAGCTGATGCTCATGATGCTCCCCCCTTGCCTCGTCAACTCTCGTCATCGCGCGCAATGACTCGGGCAGTTGGTTTTGCAACGCCTGGCGCCTAGGAGGGCCCTGTGGCCGGAAATACGCCCAGCTGATGCTCATGATGCTCCCCTCCTGCCTCGTCAAATGCGCGCAATGACTCGGGCAGTTGGTTTTGCAACGCCTGGCGCCTAGGAGGGCCCTGTGGCCGGAAACTCATGATGCTACCCTCCTGCCTCGTCAAATGCGCGCAGTGACTCGAGCAGTTGGTTTTGCTGCGCCCGGCGCCTAGGAGGGCCCTGTGCTCATGATGCTCCCCTCCTGCCTCGTCAAATGCGCGCAATGAGTCGGGCGGTTGGTTTGGGCCCTGTGGCCGGAAATATGCCCAGCGCTCATGATGCTCCCCTCCTGCCTCGTCAAATGCGCGCAATGACTCGGGCAGTTGGTTTTGCAACGCCTGGCGCCTAGGAGGGCCCTGTGGCCGGAAATATGCCCAGCTGATGCTCATGATGTTCCCCTCCTGCCTCGTCAAATGCGCGCAAAGACTCGGGCAGTTGGTTTTGCAACGCCTGGCGCCTAGGAGGGCCCTGTAACCCCGAATATGCCCAGCTGATGCTCATGATGCTCCCCTCCTGCCTAGTCAAATGCGCGCACTCGGGCAGTTGGTGCTGCAACGCCTGGCGCCTAGGAGGGCCCTGTGGCCGGAAATACGCCCAGCTGATGCTCATGATGCTCCCCTCCTGACTCGTCAACTGCGCGCATTGACCTGGGCAGTTGGTTTTGCAACGCCTGGCGCCTAGGAGGGCCCTGTGGCCGGAAATACGCCCAGCTAATGGGTTTTGCAACGCCTGGCGCCCAGGAGGGCCCTGTGGCCGGAAATATGCCCAGCTGATGCTCATGATGCGCCCCTCCTGCCTGTCAAATGCGCGCAATGACTCGGGCAGTTGGTTTTGCAACGCCTGGCGCCTAGGAGGGCCCTGTGGCCGGAAATACGCCCAGCTAATGCTCATGATGCTCCCCTCCTGCCTCGTCAAATGCGCGCAATGACTCGGGCAGTTGGTTTTGCAACGCCTGGCGCCTAGGAGGGCCCTGTGGCCGGAAATATGCCCAGCTGATGCTCATGATGCTCCCCTCCTGCCTCGTCAACCGCGCGCAATGACTCGGGCAGTTGGTTTTGCAACGCCTGGCGCCTAGGAGGGCCCTGTGGCCGGAGATATGCCCAGCTGATGCTCATGATGCTCCCCTCCTGCCTCGTCAACTGCGCGCAATGACTCGGGCAGTTGGTTTTGCAACGCCTGGCGCCTAGGAGGGCCCTGTGGCCGGAAAGCTGATGCTCATGATGCTCCCCTCCTGCCTCGTCAAATGCGCACAATGACTCGGGCAGTTGGTTTTGCAACGCCTGGCGCCTAGGAGGGCCCTGTGGCCGGAAATACGCCCAGCTGATGCTCATGATGCTCCCCTCCTGCCTCGTCAACTGCGCTCAATGACCCGGGCAGTTGGTTTTGCAACGCCTGGCGCCTAGGAGGGCCCTGTGGCCGGAAATACGCGCAGCTGATGCTCATGATGCTCCCCGCCTGCCTCGTCAAATGCGCGCAATGACTCGGGCAGTTGGTTTTGCAACGCCTGGCGCCTAGGAGGGCCCTGTGGCCGGAAATACGCCCAGCTGATGCTCATGATGCTCCCCTCCTGCCTCGTCAAATGCGCGCAATGACTCGGGCAGTTGGTTTTGCAACGCCTTGCGCGTAGGAGGGCCCTGTGGGTACGCCCAGCTGATGCTCATGATGCTCCCCTCCTGCCTCGTCAAATGCGCGCAATGACTCGGGCAGTTGGTTTTGCAACGCCTGGCGCCTAGGAGGGCCCTGTGGCCGGAAATACGCCCAGCTGATGCTCATGATGCTCCCCTCCTGCCTCGTCAAATGCGCGCAATGACTCGGGCAGTTGGTTTTGCAACGCCTGGCGCCTAGGAGGGCCCTGTGGCCGGAAATACGCCCAGCTGATGCTCATGATGCTCCCCTCCTGCCTCGTCAAATGCGCGCAATGACTCGGGCAGTTGGTTTTGCAACGCCTGGCGCCTAGGAGGGCCCTGTGGCCGGAAATACGCACAGCTGATGCTCATGATGCTCCCCTCCTGCCTCGTCAAATGCGCGCAATGACTCGGGCAGTTGGTTTTGCAACGCCCGGCACCTGGGAGGGCCCTGTGGCCGGAAATACGCCCAGCTGATGCTCATGATGCTCCCCCCTTGCCTCGTCAACTCTCGTCATCGCGCGCAATGACTCGGGCAGTTGGTTTTGCAACGCCTGGCGCCTAGGAGGGCCCTGTGGCCGGAAATACGCCCAGCTGATGCTCATGATGCTCCCCTCCTGCCTCGTCAAACGCGCGCAATGACTCGGGCAGTTGGTTTTGCAACGCCTGGCGCCTAGGAGGGCCCTGTGGCCGGAAATACGCCCCGCTGATGCTCATGATGCTCCCCTCCTGCCTCGTCAAATGCGCGCAATGACTCGGGCAGTTGGTTTTGCAACGCCTGGCGCCTAGGAGGGCCCTGTGGCCGGAAATACGCCCAGCTGATGCTCATGATGCTCCCCTCCTGCCTCGTCAAATGCGCGCAATGACTCGGGCAGTTGGTTTTGCAACGCCTGGCGCCCAGGAGGGCCCTGTGGCCGGAAATATGCCCAGCTGATGCTCATGATGCGCCCCTCCTGCCTGTCAAATGCGCGCAATGACTCGGGCAGTTGGTTTTGCAACGCCTGGCGCCTAGGAGGGCCCTGTGGCCGGAAATACGCCCAGCTAATGCTCATGATGCTCCCCTCCTGCCTCGTCAAATGCGCGCAATGACTCGGGCAGTTGGTTTTGCAACGCCTGGCGCCTAGGAGGGCCCTGTGGCCGGAAATATGCCCAGCTGATGCTCATGATGCTCCCCTCCTGCCTCGTCAACCGCGCGCAATGACTCGGGCAGTTGGTTTTGCAACGCCTGGCGCCTAGGAGGGCCCTGTGGCCGGAGATATGCCCAGCTGATGCTCATGATGCTCCCCTCCTGCCTCGTCAACTGCGCGCAATGACTCGGGCAGTTGGT